GGCCTATATCAGTCGGGGCCACGTAGAGGAATATCCTTCGTTGGTAGTGACCTCCAATATCTAATGACATGTAGGCTACCTCGGTGACATACTCTCTAGCACCCCCAATTCCTTTAATAAACCGTGGCGGGATGGTAATGCGCTGGAGACAGCTTTTTGGGCAAACTTGGAAGAGATCATCCCATAAGGGTCACAGCCTGTATCAACTAAAGCATTTGCATTGTATTCCTTGTTAACCAGGGCTGTAATTATAAAGGGTGGACCTTCCATATTTTCCTTAAAGTTTTCCCATTCTTCTTTCGCCTCTATCCGCTCCTGTTCGCGACTTAAAACAGGAGCTACACTTTTCCCGCTTTGTCTTTGTCTTCCAGGTTGTCCTCGTCCTCCAGCACCGCACCGGTGATATTAGCGACTATGGGGATCCTAGGCGGAGGTGGTTGGGGCCTCCTGGGAGGTTGGAAGGGACAGTCTTTAACTATATGGCCTGGGGCTCCGCAACGTACGCACAGCCTTTCACTCCATCGTCGGTTAATCTCCTCCTGAGTTACCCATTTGGCACGTCGGGAGCTGGCAGTTTTCACTGCTGGTTCCCAGTCCATAGTATCACTAGAAGGGATAACAGCTTCACCGGAGTTTTTGTAATATGGTGGTGCCCATGGTCCCTTCTCTTTCCGCTTAAAATTCTCAAGGCGATGAGAGATCTCCTGCACTTGTTGGCAAAATCCATCATAAGTCTCTTTTTCCTCGATATTTATTAATCGGTTCTCAATCGTTCGGTTTAACGCGCTCTTCAAATACCCTTTTTAACTCTATCTTCCCAACCGCTGCCACCCGCTTCGAGGAGTAACCCATTGAGTTCTGCGACCAACTCTAGTACAGAGCGGTTTCCTTGGCGTAGAGTATTTAGGCGTACTAGGGCCTTCTCTTGACGGGTTGGGTCACTAAAGGCGCTTTCCAGCTGGCTGTAAAATCCTTGGAGCGTGAAGCTTGGAGAGGACTCATTGGCTGCGATCCATGCATGGATCCTTGCTGCTGCCTTGCCTCCCAGGCGGCTATAGCCGTACCATATTTGTTCCAACTCTCCTCCAAGAGAGGCCTCGTCTATCAGTAACTTCGCTTTCAGTTGGCTTAAAACTGTGGGAAAAGCGTAAGGTCTGTCCCGTCGAACCGTTCGGGGTCGGCTAGCTTCGGGCGAGGGCGCTGTTGTATAGGAGGTAGGGGGTAGGTACGGGTGCTGCGCTCGGTGTGGTGTTCGAAGTTGCCGGGGTTGGAGTCATTTGGAGTGCTGCTTGGAGCTCCGCGCGTAATGTCTGGATTTGCCCCTGGAAGTGATCCCGTTGCAGACCAAGAGCTATCTGCTGTTGTTCTATCATTTGACGAAATAGGGTTCGGCCCATGTTGGTAGTTCTGTACTCCCACTTGGTGGGTTATATTCTCCTTCCATTCTGTTCGGTATTAGTTGTTTTCCGTTCTGTTCTATTCCATTCCGTTTCAGTATAAGATAAGTGACGAACGATTCCTAATGTCAAGGGCTGAACCCATAGAACCTACAAGATAGGTTATGTACAAGAAGGAATCGTTGAAGAAGGGAAGAAAGGAAGAAAGGAAGAAAGGAAGAGGAAACAAGCGGTAAACAAACAAGGTGGGGAGTCACGTGACATCGATCGAGGGCCAATGGGCCAAAAGGGTCAGTAGGGACAGTAGGGACAGTAGGGACAGTAGGGACAGTAGGGACAGTAGGGACAGTAGGGACAATAGTAGGGACAATAGGGACAATAGGGACAATAGGGACAACGGGGACAATAGGGACAATAGGGACAACGGGGACAGTAGGGACAATAGGGACAACGGGGACAGTAGGGACATTGGCCCGAGAGGTCAAACGGGCTCTAGCCCTTTACAAATAGTAGTATTACTACTAAAATCCTGTAACTAAATTAACTCCTGGATTTTTATTATTATAGTATTATTATTTAAGGCATTATTAGTAGTAATTAATAATACACGGTTAGTAATACTATATACCTAAAGAATTTTAAAAAGCACTAAGCTTAGATTACTCCTATTATATGTGCCGTAAAGAGGCTTAAACCTAAAAAAAAATCTTATAATAGTTCCACCCTTAATTAAAAAAAGTAACTAGTAATCGCTATAAATACCTGGTTAAAAGGGGATATCCAGCAGTCTAGTGTAATTAAAAGCTTCCTACTTAGTAAAAGCTTTTAAAGTAAAGTTTTTGTTTTTCTTTAACTTTTTCTATAGATAGCGTCGAAGGGTTTTGCTGGATAGAAGCTTTAGCTTTAATAGCGCAAGTTATATAATATTAATAAATTTATTAAGCTCGCGATGCTTACTAAACTAAAAGGGAAGATGCCTAAAAGCAACTATATTAAGTAGCTTATCCATAAAGAGGTCTTGACTGTATTGTCTTTTAGGAGATGGCTAAGGCTAAACAAGAGTAATATAAATATACTTAATAAATTATATTAGGGTCTTATACTAACCAAGTCCTAAATAAGCTGGTCTATACCTTTCTGCTGCTTGGGTGCTGTATGCTGACAGGCAGCTCCTTTAAGGTGTGCTTTTTTATTAGGGATAACCCTGCTTAGTAATAACCTGGGTAAACAAGGATATTGCAGCAGTGTTTACATATAACCTTAGGCTGGCTAGTCTTCTTATCTGCAACCTGATTAAATTGCTTCTAGTATAATAAGCTTTTTTTTCCATCCCAATATATTATATCCTGCTAACTTTTTTTTTAACCTAAAGTCTGTTTTTAACCACTATCTCACAAAGTTATCCTTTGACATATTAGTATAAAAAACCTAGTTTTTTTAAAAACTAGGCCCAACACGTGTGAGGGTAATAGGGGCGCGTGGTTGTGGTAGTGGAAAAATAAAGTCTAAGTTAAATATAAAAATAATAGTTTGCTGGCTACCTAGGATATACTATATATTATCTGATTATAGGAAGTTAGGTTTATAAAAAAAATCGGAAAACTAAGATTATTAACTCTGCGATATCTTAAAGGTAAGAATATTATTATAAAAAGAAAAAGATAAGAGACTTACAAAATTTTTAGAGTAAAAATCTGGAATACAGATTTTATAATTAAGGGGTATAGGGGCGTATATATTAAAGTAAATAAATCTATTATTTTAAACTGTTTTTTATTATAATTGGTTTATAAGTGGTGCTAGTGCGGATATCTATTAGTTATTATATAATAATCTGCGGATATCTGTGGATATCAAGAGGATATCCACAGATATCCAGAATCTTAACAGAAAAACAACAAAGTCCGTATATTCAGAATATAAAATTAGGCTATTAACCAGATCCGTACACTGTTATTGAGCAATAAGAAATATTAGTTAGAGAAACCAGTTAGAATAAAAAAAAATAGTTAATTTAACAGGGCTGATAGGGCTAATAGGGCCAGCAAGGCTAGAGAGACTAGCCATAAAACTGTGATATTTATTATATAATAGTAAATATATATTTTTTTTACACACTATTAAGAAGTAAATATTAATTTATAATTTATAAGCCACTACCACTACTTCCCTTTGAAACTTAAGTAGATTATTAATATTAGTAGTGACGATATTTATATATATAAATATTTTATATAGTATTATAAAGAGTATTGTGCAAAGGTTTTATATAGCACTGTTATAATTAGAACAGGTATAACTAACCATTACTTACTAATCTTATTTAGCAAGTTATACATTATGCGGTAGGCTAGATTAGGTTAATTTGGCGAAAATTATACTAGTGCGGACAGAAACAAGATATCCGCATTGTATCTGTGTGGATTTGGATGCAGATAAAGATATTATCTCAGGTATCTGGTATCCGTGTGGATACGATATGGATATTATTTGCTATCTGGTATCCGCGGATATGCCGCAGTCTAGGCCCATGTCTTTTGGCCCCTTACAGTCTTTCCTCTTTTTGACTCAGTTTCAGTCAAATCTAGGGTAGATAAAGATATAAGATTAGATGAATCTGCATTAGAATCCATATTTACTTAATACTAGTAGGAATAAGAATTAGATGCAGTGGAAATCAAGGAGCCAGTTTAAAGCAGGGTAGGAAGTATAGGCGGTGAGGTTCTGCCAATTTATCAATGAATCATCGATGAATTATCGCTATCGGCGATAACGATAGGGACTTTCTAAGCGTACTACCCGGACTTCCAGTTGCACTACCAACTAAACCTAATTAGGTACCGCTTCCCGAATAGGAAGCGGTATATAATGTGACACACAAATTATTCTTTCCTTACCTACCTACCTACCTTTACTACACCTTAATATGACCTCTATTCCACCACCTCCACCACCGGAATCAGCTCACCTGAAGGATCCAGCTAAGTTGGCTACATTCTATGCTGAATGGGCTTCAAAACATGGCTTTTTTTTAAAGACTGCTCGTTCAATCTCACGCGATGATTATATTCGTCAAATTGTGTATGTGTGTGATCGATCTCACCAACATCGACCTTTATCTCGCTTAGAAAATCCTGTACGCAACACATTTACCCGCTTAAATAATTGTCCTTTTCATATAATCCTTGCATACAACAAAACAAGAGATAAATGGGGGGTTCGGGTGCAAAATCCCACACATAATCATGGGCCAATTAAAATGATTGCAATCCCTGCATACCGCAATTTTATGGCCAAGCGATATTGTTCCGAAATTAAAAAGCTTATACAGCAAGGCCTATCTGCAAAGAATATTGTCTCTAAATCCGTAGACGACATAATGAAGCAGTTATTTCTCCAAAAAATGTGTACTACATTCGACAAAAAATGCGCTTAGAATTCCTGGACAGAAGAACACCTATTCAAGCACTACTATCATCTCTTCCTAATGATGGCAATTGGATTTTTAATTGGAAGACAGATGCAGATAACTATATTATTGCATTATTTGCAACACACCGTGTTTGTATTCAACATTTGCAGCAGAATCCCTATACGAATCTTATGACCTCTACTGTATTTGTGCCCATTAAGAGCAGAGGGATTAATTTAACGGATGCCGCAGATGCCGCAGACACCGCGGGCGCAATGTTGCGAATTATCTCTGATACAACGGTCAATGGTGAGTAATAGGAACTAGTGGTTAACCTCTTAGACTCGCCTGATCTAATCATAAGGGCGATGTTTTGCTATAGTCAATCGGGCAGAGGCCTCTCTGGAGTCCTATGATATGGACGTGGATGACTTTGAGGACTCCAGGGCGGCGGAACAGCAAGATCAACTACTTGCTATCTCCCATGGCGCTAGAGTTTATGGTGATTGGCATTAAAGATTCAGTTAAAAGGTTCCGATTCGCTATTCCTGACACCAGTTATGTCAATTTAGGTCTATTATTGCTATCCTGACTTCTGGGGTTGATCGATATGATGGCCTACCAGTGTCAGTCAGGATGGCCATCTGACGATCACTACCGTTCGGTAAACAGATCGACAGATCTGCATTGCAATACTCAGGCAACAAGATTGAGTGTAGAACCAGATTTTCACAATTAGATACAAGAACCTAAAAGCAAAGTTACTATGGTAATATACTCCATACCCTCTTATCAATCAATAAAGCACAACCCGAACGTGAAGAAATGCTACTGCTCTAGATTGACCTGTATTATCCAAGCCTCCCGTGGGATGGCTGGCTACCTACAGGATAAAACAAGGAATGGTAGTCCACTAAGCCCAGCAACGAAGAAAAACAGGAGATAATTTAAACCCTCCACTGAGTCTTTGGAGCTGGTATCCTGTGATCGTGGTATGTGCCCCAGGACTTTTCCCTTATTCTCGTGTTTAAGCTCTGCAAAAGCGGAGCTGCGGAGTCTATCCAGGAACAGAACGGATGCTTATTGGACAGGAGCTATACGAGCTCTTGGCAAAATTTCCCCTTCTGGTTTAGGCTAGGGCAACCTGACGATGGGTCCTTCGTCGCTTGTTTAAGCAGGTGCTCGTATTCTCGTTTCCTTTTCTTCAGCCGAAGCCCTCCTTGCAATGGCCACCCATTCATTCCATGCAACCTCATATGGCCAACGAGATAATGCATAGTGAGAACACTCCAAGCTATACTACTCCCTGGTCTGATGGAGACTACCTGTCGGCATTTAGAACTCAACCGGCGCTAAGAGTTGCAGGACTTGACAACCATCATGGTGGGCCGTTGATGAAAGCGCTGGCCCCTGCGCGGCGAGGATGCAAAACTCGACGCGCGCATCACAAATCCAGAAATGGCTGCAGGAATTGTAAGAGTCGACGAGTCAAGGTATGACGTTCTTGTGATCTTTTATGTGCAGAAGGGCACTGACCGGCACAACACAGTGTGATGAAGCAAGGCCTGGATGCATGAGGTGCCAAGTATATGGCGTCACGTGTGACTATACACTTGCACAATATAAAGATGGAAAGCAGCCATTGATGGCGGCTCCCTTGCGTAGTAACCCACTGCATCGCAATGGCTCATTGGCATTCGATGCAATGGCGGTCAACATCGACGCCGTCCTACAAGCCGGTATGGGGGACGAAACCAGCCACCTATTCGGGTCCAGTAGCAATGTTGGACTACTTGGCCTGGACACTCTCGCCCATTTTTCTAGAATGGTAGCGGTACACACACCTGGATTTGCCCATGTCAAACAAGTATTTCGAGAACGTACCATCCACATGGCTCTAACGGTATGCTTGAAAGATCCGTTTTGCTCTACATATAAATCACGCACTAAACATTTCCTTCAGGAACCCTGTCTTCTGCATGCTATGCTGGCAGTAGCAAGCACCCATAGAGCATCTGTATTACCCTCCGATCCAAGTTATAGCATGGTAGCCGCGCGCTTTCGACACGATGCCGCGCGTATGTATCGACAACAGTTGCAATCGCCCATTGGCCGGCACAACATGGACGTGTTAATGTCGACCTGTATTCTCGTCGGCATGTTCTCCTTTTGTAAGGAGAACATAGACCCAAACGAGTCATGGGTGCTCTCAGATGACTCCAGCGCTATGAACTGGCTTTTTGTCCAAGGCGGGCTGCGTTGTCTTATAGAATTGGTCAACCCATGGCTAGATGAAAGTATCTGGAGCGAAGCATTTAAAGTGGCTAGCACCTACGACTTCTATGATGACCACAGAACCGGTCGCGAAGACCTCGATCATGATCTGGCCGACGTATGTGACATCAACGACGACACCACCGAAGAAACAAACGCGTACCACTGGCCCCTTCGCATGCTGTGCCCGTTACTGCGGATTCCTCGACATAGGTCTGAAGAGTTTCGCATGACAAACTTCATGGGAAGGCTCCAGCCGGATTTTCTCAGCTTGCTAGCGGCCAGGGAGCCTCGTGCCTTGCTTGTATTGGCGTATTGGCTGGCGCTGATGTGCACGTCCGTCCATGAATGGTGGGTGGATGCTCGAGTTCGGTCCGAATGTCAGGCTATCTGCATATATCTTGAAACGCATGGTGATCAGAGAATTGTCGATTTGCTTGAGTTTCCGGCTACAGCCTGTGGGTATCGATAACTTGGCTTTAAAAAGGTATTCCTTCTTCCCATTTTTCCACTTCCTTTCACATTCATGTACATACTATTATTAGGCTCACTGAAGCTACCGCACAGCTTTTATAACATCTTTGGCTGTTGATAGCTTTTTCTTTCTTTCTTTCTTTTCTTTTCTTTTTTTTTTTTCTTTTTTTTTTTTTTTTTTCAGTTTAGCTGCCATACATAGAGAGGTATATATACAGTTTTGGTTGTCCTAGTATCTGTAATCCTCTCCCTCTACACACCATTTTCAGGCTCTTCCATCAAGGTAAGCAATTTGTCACAGACCCCATTTGTGACCCACGGATCACGTTGGACTTTCAACCCTGTTTCTGTAAGCAATGTGACTTTCGAGTCGGAGCCGTATACAGGGAATCTAGATGCTGTAGTCGCATTGTGTGCTGCGACAAACCGCAACAGGTATTCTTGCATTTGCCGAACAAGGGGGGCATTGGTCACCGGAGTAGTGGTGTTATCCAGGAAGAACATATCTGCAAGAAGTTAGTAAAGCGCATAGTGCAACTACCGCTGACATCAACGGGACAGCCTACAAGCAAGGTCCTGAGCATGAGTTGCCGGGGGAATATCCATGACATATCGATGAGCGATTTCTGGATATGCCGCGGCAATACTCTGCGAATGACAGGCAAATATGATCGACGTAGCCCAGTCCCAGGCTAGTTTCTCGGGCTTTGACGAGGGGAACGGAAACAAGTCTTGAATTTGTTGTATAGTTTGATTGCTGGCTGTGGTAAAGACAGCACGAACCAGGTCTCCAAATGCAGCTGGCATGTTATTATCATTAATGAGATTCATGCCATCGTGTGCCATGTTGCCAACCAATAATTGTCTAAGTGGTTGGCGATGGGCTGTACTGCTGTCCTGAAGAAGCACCATCGGTTCGTCTCGGATATATACGCCGTCGGGTGATGGAGCGAAGCCAATGCTGGGACCGAAAGAGCCACCACCAGCGCCACTGGGAACTTCACTTATGAGATGATAGTTAGCTGCTACAAGGACCTCTGGTGAAGCGGACCGTAGGCATTCCAGCGATGTGCAGTTGGCGGCAGCAAGCACGTCTTCATATACTTCTTGCCTCCGTGAAGTGACATTTCGGCGTGACATTACCGCGGGTGAAGAGATGATGGCCTTCTGTATATTAGACTTATAGAGTCGAGGTATTCAACGGTTCATTTTTCGCACCTGAGAAAAGGGTAACTCCTTGCCTCCTCTGTTTGCCACAAGGAGGTAATTCAAAATTCCAGCACCGGAGCTTTGTCCCATCGCCGTGATTCTATCTGGGTCACCTCCGAACTTGGAAATGTATTGTTTTGTCCATTGAAGGGCCGCTTCGCCATCGTGGACACCAACATTGCTGTCCATATCCTCGTGCGGAGATGCCATCCATCCATACAATCCAAGTCTATTCATTACAATCACGTCAGACAGCCGGCCTCACAGATTTAAGCAAGCTGGACAGAGACAAAAGACAGTACCTATAGTTACTAGCGACAAAAATAAACTTCTCGTTATGTCGCTTAAGGGCATTGAACAACCCCATAGAATGCCCCCAGCTAAGAGCCGCTTTGTCTTTACTTCCAAAGGCATAAGCTCCCCCATAGAACCAATGGAGCACTGGGACATTATCCCCTTCCTTGACCCCTTCAGGCACTTGAACATTCAGGAAAAGACAGTCCTCCTGGCCCCAACTGGTGCCGTTGTAACCTGGAAATGGAGCGACAGAAGGCACACTATTCACACAGTCTGTGGATTGATACTCGTCTCCATGAATGACTCCCACGTGGTGCGGAGGAGGTGTTTGAGGTTTGCGAAAACGTAGGTTTCCGGTAGGTGGTTGTGCAAAGCGGATGTTGTTGTAGTTGGCCACCTGGAGACCGGAAGAGGTTGTGTTAACGAAGGTGGGTGCGTGGACGGCGTATCCAAGGTTGATGTTTGGAAAGCTGGCGTTTGAGGGAATCGCCGTGGTAAAGGGGAAGAGCAGTGCTAGGATGAAAAGCATGTTAACAATTACTCGCTGTGAGAACTGTCCGAATGGAAGCATGGAAAATAATGATGGTGAAAACTTATGTCCAACACAAACCCATCAAGACATATATATAGTACATAGTAAATATTAGCAGCTCACTGCAGAGCATGATGATCATGTTGTGCTGACTCCATCCATTCGTACTCCGTAAATTTAGACTGTACGGAGTATACGAGAGTACGACATACGATGACCCACCCAGGAATCCGTATGGAGCGGATTTAGAGCATGCCTTTCTGCGCCGATCGAATTCCTCGGATTGTGCCACCACATTAAGCTATCTGATTCAAAGCCTAAAACACTTAATCCTACCTCCAGCTTCTGTCAATTATTTCAAATTTGCCGTAGTGGTTATAGCAAGGGCCCGTGTTCCTCAGCGCTATTGCCCCATATAGAGAAATGTGGCTTGAAAAACTCGTTCTAGTATTGCCTTAGTGCCTTAGGCCTTTATAGGGGAAGGGTATGTTCCGGATCTGCCCGTGACGTCGCCAAGGGCTTTTTCGCCTGAGGCATCCACATCTTCGCCCCACCTCGGGATGTGTTAGATATACGGCTAGTCCCGACGAGGAAATAGAGTACGATTGGTAAAAAAGGTCTTATTTGAATGAATTTAGCTGGTTGGGCTCTTCTTGATTATTCTTGATTGATTATTTTGTTGTGTGCTCTGCGGGGGTTTTACCCCGTGTTCGCGAGGCACAATTCTCTCTTTCTCTTCAATTCAGGAGCTCGGGCGAGCTGACTAAGTTAACATCTAGATGGGTGACTAAGTGAGGCCACGTGACCATACCGAATATGGTAGGTCCCTAACATCCACCAACGGCCATATTATTTGACAGGATGAAAGTTATTATTAGTCCCCCCGGTTCTGTCTATTTGTCACAATTCTAAACTTAATTGCCCACACTCCCTATCCTCACAATAATGTAAATAGCCAGCGAAACTAAAAGCACTATTCCACCCCCTTAGGACCAGAGCCACCACCAGTACGTGTCGATGAAATGAACTTCTTTAAACTTGGCCCGGGTCTCTGGACCTTGGTTAGTTGCGGAGCTGGCTTTCTATGTAGCTGGTATTAGCTAAACAAGAAGCTATCGGGTCAAACAGGGTTTTACAGATACTCTACAGTCCATTCATAGGAGAGATAGCATCATCATCGTTCTGAGATTCGACATGATCAACTAGGAAGAAGCAATGTTGGTTGTTAAAGGCAAATTGATCATTATGTGAGGCCTGTCGGAATTTTAGAACACTTAAGTTGCAGTTCCAGTGCTGCTGGCACATACGGTTCAGTATAATCTGTTCACTCGAAATTGCCATTATCAGGAACTAGATGGATCAGGGGTTGGACCAATATCGATCAATTGTAAAATCAAGACTTTATTGTGATGATAATATTCCGATTTCTGAGATGGATTATATGAGGGTTTATCCAGAGGACCTAGCCTAGCTCATATCCCATGTCAGGCCTAGATTCTAGCAAATTTGTGGCTAGGGTCCTGGCTTTGCAGATATTCACGAATAGTGTATGAAGATACTGAGATTAATCCGACAATCTTGGACCAAGGTCTTTGACCGATGACGGGTGAGAGCATGTACCAACCCGGCCACGACAGGGAGATCGGCATCTCGTCCTCAACTTTAGCTTCGCATCGCGGGAGGCCCGAGAGGAGTGGAAGCGCTTGATCGAGCAGTCGGCGGGACGTTGTGTTTTAGCATATTTGGAGGTAGACCTTGCGGAAATCCGACGCCGCGTGAGGGCGCGGAATGCACAAAGCGAGAAAGATGCAGACTCAGCATTTAACTTGATGGAGGAGGTTCTGGAGAGGTTTATTGGTGGGTTTGATTTCTCCACTGATGTAATCAGGAAGCCGAGTATCAGGAATCCGCCTTAAATCCTCCGGAATCTCTCCCTCCCCAAGAACATTCTTATCCAGCACAAATGCATCAAAGGAACCCACCAATAGTGCAACCGGGCAATCATGGTCCTTTCTCTCTCCAGAGCACAGACTATACAGTATACTTAACCGTGGTCCAACAGTGTTGATGTACTCGGTATTAGGTTCAATAAACCCGCATTTCGAGTTCGGTATATGGCAAGTGGCTTTGTTATTCTCAATAATCTATATCTATCTACTTATATACTGAGATATGTACATATAGGTCCTTTAACGATACCCTCCGACGGGGAAGGTGTTCTCATGCTGGTGATTTCCCATAAGTTCTGAATAATATAATTCCGAGAGAACTGTATACTTGCATCGAACCCGAATTTCTGGTCCATATATTATAAAAGAGAAAGGGAATTTCATACAATCCAAGGAGAAAAACGCCGGGATCAAGGATGCCCAGTGAATTCCTAGTCCCTTGTACATTTAGATAATGAAAAGTGGAAACACGCAACGAAAATCGATCGCATGATAGAATTAGCAGCCAACACGGACGCTGCATAAACAGTATAGGAATCAATCAGGTAGTTGACAACTCCCAGGTAGATCAGGCAGCAGCATTGGATATCCAGTGGATAGACGGGTAGTTCGTCCAGGAAGCTAGATCAGGCCGACAGGATCGTCATGACCTCCAGCATACACGGTGGAAGATGAGCTTCCAGGTGTGCATGTCCCCTTAATCGGTCTTGTGTTTTAATATGCTTCGCTTAATGGGTATAGTGCACAGGATCATAAGACTCCATGTACCCTGCATATTCCAAAGGAGCCCCTCCACCCATCTCCATCCAACACTCATTCTCAGGCATCCACCGATGATGGATTCCAGCGAAGGTCCTGTCTGATGGTCAGCAAATACTGTTTGATGCATTCGAATACGTAGGGGTATAGTACCTAAATAAGGGCCGCAGCAAACAAGATGAGAGCCAGGCCCTGTTGTCTCGGGGCGAATATATCCGAGAGTGCGTCACTCAAAAGCCCCAGCCAGATACCGAAGGACCAAGAAACTCTGGATATTCTGGACAGCCGCACAATCGGCGGAGAAGACCGTCAGGGAAAGACAACTAACAAAGAAGGGTTTCTCGGCGGAGCCCATATAATAGCCCTACAGAAAAGCCCAGTATATAGAGGGACAACACGAGATTGGCCACTACTTCGCTGATATGGCAGAATGAAATCACCTGGTTGATACACCCACTGTAGGCAGATACGGTCAAGGAGACAACAAAGGTGGCAGAAGCCCTGAGTTTTTGGCCAGGCTAAGCACCACTGGGCTGCGGGGAGCTCCTGGAATCCACGATACTTTGTATGGACCATCAGGGGTACCGGACCCGGATACCTGAAATTCACGATCTCTGGGCCCTTAGTCGACAATCATGCACCAGTGAGCTATTCGCACATCGTTGGCATCATTTACAGTTCTTCTTTGTCTTCCAACATGGTGGATGACGTATGGCAGGGTGACTTTTGTATATCTTGAGAGAAGGAATTTGTTATGTAGTTTGCAGAGATGGAGGAATGATGCCCACCAAAAAAATAAAAAAAAAAAAAATGGCAAAGAGAGAAAGATGCCGAGATTCCGGAATAGGATAGAAATCTAGTATACGAACTCGCCTATACTACACGCTATACATGTCTATCCCAAAAGCGGAGTGATAGACATGTTGAGTGTCCTCGATAGAGACACGTTCCTCACGAGCAGCACAAAGACTTTCAAGAAATCCTGGGAGATAGTATCCAAATGCTTCGAAGATAAGGTTTCAACCAAGGTTATAGAGGTGCGGCTATATTGCAAGTAGCGTATCGCAGGTGAAATGTCGGTTTACCCAGTGTTTACCAGTAAGCAGCCTATATGCGGATTATACCGGCAATGAGCTAAAATAATCTAAGCATAGAAGCACTAAGATTCTATACATTTAGTTGAATACTAAGGAATAGCGACTATGGGTGAATACCTGCGCTGTGCATGACAGATATGCTCGATCGAATACCTACCAGCATGTAGTCTATCAGGAATACCTTGTTCCAACTATTTTATGTTATAGTACAAGTCATAGGCCACAATTCCATATAGCGTATAGAAACGGACAGAGCTCGGTAAAAACGAAATTTATTCGGGTTTCAGACAGACTTAGCCGGTCCGTTGGCTATAAATAGTGACTGTATGGGTAACTACCAGCACTATGATCAATGTAGCTGAAATTCATGTACTAGACTTTCTGTTCTCCTTATTTGCAAATACTTTATCCAACCTAGATCTGAACGCAAAAGGGAAAACTCCAAGTAGGAAGTAGCAAAAAATGAACGTTAATAAAGTACGATAGCAGAAGATCTAGTCAACGTGGTCATTAAGAAGGACAAAGACAGCGCAGTATATTCCAATGAAGGAGAAGGCAATCCTTGCTGACTCCGTGGGCTGTTTCATAGTTACATGCTTCATAGACACATTGTCATTCTCCCAATGGATGGCAGTATATCGTTCAATTCCTGTTTGTTCTGTATTCGGTATGTTAGCACCAGGAAAGCATGTAGCTAAGCAGAATCTCGACAATATGCAATACTCACCAGAGTAGCATTGGAGTCCCTAATTTTCGGATCCCTATTCTGTCATCAATGACGAGCTGCCGACAAAGTCATCATCGTAGTTTATATAGGATTACGTGCGCACCGCGAAGCGGCCGAGAAATAAGAATTTACTCTCGCTGTTGGCGTAGACACAATTCATGACATGTAGCCGGTAGTTATATCGCACCTAGACGTTTTTGCGAGCTTGTTGGTTTACTTTTCCAGTCAGATCTTTTACTGCTCAATATAGGCTCTGTATGATCCATACCAGCCGAACCTGTGGAGTCCGATTGTGATGCGCTGGGTTAATTCATCTATAAGCACCCAACCCGGCGGGACTGAGCGCCCCGAACACTTTAAGGAAGCATTAATAATATATCAGAAACTTGGACATGTGCTATATGCCGTACCCCTTACCTTGTCCTACATGCTTCTTCCTAGTTAGACTAAGTACTAGTAACGTTCGATGGGACGCAGGCTTATAAGGAGAGTTCGGAGGGATAAGCGAATTCTTTCGTATAATTTACAAGGAAAGACGTATTCTCTTCAAATCAACATCAGTTCGAAGGTTTCTACCTATATAATATCTATTCTAAACCCTAACTTCTATTCGCAGGCTTAGTTACCTTAGCATCGAATCAGCAAAACTTCTCAACCCTATTCCATTTGTCAGATATACGGCTAATCCCGAAGAGGAAATAGAGTACGATTGGTGAAAAGGTCTTATTTGAATGAATTGAGCTGGTTGGGCTCTTCTTGATTATTCTTCTTGGTTATTCTTGATTGATTATTTTGTTGTGTGCTCCACGGGGGTTTTACCCCGATCCAGTCACATGATTCTGGTCCACCAACGGCCATATTATTTGACACCATTTAGTCTAATAAACACTCCCGGGCTTGGCGCTCCACAGCGTTACGCACTTGTAATAACACCTAGCAAATCATATTAACATCCACAAATCTTTAGAAATTAAGAAAAACCAAGGCACATACCGCAGGCAAGCCGTGGGCCTGAGTTACCATTAATCTTCGAATTGGGGTTATTTCCTCTACCAAGATCATCTTCGCCTTCATGAATAACAATCGATCTCTGTTTACAGATGCGTAAGTTAAAATAAAATAAATTGTAATACTCCCAGACTTATACTTACACCTAGTATGCTAAGAGGACCTTGCAGTTTGGCGACATGATCTGTTATCGACAAGTGATAAGGGTCGCTGATGGCATCAAAGTTGCCCCAGTCACCAACGTGACGTTCTTCATCTGTGGGCGCTCCATGGAGTACGCCGAGTGGGTTGTCTACATTTGTTAGAGAATTAAGAAGTAATTCTAAGCAGCTGCTATTTCTCTTCTGCAGCCAGGGAAAGGGTAGTTATATTGACAGACGTACAGTGGCCACCTGCGTCTATACACCTATTACCAGTTGCTCCATTCTCGTGAACATGGATCCCATGCTGTCCAAGTGGTACATCGCTTAACTGGCCCGTAATAAAAAGACCATTATCTCTCTCCTCGAGAAAAAGCGTTCCTGTAATGCTGCCGACAAGATCCGCGGCTTGTAAATTAATGTAGTTAGCACCAGTCATTCATAAAATCAGTAGAGAAAGGATATCCTGAATATAATAGGTAATGATAAGTTACCCTCAAAGGGAGATATACTAGCTCTCTGAGGGACCACATCTTCACCCGACTGGCTAAAGGCAGCAGGTATTAAGAGGTAAAAAAGGATAGACGATAACATGTTGAAGATAGATTTTAGAATTCGGTTGGCTGAATGTTAGGAAGAGAACTTGCAAGGTAGAAGGCGTGTCAATCAGGTAGGAGAAAGCCACCAAGTCGAATTACTCCAAGACTGTTTCTTGAGGAGTTTAAAACCACTCCTCACGGCTATCTTTATATACATGACTTTGCTTTGAAATCAACAGGAGGGGTAGGAGGATACGAGATTGTGTAACCTAAGACATGTCCGATCATCCAGTGTAGCTCTTCAGCTAAGCCAATGAACGGGCAACGATGCTCTCCCGAAACACTACCTTTTAGATATGGGCCAGAGACTCTGGCTCCCTAACGCCACAAGGCACGTACAGGTGGGAACAGCTTCATGTCAGAATCCCCATAACACTGAAATATAGGAAGAACTGTAGATATCAATGTATCACAAACCGAAGTGAATACTAACTACTTTATAGGGACATGGAAAATTTTAATCTTGGTAACCGAGGAAAGGAGAATGGTTATATAATACTCTCTGATCGATAAGTACTAGTAATAGTAGGGGTATGGTGAATAGTAGATCATTCACCTCTCTCGTTTATTTAGGGAACACTTGTGGCAGCAAGCCAAGCGCCACACATTAACTTGTTAGTAGGGAATTTCTTAGTTCAGCGGCCATCCTGGAGGCGCTAAAAGCAACACCAATGCATTAGAAGATCATCGGTAACAGCTGAACTATATGGAGATGCGTGTTAATACGTGATCGTGTTAGCTGGGAGGATAATTAGTTAAAGTTAGCATGCCACTAGCCTATTTAATGATTCTACACTATTAGGTTTACGGGCCAATTATCGAACCTAATTTAGGATGATCATTGATATATTATGCAGGATGACCATATTATCAGCAGATATTGGATTAAGCAAGGAGCCTGAAGGAGGCGGTGAGGGATGTGGCAAATACACTTACCAAGCCTAAAGAGATTAGAAAAATAGCGACAAAAGGAAATTTTTGATGAATCCAAACGAAGGCGAGCATGGCAGAAGATAATTGGATGAGCAGGGATGTCGAAATATATCCGTAACGTTAAAGCGAATTCTGTAAAGGGTCGGGACCTCCCAGGAAAGGTTGCTACAAGTATTTCGTGTGGCGTATGAGTATTAGGTCAGAACAGAATGTCTTCTGACTAGATTCGTTGCGGGAGGCACTCGAGAATGTCACGAGATACTCCTCGGGCGTGAAGGCACCATCCACCAATCGATCGCCAGTACTGTGAGATTTTTCGTCCAGGAAGTCCAGTAGGTGTTGGATTACCCTTTAACTGGTTCTAATACGGTCGTTGATGCTGGTCAGATCGAGGCAGCATTCATCTTAATTATCCTTTCCCTCGGTTATTGTGTTTCAGTTGAATTGGTACGTTGATATAGTAAATGCAGTACTCAAGTATCCCATAATTTATATAGATATAAAGTCTCCTGATTTATATACTCTCAGTTCACGGCAAATGCGGCAACATGCGTAGTACTCGCACTTCTGAATAGGCAACCCATTGTCAACAGCGGCGAAGTAGTAACTACTGGAGTATTAGATCTTCCTTTGGGGAAGTCAGGTCCGGCCTTGTTTAGGTATACATCGAGTCAATTTTCCTTAATTCTCTCCGAAACTGACCAGGTATGGAATGCCGACCGCAATCAAGAGGAATCTAGATCTCCAGCCAGGGAACTTCTCAACTTGGATCTAATATTGTACAGTCCGAGGCTCAACAGAGATTCATGCCCGGTAGATTAGTCCATATACATACCAAAACAAATTAATAGGATTGCGATTAGAGGGGCAGAGCAAATATGTGTAAGATTGTTGGTGCACCGGGAAGAGAGTTATCCATGACGTCGCCATGTTACAATGGTTCGGCTGGTGCAGAGTAGAGTTTATGCTTCCAGCGCAGTGACGACCTATTCTACCTCCAACTAATTTATCGCCGCTCGCAGCACTTCGATTATATCTTCTATAATGGCTGAGCATCTGTACGTGATCGTGGGTCTCCAGCTCCGTCCTGGCTAATCGATCCAGCACGGTTGATATCTTGGTGATTGGCGCCGGGCCGACTGGGCTCGGTGCCGCCAAACGGTTACAGCAATTGGTACGGCCCATGACTTAGCTCTAAGACATACTCGATGCCATAACTGATAGAGCTCATGCAGGGTAGTACATCATGGCTGATTGTCGACTCTAATGAGAGACCTGGCGGTCTGGCGTCCACTGATGTGACTCCGGAGGGCTTCGTGAGTTCAGATTTATATTCGAGGAGAGAACCAGACACTCATCAAGCATCCCAGCTGTTTGATGTCAGCGGACTTGCCGTCTTCTCCCACTACAAGTACTTTGACGACTGCCTTGACGAGGCCCTGCCCCAGTCCACCGACTGGTATGAGCACCAGCGCGTATCGTCTGTGCGTTATCAGGGCCAATGGGTGCCCTACCCCTTTCAGACCAATATCGCCGTCCTTCCCAAGGACGAGCAGGTGCGGTGTCTTCGCAGCCTGATCGACGCAGCATTAGAGGCTCGGACGCGACCAGCGACTGACAAGCCACAGAACTTTGACGAGTGGAGTGTTCGCAATGTGGGAGAGCACCTGAATGAGATCTTCATGCGCCCGTACAATTTCAAGGCCTGGGCGATACCTACAACCAAGGTAGGACATCTGGGTGACCTTGACTGGAAAGTTCCGATGTTGATCAGACACCAGATGGATGCGACCTGGGTAGGAGAGCGTGTACCAGTACCCAATCTCAAGCTGTTAATGAGCAACGTCATCCGGAACAAGGTGACGCGCCATTGGGGTCCGAATGCCATCTTCCGCTTCCCAGCCAAGGGAGGCACGGGGGCCATATGGTTTGCAGTGGCACACACGTTCGCGAAGCAGAACAAGCGCTTCGGGACACCTGGGACCGTCACCAAGATCGATGCAGATGCGAAGAAGGTGCATATGCTGGATGGAACGGTGGTGCAATATCGCACTCTCATTTCCACCATGGCCGTGGACGACTTGGCGGAATTCATGGGCGATGTGCAACTGCAGCAGATGTGCAAGCGGCTTTTCTATTCCTCCTCCAACGTAATTGGCGTGGGTATCCGTGGACATCGTCCTGGTTGCATCAGGGACAAGTGCTGGTTGTACTTCCCTGAAGACGAATACCCATTCTACCGGGCCACCATCTTCTCCAATTACTCCCCCTTCAACCAGCCTCAGGAGCAGACGCAGCTCCCGACGCAGCAGCTCGCGAATGGGCAAAAACCGGTGTCGTCAGAACCGAAGCCAGGCCCCTACTGGTCCATCATGGTGGAGATATCGGAATCCTCGTACAAGCCAGTCAACCATGAGACGATTCTCGCGGATAGTATTCAGGGCCTCATCAATGCCGAGCTGTTGAACCCCGATGATGAGATCGTCAGCACGTACATCCGTCGCTTTGAGCATGGCTATCCCACCCCGAGTCTTGAGTGCAACGGCGCCCTAACGGCAATCCTGCCTTACCTACAACAGAAGGACATTCTGTCTCGCGGCCGTTTTGGGTCGTGGAAGTACGAGGTGGGTAACCAGGACCACAGGTGAGACTCCATCGCACATCAGCATGATATATGCTTAGGATAATAAATAGCTTCATGCTCGGGGTGGAGGCGGTGGACCATGTCGTTTCCGGCGGCATCGAGTTGACTCTCTCCTATCCGGACTTTGTCAATGGGCGGGCTAAATGAAGACCTGCACCCCGGCGTCGCATGGCCCATATTATATTGCACCTCAGTAACATGGCCCGTGGAGTTCTTGAACCAGATCTGGCCCTCGGTGACATACTCACCCCTACCCAGGGAGGGATGAAGATTTCACGGTCTTCCTCGGGGCCGTAGGGATACAGCCATATCTTTCCGCCACAGATATCCGTGATGAGTGGGTATTCACCATCTAAGATTTAAATGCGGAGAGTATTGAGGTTCAATAGATCTCACTATACTTACTGTTCTCGCAGTTTCCGGTGGATTTGCTGACCGCTCCGAAGGGTTTGGACTGGGAGTGGCCGTGGAGAACGCAGTGCTGGTCACAGCAGCATGCACACCATTGATGGCGACCAGAGTGAGCATCACCGAAGCGAGGAAATACATTGTGGCAGATGGATCTGGGGATAATCCATTAGTTGAGGGAATGGCTATCTTATTTATGCCCAAGTCAAGCAAATCTCTAAAAGGGTGGAGCGATTGGCCTAGGTAAACACAGCCTTGAACGCCGATGGTCAGCCTTGCTGTCGATGTCGATGGCGGGAACAATCAACATCCGTCGGCCTTCAGGATATATACTCGGTAGGATCCCGCGTCCCTTTCTCAATTGTTCTTTTGTTGCTTACTTGAGATCCGCAGTGTTCGATCTGCAGTTCTCCCTCCATAAGGGGAAGACTCCTTGGCATGTCCAGTGGACGGGTTGCATTGACAGGGAAATATAATGAGTCCCTTCATGTCATCCTTGCTACGATGCAGGTATGACGCGGCCAGAGTAACATTTATATGACAATGTAGTTGCCTTCTTCCATTTGATAGCGACCGGTCAATATTTCAGATGAAATCTGGCTATTTGTGGCTGAGCGTCCGCTTACAGCTACTTATATGTGGCTTGAGTTCATAAGTGCACTAAAAACATAGCGACGGTACGCATAGTTATCTATGCTGATAATTGCTAAAAGAGGCAATGTTTTACATCTACACTGTCGAATCAACATCCTGCCCAATATGCAGTAGAGAGATGAGTGCATTTGTAGCGCTGCTTTTGATTTGTATATAACTAACAAGATTCTACTTGACGTGGATGCATTTGGAGTGGATTTGTTATATGCCGGCTACATTACAAAACAATAATGGCCCTTGATATCCTTGTTTAAATTTATAAAGTTAACTACCAGTTGCAATCCAGGGCCTTCTTTTTCATCTTGTAACGGCTGGAGCCCATTTAACGCCTCAGGCTAATTGACCCCATTGACCCTATTGGCGCCATTGTCCCTACAGTCCTTATTGTCCCTATAGCAATTATTGCCCCTATTGCCCCTACGGGTCCTACATGCCCTGTTGGCCTTATTGGCACGGATGACCCACAGCACATGGCCTTCCTCCCTTTTCCTCTTTCTTTCCTCCAACGATTCCTTTCTGTACATAGCCTACCATATGGATTCTACGGGTTCAGCCCCTGATACATACACTCAATTCATTTTTCAATCTAGCAGCTCTATGCTAACTGGGCGATTTCATGCCGAGAACGGCCAGCCCGTAGTTTCCTGTGTTGGAAGGCCTGCTCGGTGACAAGCCCACGATCAAGACTGTAGGCTTTCGTCCATGAGCTTAGAACAAGTCCAATACCGGCAAGTCCACAACATGTGGCCCACACAGGCTTAAGACCATCGGCATAAGCCTGTTTGAGGTTTGACTTTTCGACCGAATCACTCATGCTCTTGATAATTTCCACTAGTGCCGTCGCATCCTGAACATATCCGGCTGCTAGAGGCGCGAACTTGGGATATTTCTGCAGCTCGATCCGCATGCGATTCTGAAAGATCACTCCACCAACTGCAACCCCCACCGTCTGGCCGAAGGCACGGAAGAAGGAGAACATCCCGATTGCATATGCGACGTCTGCATCAACAGCAGAGCCCTGAATTGCAAATGCCATGGAGGGGAAAAGTATTCCAAGCCCGGTCCCACCGACGATCATGACGCAGACCCACAATGCAATAGGTGTATGGACGTCGAGCAGATATAAGAGACCGAGGCCGAGGGTGCTGAACGTCCAGCCAACCCAGATGGTGTGTCGATAGCGACCGGTGACTGCGATGATAATACCAACGACACCGGCAGCTGGGGCAACCGTGAACGTCATTGGAAGACAAGACAAGCCAGACAGAATTGGAGTATATCCTTTCACTCCTTCAAAGTAGAGCGGCATGTAGTAGAGCACACACCAGAGGATCATCCCGTGCAGGATGGTGCCCAAGTACGAGATGATGGCGGTGCATGTTTTGAAAATCGATAGTCGGACAATGGGCTCGACTGCCACATGTTTCTCGTAAAAACCAAAAACGACAATCCCCACCGCTCCTACAACCAGTGGGACCACAGTATGCCAGGATGACCAGGAGTACATGATACCACCCCAGCTGAGTGGAATTAAGAAGGCACTAGAAGAGGCGATGAAAATGACGGACCCAGCCCAGTCTACCCGGGCCAGTTTGGATCTCCAGTTGGATGACAGTGATTTGAATCGAAGGAAGATCACCACAAAGATGAGACCAAGTCCAATGAATGGAAAATTTATATAGAATAACCAACGCTGGTGCGGGCATTAGTTCATCGTGACGTTTTGCACGGAGAGGCTGTTTTGTAGAATCTTACCCAAGTCGACCGCTGGACCAGCGCTCCTCCTATAATGGGACCGCATACAGAACCCAAGCTCCACATCGTACTGAGGATTCCAAACCATCTGCCACGATCCCGAAGAGGAACCATATCAGTGACCACGATCTCTGTCAATGCAATGATTCCTCCGCCCCCCACACCTTGTACCGAACGGCTGACTAAGAAATGCACTGCATTCTGTGCCTGCGAGCCTACAAGCGCACCGACGAAAAACAACACGACTGATATGAGTATCATAGACTTTCGGCCGAAGATATGTGAAAATGCCGTGAAAATGGGCTGGAAAACTGCAACGTGTTGTCAGTATGAAAACCATCGAAGACAATCAGTGTAGGTAAGCATACCAGAGGAACACAGTAAGAAGGAGGTGCCACCCCAGAAAGCTTCTATAGCGGTAGTGTTTAATGTCTGAGAAATTCGCTTTGGACGCCTAAGTCAGCATACAATTGTATCCATTGTAATGTAGGAGAGTATTTGGACCACGAACAGGCAAAGCAATCGACAGGGAAGTCGCGTCCAGCGCCGACATGAGGGTCAGAATGCTGAGTGCCGCGAATGCGAGTCCAAAGGAAACAGTGGCCAATTGCTCCTCTTTGCATGTTAGCTGGTCGACTGGATTTTTAACGTCCATTGCTTGTACTGACTTGTCCATGCTGAGAGACTGCAAGTAATTAGGAGTTACAGGCTCAGCTTATTATTCAAGATGATGATATCTTAAAACAAAGAGGCATATCCAAAATCTTTCTCCACGGGAGCGTGAACAGGTACAATCATCGGCCACCGATTTCTTGAGACTCTACGAAGGGGTGAGCTGGGGATATGCAAACCCTGAACTAAACTAATCAAGCTTCAGTGCCTAATTAATTCGTACAAAACATGTGGACCGTTGTCATTGAACAGACCGCCCCTTGGCTAGATCCGCTTTGGAATATTTGGATCGGAAACTATGTCCAATATCCTTCGCGCCACATATGGTGGACAAAATAGTGCTTCGTAAGAGGGGAATCTACAGTTAATTGATTTATTAGCGTGACCTAAAAGGAAATCGCGCAAATGCCCTTCGACTGTATATGGATTACCTATCATGTTCCCACACCTGGCACGGACAAGGGGAAGTCCAGAGGGAGGTGGTGGCAGCACTAGCCATCTGGCTCCGTGGAGAGCGGCAGGATACTGCAGTAAGAACAGCTTTTTAACCAGCCCTGGCGAAAGGGCAAGACTCCCGCCTGGGGAGGCACTCCCACCATGGTATATTCGATACGGTCACTTGCAGTGAGTGGACATTGGGAAGTAAGAGTTGATCCTTCTCTGTTAAAGTGGGCGGCAAAATCAAGGTTAGCCGTTGCAACTGTCGCAGGCGAGTCTTTTCACGGCAACTTTCGCATGTCTTGTACTGGGTGGCCAGTCAGGGCTGCACACACCAGGTACGTAGGATACGCTGCCCCGACTTGGGCTCCACCACTAGTCCAGCTGGGCGAACAGGAGGTGCTTCTGGTTCTTGTAAATAGGTGATAATAGCGCTCTGTTGTTGCAGAGATTTGATTTGCCCAGCACGATTCCGCTCACTACATCATCGCACGTTAAATAATACGTATCCTGCCCTGGAGTAAAGTAGCTGCTGTCCTGGCGCAGCGGAGCCATGGACAATGGCCAAACCAGTGAAGCTTTGTCGAACGCAAGTCTGTGGAGAGACGCCAAGGGGGGCGGGAAGGGAGTAGGAATTACTTCCATTTATTTTCATATACAGGTCACATTTTTCAAAGTAGGTTTCCTGCTTCGCACCAGTCACACAGCAAGGAGAGCTCCACTATGGTAAAAGTTGTTACCCACAGAGCAGCTGCAGGGGCGGACAGCGTTGCCCAAAATGCGTAAGTACGCGATGCCGCAAGGCCGCAAAGCCGTAGACATGTGAACATGAAATCACATGTAGTGGAACAATTTATAGGAATTTCTTATCTTATATAGTTACCTACAATCTCGACTCTTAAGCTTCTACATAATATTGGCTCTAACGAAAGCCACAAACTGTTAAGGAACTGAACTTGCTATATAGTACGCTGAGCTCGATGACCATTTGATCATCGATTTGCGCTATTTTGGCTGTGGCGTACACTTCGCAGTTGGACTTGGGTCCTCATACAAGATTAGTATAATAGCTGGAATTTAGAGGTACCATACTCCACAATGAAAGAAGCGCAGTTACTCTCTATACTAGCGCTAGTATGCTAATAGTCAGATATAGAGGGCCTAGTCTGTTCAGCCATCATCGCCGATCTCTTCAACCTTCGGGTTCAGTGCCAGGGTTGTTCGTAACATTATTTTTGCTGTAGTTTCCCCTCAGAAACGCAAAAAAAAACTTTAATTTCTATAATAGGAATTGACTTTCCTTCCGCATACTTTAACATAAAGTATGCAGGTCAATAACCTCTCGTAATATTAACAGGTGGTTGTTCATCCTATGATTCAGGCAATTGGCGAAGCCAACAGTCTGTAGATGGCATAGTATGTAGTAATAGTTTAAAAGTGTGCCTAGCGAATACTCACAATAATCATATGTAAGAATATTTGAAGATAACTGATGCATATTATCCTAGCCTCTTAGACTTGCAATCAGTATATGCTGCGAATATTCGCAAGTTACATTACAAGTTAACAGGCCATCGGAGGGTGTGATGTTGTATATCCTATAGTGTCCAAATATCGATCGCCGTTCAAGCACGTTGGCCCTGTAATGGTTTCGATATAATGCATATAGTATACTGGGCCAAGGGTCCTAGTAGCCCCTATGGAAAGCAACCACGTATCATTGAGTGTCCTGAATGGCTGATACGCTGAGTATCAAATATGACCAAAGATTAAATTTCCCCCGGGATATCCAGATCGAAATATCAGCATTATATATAATAGCCAGAGCCCAGAGCTTTGAACTGAAATATACAACTCAGAAGACTGGAAATCCGACAGTCGAGATATTCTCCATGGCATATCATATTTTGACTTGGCTTGGTCTTCAGCAATATTATTGGTCTTCAAAGCTGCTACCCGAAATTGAAAGAACCAAATTTCCTGAGCTCTGTCTCGAAATCGTATCAATTGGTGTTCAATATCCTGGTTGGACGGTTCGTCCAGAAGACGTGGAGTCCTTCGCCAAGAGGCATTACGGCGATTCCCCAGCGTAGGTCTGAAGCCAATTCGCATAATATCTCCCACTCTTTTCCATATGACACTACTCTATCAAATACGGGACACGTGCTTGTTTCTCTGATATTTCGATTACAGAATCCAGCGGACGCTGAAGTTGAATTATGCAACTGGGATAGTCTCGAGGCCATCCATAGCCCATATTGATCTGAAAGACATCAATGCAGATGAAGCGCCATCAATTACAGGAATCCATAGTTTGTTCAAAGAGTATGGTGTTAATCTCGCAGTTGAGGCTTGTCAAAAGGCAATCAAAGAGTGGGGAGGCAGCCCTACGGATATCACGCATGTTGTCGCCGTCACATGTACTGATTCCTCAAATCCAGGGTACCATGAGTTGGTAGCAAGGGAGCTGGGCCTTAAGTTGGATATCGACAAGGTGCTATTGCATGGTGTTGGGTGCTCGGGTGGCCTAGCTGCGTTGCGCACAGCAGCCAATGCTCTCCAGGGAGCGGCGCATAGGGGCAAGCCAGGACGAGCCCTAGTCTTTGCAACTGAAATCCACACTAGCTTGGCTAGGCGTGCTTTTGACCAGTGTGAGGAGAGTGGACAACCGAACATTACTGTGGCTCTTTTCAGTGACTGCGCTTCGGCGTTAGTGCTGAGCAACGGATTGGAGAGGCGAGAGTTTGAGCAACCGATCTATCGCTTGCTCAATTGGAAGCAAAGGACGATTCCGGATACCGAGTCGGATATTCAGCTTAATGTTCATCCAAAAGGTCCGTACATATTTTTCTAGCTAAATACAAACTTTCTTGCTGAGCGACACATCACAGGTTGGAGCGCAGTGGTTACAAAAAATGTACCTCACATCGCGGCCAAATCAGTTCGCCCAATGTTCGACGAACTGGTGCGTGAGACGCCCCTTATTTCAGGAAAAGGGCTTCTAAATGCCACGAGCTTTGATTGGGCGCTACATCCTGGTGGGCTTGCGGTGGTAGAGAGAGCTAAACAGGCTTTGGGCCTTTCCTCTGCTCATCTAAGTGCATCCTACGAGATCTATAGAAAATATGGGAACAGCTCCAGTGCCACTGTGATCAGTGTCCTGGACTGTTTACGAAAAATCCCAGGCGGCCAAGATCATGTTGTTGCGTGCGCGTTTGGACCAGGAGTGAGTGTTGAGATGGCCTTAATGGTTCGTCCACGGTAAATGCAGATCGCAGTCAGGTTAAGTGTCCTCTTTGGACATGTTCGCCTCTTATTTCCAGGAGTTTCGTTTGTTGCAAGAGTTCGAATATTCAATGCCTAGTTGTTGCCTTCAAAAAGGCTAGCACATGGTGTAGTGAAGCAATATTCCTCCAATAAAAGAAGGCCAGTCAGATCAACTCCCGTCCAATGTATTATGGAGGAAGAAAGGTACTATTTTCCCCATGAAACAAGAACCGCCACTTTGATCGCGTGTGAGAAGAGACATATGTAGAGCCATTAACGCATCGGCGAGGATTGTTGAAGAAATGTCCAGAGAATGTCACAACTTGAGCGTGTATTACCATCGAGTATCCAGTCTTCCAGAATTGTGGAGTGGGATTGGGACAGCGAGGATTCGGCTTCACTAGGGAACAGAAGAAAAGCTGTCATTCCTAGTAAGCAGTATGTGGCGTGGCTATCACAGAAAATGCCTTTCATGAGTTTCCCCGTTCTTCACAATTGTCTTTCCAGAGGGTCTGGAGTTGTGCCGTTCTTTTGATGCTGCCTCGACGAACTTTTAAAGACGAAAACTCTTCATTTTCAGGCCTATTTACCTGATTTGACACTGTGTGATGACAAGCAAACCAAGTCGATAAAATCATATTGAGTCCTATATCAAGGACACCAAATAAAAGGAGCACAGGAAGAAGGAGAAGGGGCGCCATCACCGTGATGCCAGGATTCGGCCCCCAGAGCGAACCCCACTCCTTGTCTTTTCACGTCAACTCTGTGGCGATCCTGATAAACCCGGACCAATTGGAAGGCCGTTTATTGGTCAGGTCGGTATCTATCTGGCTTAGTTTGCAATCCACCCTGCGTGGTCCTGTAGATCCATTCCCCATCAGGTCTAGCACAAGAAACAGTAGGTGGATCTTTTCATTGGCCATGGTCAGCCCGGCCTTCGCACTGGACGTCCGGAGATGCCATGTTGAAAGATACATTCATGGGATGGGATGGGATTATCAAGTCTACATTCTCTAACCGTAAAGCTGCTGAGGACTGAAAAAAAAAAAAAAAAAAAAAAAAAAAAAAATCCCACTTGGAACAGGATATGGCAAGATACAGACATTTAGTTCTGCGGCAAGTAACACAGTAGACATTGTCTCGATAGCTAAACTGACTTATGCCCTATTCATCAATTGTCACCCTCTTATTATTAGAATACTAACTCTAACACAGTATACAAACAAAGCCCTTCGATATCAATACGAACTATAGTCCCGGTAGTGGGCCAGCGGAAGACTGTTTGGTCCCGAAGGAACTGAACAGACAAGCATTGTATCCACCGGGATTAGACTTTAGATTCATGTATCGCACGTCCCCATCTCCCGTTGACAAATCTCACACCGCACTAGCGCAGGCCCAGTATAGTAAATCGGTCGACTCGAACGTGTTCGCCGAGAATCAAACATGCCACCCCTAACGCCTAGCGGCCCCCAACTCTGGCTAGTACACCGCGGGCTTTGCCAGGCTCCGACGGCAAACGGGCCTAATTCCACTCCGTCATTCGAGCGAACTGGGCAATCTTTTTCGATCTACGGCTCGCGATGGAGTTAAGGGGATTTGAGTCCTACCACATTTGTGCTAGTCGTCTGTCCTCCCTATACCCGTTGTCCAGGAGAAGGTCGCCTGCAGTTGCTATATCAGTCCCGACCTCCGCAAGCCACGCTGTCTTCGGCCATTGCACGACCTTCCACGATGCCGACGGTGACATAATGCAGCGCATCGTGTCCATCCCCCTGGCGATCTGCGTCTTTCTCCTATACAACATTCTCTTGTTCCGATGGCAACGAGGCCATCCCGAGACCTTCCGATGGGGAGAGAAATCACCTTCCACCGAGTTAAACAGCAATCCTGCTGTGAACCTTGAAAAACCGGACCTCCTCCAAGATACACAGAATGCTACCTTGGGGGTAATATACACCTTTCCTCTCGATTCTGAAAGAGTTCATACTCTAACATTCTCTAGTTTGAGCGAGTCTTTGCCGTTGGGTTCGGTGACCGAACGGATAAGCGTGATGCTATGGCAATGGCTGCCTCCTTCGTGAGAATGGATCTGGATTGGGCTGGAGAACGACTGGATTCGACTCCGGGCAAACATCGTGGGCGCCCTGATAGGCGAGGATCTTGGTTCGCTCACACGAATGTGCTGCAGCAGTAGGTGTCCCAATTCTCTCACTACAGTAACTTCACACAGTGCTCACCATGCATTTCTAAACTAGAATTGTGGACCAGAAAGTTCACAGTGCATTGATCCTCGAAGACGATGCGGACTGGGATATAACGCTCAAGGCCCAGTTGCTGGAATTTGCCCGGGGCTCTCGCGCCATCCAGTCGGCGAAACAAGCTCAACGTGGGCGGAACCTAAGGCCTGTGCTTTCGTCTCCCTACGGTGATGACTGGGACATGCTGTGGGTAGGACCCTGTGGCATCACCGCGCGCGGTGAACAGCCCTTTTACGCCATTCCGAATGATCCAACGGTGCCCCCTGTTTCTCGACGGACCGAGTATGAGCATCCAGCCTTTGCAGACGAAGAAGGGATGGAGCAGACGCGCTTCTTCTTCGCCAGCACTGGCGGTGTCTGCACTACCGGATACGCGGTGACGTACGAGGGGGCACGAAAAATCTTGGCCCAGCTCTCCATGATGCCCTCGAATCAACCTGTCGACGTAGCCTATAGCGCTCTGTGCGGTAGCTCAAATGATTATTTCCGCTGTGTAGCTTCATACCCACCGCTCATCGGCATCTGGCTGCAGAAGGGATCCAGCGACCTCAATTCCGATATTTCTGACTCGGGTTCGCCCCCGCATGAGGCGTATTCCAGCGGGATTGTTTACAGCACCAGGGTTAATGCGCAACGCCTCGCAGCAGGAAAACAGACTTGCTTGGCACAGTGGGAGGATGCGAAGCCCTCAGAGATCGACTCAGCCACCTTTACCTCGCCCCGGGGACATCTAGTTCAAATGGAGCGGCCCGAGACAAAGATCAAGCCGTCGCACTCTATTGCTTCCAACTCTGCAGATGCTGTGCCTAGCTCCGATTCTGCTGGCATCCCCACATATTCCTCATTGCCAGCGCTAGAAACTGCGACTCGGCATGAATTGAGATCATCATCCTTAACAGGCATAAGTACTTCATTCGCCAGGCGCCTTGAATTGATTACCAGTCGCTCCCTATTTGCTGAAAAGGCAGCACAAAAACCAACGGATGCTCTTTCTTTATCGCTATCCATGCTCTCTCTTTTTCAATATGTTTTCTTTTTTATTCTTTTCGTCTTCATTTTCTGTTATTTTCCTATCTTTCTTTGTATTTCCTTTTCGTATCTGTCCCGCCGGTCTAGGCTCAACCAAGAACACCCGGTCGATGAACCGTGACCTATATACATAGCACCATAGTCAATAATGATAGTCAATAATCTTAATGAAATAAACTAATCTGCGAATGTGAGCGCGATGTGGGACGAAGAGGAATTAAAATATTGTATCTGTATGCTTAAGAGGTCAGGGGTGTCACAGGCTGAACCTGTAACATACTATATAGGGCGCTAGATGCGACTGATCTTCGATCAGTCGTCTTGTACCTTTTTATGTGGTCAAGTGGTTTTATCTCTACTAGCGCAGAGACAACCAAACCATCACAAGGGGCTGGTATATATACTTCATAGTCAATATTACGATGGCAATTGATAAACCAGACATGCATAGGGAGGGTCACCCACCCCCTTTGAGAAAGTATACATTCTACTGACAGCTGTATTCCAATATTAATTCTTCCTGTCCAGCCATTAATTAGTCCATGTCACATCAGGACGTCCAAAATTAATTTATTAGAAAATTTAAAGTACTATTGCATGTAAAGCGCTGGAGCCCATTTGACCTCTCGGGCCAATGTCCCTATTATCCCTGTTGTCCCTACTGTCCCTATTGTCCCTACTGTCCTTACTGTCCCTACTGTCCCTACTGTCCCTGTTGGCCCTGTTGGCACCTTTGGCCCATCGGCCCTTGATGTTCGCGAGGCACAATTCTCTGAATTCAAGGGGCTCAGGCGAGCTGACTATCTAGATGGGTGACTAAGTGAGGCCACGTGACCATACCGAATATGGTAGGTCCCTAACACCCCCCCTTGGCCGAAGCGTGCTCACCCAGCACCATTACGTACAGAATCGCGTGTAAAGCAAAAAGCCAAAAAGCCAAAAACTAAGCTAAACCTATATTATCGAGAAAAGCCGTGAATCCTTCGGATCGAAGCAATTTAGTAAGGCCATCCGCAGCGTTCTCCTTACTAGGGCATAGCCGAATATTAATAATGCGGTCCGCCGCGAGCTCGCGCGTATAATAATACCGAATATCAATATACTTAGAGCGCTTGGTGGTGACTGTTGAACTAATAAGATCCTTGCAACCTTTATTATTAATATAGAATGCAATGGGGTCTAAAGGCGCAGAGTAGATCTCCATCTTGTTAAGTAGGCGACGAAGCCATTAAGTTTCCCGAGCTGCGTCCGACGCCGCCATATATTCTGCCTCATTGGATGATAAGGCAATGGATGTTTGTTTGGCAGATCGCCATGATATCGGGGCACCGGCTAAAAGTACGATATAGCCTGATACTGACCGACAATTATGATAAGGACCTCCCCAGTCCGAATTGGTATAAACCAGTGGTTGCGGTAGGGGTCCATTTAACATGTGAAAGGTGATACCCCGTGTACAAGATCCTTTCAAATATCGAATTAAGTGTTTGGCCGCTCCGAATGCCTTTCTGGTAGGGGCCTTGTTAAATTGCGCTAGCAAGCTCGCGATACGCGCAATATCTGGACGGGTCCTTAAGGCAAGCCATTGAAAACTACCCGTGAGTCGATTATATTCCTCGTTAAGGGTGGGATCGGGGTCGTCATCAATAACTAAACCCGGATCTGCAGGTAAAGAGACTGGATGGGCATCTGCGAGCCCTGCCGAAGCAATAAGATTATTAATATAAGATGTCTGCATAAGCTTAATCTAACCATCAGATTGAGTAATCTCCATGCCGAGGAAATGCTTAAGGTGAGCTGTCTTTTTAATCGCGAATTTTGTTGCATTGCGTTTAGGAGCCATTCTGCGTCTGCTTTAAGCGCTGCAATAATAGCAAAATCATCTACATGAGCAGTCACATAGAGATTCTTGCAAGATTGGTGAATCCATAGGCCTGGGTCGTAGTCGCTTGTTTTAAAGTCCAAAGCTTCAAGATCACTGCGGAGACGGTCGTACCATATACGTGCGGAAGGCGCGAGACTGTATAGGGCATTATTTAGCTTGCAAACCATGGTGTCAGGATCACCTTTTAAAAGCCGGTTGGTTGGCGCATATATATCGGCATATTAACTTTGCTATTAAAAACGCCTGCACCGCGTCCGCCTGAGTGATATACCATTTGCGATAAGCTGCAACCGCGAATAGGATATTAATTGTTTGGGGATAAACCACTGGCGAATATGTCTCCCCAAAATAAGGATCTTGTTTAACCAAGTTACCACGTATAACCCAACGTGCCTTGTATTTGAAGGTGCCGTCATTGAGGTCCTTAACACTAAAACCCAACGACCAGGGATAGGCTTCAAGCCCTTAGGTATAGATTGCTTATCAATCAAGTCCCATACCTTAATTTCGTCGAGACGGGAAGCTTCAAGCTCGCAAGCTGCTAACCATCTATCTTTATCAGGTGATTTCATTGCTTCCTGCCAAGTATTCGGAATCGGAGGTCGATTTGCCTCAGCAGTGGAAGTAGGCGAAGTAGGGGTAAATCCTGCGAATGGAGCAAAGCCTTTAGCAGGTCGAACCCAGTCAGATTGTCTGTTATCCTCCGCGGGAGAATCCCCATGAGATGCAGCGCTTCCTGCGCGAGATGTTCAGGGTCCGGAGGTACGGTAGAATTAATCGGTTTTTATAGGCTGTTCCCTCTGAGCCTGTTCGTTGAATAAAACATGGCCAGTCCGAATAACCTTGTTTGTCTCTTTGACGTAGACCTTATGATTGGTTGAAGAATCGCTGCCGATGTAGATACCTGGAGCGCCACGGCCAACAATCTTGTTAAAATCTTGATATCCTGGGTTGTTATAATACCAAACACAACAACCAAAGGGACGAATGTGAGCAATCTGCGGATGCTTGTTAAAAAATACGGAATGCGGTATAACATACTGCGAGGGTTAAATATCTGGATTGGTAGATACCCCCTGGAACTGAGTAATCTGCGTACAGCGTAGTAGACATAGGGACGTTGTTTGTAATATAGACTGCGTGTTGCATGGTGTCCTGCTAGAGCTAATATAGTAATCCAGAATTATGCAGAATCACGCGCGTACGCTTAATAATAATCCGGTTGGCGCGTTTACCTGGTCTATTCTGCCATAGGGAATAAAGATTAGTTGGTTTTATCTTCGCACCATTTTTATTCGCCTATTTCGTTATTTCCTCAGTCACAAATTCGTTATCGCAATGCACGAATGCAGGCGGTTAAAAGCCTTGGTTTTTATATAGCTAAGCCATTGTTCGAGATGTTGATGGACGAGCTTTCTATCTTTAAGAAATATAATCCACTAATACTGTGTTGCGTTGTCTGTTATCAGCATATAATAGCAAGAACCCGTACGAGAAGCAGGGTCGTTCAGCTGCTTATAGTGTTCAGACAGAGTATTGCCTCCACCCGCAATATTAATAAAAATGCGTTAAAGAGGTCTCGTGGCGCGTTTTGCCAATGTATAAGATAGGCTGCGCCTTTGGTTCGCCGCGTGACAAATATCGCAAAAGGGCCGAGATTAGGGATCGGAAACCTTAATCTGGCTGCCAGGCGTACGAGATAATCGCAAAATATCAGGGTAATTTAGGTGCGCTAATCGTCGATGCCATTGGATTATGGTAGCCACCTGAGGATTGGGTGCTTTAGAGGCTATAGCCATAAGAGCTAATTCCTCTGAATAAGATGTCTTGTATATCACACTGTTAATCTTATAACAGTTTGTTGTCGAAGGGACTGCAGTAATAGTCAAGCCGTTCTTATTAGTAAAAACAATATTAGTGTACGCGTCCTCTGGGATTAATGGTTTAAAACCTGCCTTTAGGAGCTGCGTGTAACTCAACAAATTTGCTAACAAACCAGGTACGTGGCGCACCTCTGGTATATCAAGGGGTAATATTATTTAACATTATTCGGGCCGTTCCCTTAGCAAGGGGAGGCTTTTGTCCACCTAAGGATCCGCTAATATTAAATATACCAGTCGGTAGAATTTCGTATGTTGAAAAAATGTCTTGTTAGGGGTTATATGGTACGAAGCGCATGTATCCACATACCATTCAGGTAGTTGTTACATGCTTGATTCTGCAACATAATTTACAGATACCAAGGGCTTCGGTGCAGGTGGTGCATATGCAGGATCACCTTTGTAGCCCTATACTTGTTAATTCGCTTGAGAAACGCTGGCGTTGCTTTATTAGAAAGAATTGCCTCGGGATTCTGATACCAGCATATCCTCGTGAGAGAATGTCGTCTATAATAACTGCAAGACGATTTTGCATTTTTAGAAGAGGTAGAGTCCGATAACTCGTTATCCGGCTTTTTGATGCCATCAGATTGTTGGTTTAATCCAGAAGTCTTTAAACGGCGCGTATTAGATTGTTGCAATTTTAACTGTTGTCTAATCTTAACTAGATCGGTATTCTTAATCGGTTGATTTCCTGCCCCTGAGGCAAGGAATGGATCAAGCTTATTCGTTATAAAATTCGATTGCCAATTGCGTAGGCGAATATAGTAGATATCATGAAATATATTATCCACAGTCACATGGAGGCGTTTCGCGCGTGCCTGGAGCATTAAAAGCTTGCTCTTGTACGCCAAATAATCGCCATTATATAATTTAATATCAATAATTTCTCGCACTAGGTCATAGCGCTCCTGGGCCTTCGTCTGACCTATGGCCTCATAGATTCGTATATATAATGCAGCTGCCTTCGAGATATCTATCTCACCTAGGCGATCCTGCACTTCTCGTGACATTGACTGGTAAATTCGGATAGCCAAAGCTTTATTCTTTATCTGCTAAATTGCTGAATTGAGCTCGTCACTGTCTGGTGGATTGAGCTCCTCGTTGATCAAAATCGACTCCGCGTTTATAATACGGGCGTCTTTAAGTAGATCCTCTTTCCAATCGGCGAAATTGGAAATTTTCAGAGATCTTGGTTTATGTTAAAGCTTTCGACCAACATCCTTCCGCATGGCGCTGACTGCTTGTATTATACTCGCGCGGCCGGCGTCATCCTCGCTTGGTGGCGGTAGAGCTGTTGATGTGGGCTTCGGATTTGGAGTAGGCGTACTTAAAAGGGGCGATTGACTGCGTTGAATTAGCTCTATTATTTGCTGCATTTGAGTTTGTTGATTCTGCAGCTGCGCTTGGAGATCCCTAAATTGATCCCTTGACACGTATTCCATGCGATCATCCTCTTCCTCCTCCGACGCAGTATCTCGTGGTAGTGGTCTTATTATCGCAGGAGAGGATGGGCCAGGTGTACAGTATGGAGATTCATCCCTAGCAGGCGCTTTTCCCTTCTTCGGGCCCATTTTGATTGAAATTATTATCAATTCCTCGAGAGGCAATTGAATAGACAAAACAGGTGGTTTAAAACCACGTAATATCAGCTCTAAAAGGAAGATATAGAGGGTCTCATAACCTGTTCGCGAGGCACAATTCTCTGAATTCAAGGGGCTCAGGCGAGCTGACTATCTAGATGGGTGACTAAGTGAGGCCACGTGACCATACCGAATATGGTAGGTCCCTAACACTTGATCTATGTCACGTGACTTTCTATGTTTTTGTTTACCGCTCATTTTCCTCTTCCTTTCTTCCCTTCTTCAACGACTCCTTCTTGTACATAACCTATCTTATAGGTTCTATGGGTTCAGCCCTTGACATTGCATTACTTAATAAATTAGATAATATGATAATTCTTCTTTATTTTATATATAATCATAATTCGAATATAAATTACCATACAGATAGCAATTTACACTATATTTGGTTGAATAAAAAATCATCGAAAAGTGCTAGTTTGTATCATTGTATGGGAAAGGTGGTCCGATTCGGGGGGTGGTCCGCTTCTAAGTGTCTGATCTTATCTAAAGGATTCAGGGATTGAATCGATCGTCAGATACCCGCACCGCCAAGTCGGACGGATAATAGCATTTGTGTACGGCCTCGCAGGCTCGTTGACATTATCCCTTCGTCTCACTACGTTCGTTTCAGGGCATTGTCAAATACAGTTTGGCCACAAAAGACGCCACGACGACTTTTATTTTCAATACTAGGTCAGGGTTGACACATACTCCAGTCGAAGAAGGGTCTCCGGAGCCCATTGCCTGGCCTGCAGGCAAGCCATGATACTTGCGCGTTAAGTGGTGTCCATTGATGAAGTTTAAAAGGGCCTGGTTAGAGGCTACAGTTATAGTATATAAGAAATAAATAAATCAAAATTAAATCAATTGCAGGTGTCACTCGGAGACCGAAATGGCCTGTCTTCGTCCCAGTGGATACGGGCACGACCTTGCAGAAATCCTGCATTCCCTTGGAACTCAATGCAATTCACTAGGTCTTTGTCCCGGAGATCTTCTCCGGTATCCCTTTGATAAATATTACAGGAGGATTATGGACACAGGAGTAGGGCTGCGCCAGAAGAGGAGAAGATAAATTAACCACTTGGCATCATGTATAGTGGTTGGGATTGGGATATTCGACAGGATAGTCGGATACAAGAAGTCAAGTAAAATTAAAGCTAAAAGTGGAAGCAGAATACAACAAATTGTTATATTATGCCCTAAGGTCCCCTCCTAGACTATCTGTATACCAGGCCAGAATTATTCCTCATAGACGGGCAAGTGTCCTATCGGCTTGAAGCACGGAGAGATGGTTTCGTCGTATATCTTTAATTGTCCGACAACTAGGGCTCGTTAACACCTCGCAAAAAAGAAAATTATGATTCGCATACCCAGCTAAAGCCATCGTTGTCTTCAGTTCACGATGTAGTATTTTCATGGCCAGCTCGACGCCGTCTTGGCCGTTATACTGTGCAAAGAAAGCACAGTGAGCACACAAGGTCATAACAGTGCAATATCAATGGTTAAGGTCGGGCAAACTTACAGCTAGACCCCAAATCGGGACGCGCCCAACAAAGCAATGCTGTGCCCCGAGAGCTAAAGCTTTGAATATGTCGGATCCACGTCGAATGCCACCCTCCAATGCAATTTGGATCTTCCCTCGAGCTACAGGTTCACATTCTCTAAGAGCATCAATTGCAGCTGGAGTGCCATCTAATTGCCGTCCTCCGTGGTTGGAGATAACTACTCCATCGGCACCATATTCTATCGCCAATTGAACGTCCTCTTTCGTAGTTACTGTGCCCGTATCATCAGATTATGTATAACTAGGGACGCATTCCGGCTTGTAAACATACTTCCCTTAAGCCATATCGGCAAAGTCGTGTTTTGGCGTAGCCACGGAATAAAACTTTTCCACTCGAGACTCGCATCTGATCACTTAGTACGAACGGCGGAGCTTTTTCGAATGGGCTTACCGTAAGACTTCCGACCATCCTCGTCAAAGAAACTGTGCTTCCCGCCGAAGTTGAGGTTAGGGTATGACATATGCTCTGGGAGCACAAAGCCATTGCGGTATTCATTCAATCGCTGGCCGATAATAGGGAAGTCTACTGAGAGAAAGAAGGCCCTATAACCAGCCTCTAAATGGAAGGGGAGTCAGTCTCAACTAGGCTCGGTAGGACGATGGAGGATAGAAAAACGCACTTTCGGCCCGTTTCAAAAGTTGTAGCGCGATTGACCGGTCTCTCAGAATGCACATCTGAATGGCGTATGGGTTCTCTTGGCCGTGCGCAATGACCTCTTCCAGGGAGACCGTCGAGTAAGAAGACAAAACCATGCTTAGGCCAGAGCTGGCTGCTGCTCTGGATGTGGCGAGTTCACCGTCTGGGTGGGCAAGCTTCTGCATCCCGGTAGGGCTGAAAGCGAGAGGGAATGCCACCTGACAATTAATCCGATAGTTAAAACATAAGGCTCATATCTGAGTTAGTGTAAAAGCGGCGTCTCGCACCTTACATCCAAAGATGCTAGTTGAAGTATCAATCTCATGGACATTGACCAGAACCCGAGGTCGAATTTTGTAGTGGTCAAAGGCTGTTTCATTCTCTCGAAGGCTGTTGAAGTCCAGTTAGGCACTTTTCTTAATTAAAGCAGCGTGCTTCTGCGCCATACGTGACCATATCCATTGATCCATCATCATGATAGTCTAATTTCGTCAATATAATCTTCCTTTCGAGCCACATTAGGTTTAAACCTACCTCTGTACACCCGTGGAAGCTTTTGGTTGCCAGCATCCTTCAAGTCTTTGATACAAAAGACGCGTTTATCAAGGGTGGGGGGTCGGTTCGCCATGTTAAAAGTCAATAAGGTAGCTCGTTATCAAGCACTGTCTGAAGATGTAAAGTCTCTTGTGACTTGATTAATACTCAATGGAGCAAGATATTCTGCCTTGGCGATAGGAGGTAGATAATTCAACGCAAAACCGAATGATGTGAACTACCAAGATTCGAGGACGGAGAAAGTCGCCAATTTAACCACGTAGAAACCTCGCAAGATAATAATTATTAGGCCGGATTAGTACAGATCAATGCTGGTGGGTCGCCTGGGCCGAGTAGAACTATCAGTTTGGTTTGGTAAATTCGTTTTCCTGAAACAACGATGCGTTAGGTTGACTAATAACACAAAAACTTTATTATCACCGCACTCTTAGTTCACCGGATATTTCACGGCTGTTTCAGACTCCCTATTGTTCAACTAAAAAAGCGGCGATCATTGCTTAAGAGCAAGATACAGAGAAGCATATGCCGCAGGACTATTCTAGATGCTCTAATATGTATAAAACTTAAATTTCTTATAAATCTTTTTAGATAAATCTGCGATGTGATAGGTCAAAGTATTCCTACTCCACATGCGTCTAAAACCGACCAATGCAGCTTCGTCGTGCAACGATTTCAGCAACACGGAATTTTTTCTTTTCTTTTCTTTTTAATGCCCAAAATGACACTCATGCATGCGGCTACCATACATTTGGCTGTCGCTCTACAAACAAAATGCCGCAGACGTTGCAACATTATTGGTAATTTAGCGTATGCAGAAATTGTCTTTAGTTCTTGGCACCTCCTACCCGAAAAGATGTGCCACTTTGGGGGTCAAATTTCAACTTATTTATAGCGTTAAAAATTTCATTCCACCTAGAAACTTGTCTACATATAACGCGTACATATAAATAATAGTATGATTTAAATGTGGTAGCATTAGTTGTGAAGGGGTGAATTTGACCTCAATATAACCCAATCAAGTTAATTAATTGATATATCTTTTTAATTTACAACGCGTCGGACATGCATTTTTCGTGTTATTCCATGAAACAGGCGAGTATAAGGGGCACTTAAACCATAGTAATACTACTAATCTCAGATGCTTCAGAATAACCTAAGTTAGAAGTATAAATACAGACATTCTGTATGTTTATGGCGGTTTTAGTGGTGGAGCAAAAAGTGGCACAATTTATGTGTTGCGGCTGCCAAGAACTGAAGAGAATTCTGCATACGCTAAATAAGGTTGACCAAGGCGGGTTTCGAAAATGATCCACATTAATACAATAGCAAGTTTTAGGATTGATTAAGGGACTAAACAAATCCTAACTGGAGGGCCCTATTAGCGGAATGTACTTACAGTTAAACACAGTTCTAAGATCGCCCAGCGCGTGTTAGAAAAATCGTGCTGCGGAATAATCCCGCTGACAAGAAATAGTTATTGGTAAGCACACCAGATAATGATAATCAGGGTTATGGGTTGATTGTTTTATCTTAGTTACCCGTGGTACTCTTTCTCAGTACTTCAGCTAGCATGCGATAGTCACAATGGGCTGTTGTCAAGTGATAATAGGTTTAAGCGCATGTCAATTATTTGTAAATCACAGCTTAGCATCTCGCAAAAATATGTTGCTGTGTATCCAGCACCAAGCATAGTTCACCGAAGACATGGCTATCTGCCTGTTGTTCAGATTTATTAATACCACGATAAACGTGCAGAGTTTCAGGATGGGCCAAGATTCTCGACCCGCGGTTGCACAATGCCGCTGGTGCTTAACTTAGCAGAACCTCCTTGACATGTAAATACCTTATTTTCGGCGCTTTAAAAGTATAAGTTTGTATGGTTAAGCCAATTACATCAGACAGAATCCTGGACCCTGTAATAATAATAGTGGGCCATTATTTTTTCTCTGCGGTGACTGTACGTCGCACCTTTAATACTCTTGTCTATATAAGCCTACGGTGTGCTCTTTGTTATGCTGCTATTCTATTCTTTTTATTACTATAATTTTATCTTGGGTTTCCAGTTATAAATTATTACTTATTAAATTGCCTAAGATGAAAAAAGACTTTGTTGGATGGATGCTATTTATAGCCTTGTTCTGTTCTTTAGCTGCGTCAAGCAGTATCATTGTCAACAAAGCCCCTGATTTCGTCCGTCCATATGTTCTTCCTAAATACCGTGGTCATGCTATTAGGCTTACAAAGTCGGGTCAAATAATCCGCTTCTCTATCACTGCCAACTCATCCGACGGCGCCTTCTCTCTTATCCAACACAACGGCAAACCTTCGGGCTGGCTATCAGCCCGACCACATACCCACGGGGTAACACACGAGCATTTCTACTGCTCTCAAGGTCGTTCTCAGCTCTGGGGTCTGAAAAACGAAACTAACGCCAGCCACGAGGCCCGCGTTGCTACACCTGGTGACTACGGAAATATCCCTCCGGGCACTATTCACACATTCCAACTAGTTGATCCTGACTCCCTCCTAACCCATGCCTTCCACCCGGGTGGGTTCGAAAATCTCTTCAATATCTACAGCCTGGGAGACCATGATACTCACGGCATTAGTTCGCCCTATATTCCCACTACTGATGACTCCTCCCCTCTCCCACCGATAACAGATAAGGAATACAACCTTCTCGTCTCCCTTGACCTCTATGCAGTCCCAGAGACAGAGTATATCCCGAGACGTGATTTTGTAAACGGCACCGCCGGAGACGGAGAGACTAAACAAGCCTGGCACGACGGACCTAATACTCTACCAAATGACCCGACGACCCCTTATTTTATCGCCAAGGACTACGGCCCGAAATATCTTAACACCGACATTGGATATAAGGTTATCCAGCCTCTAACAACAGCTGCACAAACAGAGGGAAATTTTACTATGGGAACAATTATCATGTCGCCTAAGCTGGCAAACGAGACCGTCTCGCGGGTAGAATTACCACATCATTTCGCTCTCCAGATGGAGGAAGGTCAGCTTTCCTTCCAGGTACAGGGTTACCCGCGTGTGCATCTGCTGCATGGTGATGTGGCGTTTGTTCCTGCTGGGACACCATTTACATACTATGCTACTGTGCCCTATACCAAGTTTATGTATATGAATGCGGGCGGTAAGGGATTGGATTATCAGTTATTAAGCAGGAGCGTGTCTTGGGAGTTCCCGGCTTATCCTACTTATTCGGGATTTAAGCCTAATCGAACTACCACTAAGCTTGGGTGAGGTGTGATAGACTCCGTTGACTATCTGTGTATTGTATTATACTTTATGGAGATAAGAGGGAAACTAGGTGTTGTATTAGTGATGTTTTATGTATTAACAGAATTATTAAGAAGATTATGAAATGTGGCTATATACTGATTAATTATAGATAGTTTAACTTTATCATTGTTCTGATAGCCAGATCCTTAATAATAATAGAATTCACTTTCATTGCATCAGTGATATGACGGTGATATGAAAGCATTATTAAGTTTTCCTCATTCGACTGTGTCTCCCTGATCCCCACTCTGACAAATATGGGCCCCTTTCATGTGTAACCAGCTTTATTTGATGTTATTGCCTTTGTCACTCCTTTCGTCTTCCTTGCATAGAAGTTAATTTCTCTGGCAGTCTTCTTTAACAATCCTTAAGACGGCGAGTTGATTCCTGACAGCTTTGTTGGCATTTAGACCCCATAAAATGGACGCACCGTCTGTTTGTCCGTCTACAGGTTGAGTTTCTTTGGCCTGGATCGGCTTGACCTGAATCCTAGCATCATGGAAAGTGATTCATTTGAAGGTATATCTCTGGATTCTTATGTCGATTTTTTGGTCCGGTTTCTCGACGCCATCAATTAGCAAGAGGACGATAACTGTCGATAAGAGGTTGTGACTGTACTCCGTCTTAACCATGGCGCGATCACATTTGCTCCTTGTAATATCGCCCGGCTTACTATTTACTGCTGGCCCGGCATGGCTAGAGATATAATAGTGTTGACCTGCAAATTTTTTATGTTCAGCCACTTTCTTAATAATGTTGCCGAAGGAAACTATAATAAGATAGAGACCTTTTTGGGCGATCTTATCCATGGAAAAGAACAACAGAACCCAATTTAGAAAACCATGATCCACTAGCTTCCTGACCTTTTTTAACACTATGGGCTATTTAGTTAGTATAATATCTTCTGCAGTGTAACTACTTCCAAGGCTACTGGATTGTAGCGCACGATTCCCGTGGGCTACCTGGATTAGATCTCTATCCACATGAGTGTTGTCGATTGCGGAGCTTAGGTGTTGCCTGTGGGGCTTGCTTATTCCCAAGACTATCCTCTAATGAAGAGAAAAGACTTGAAGAAGTGATAACTGCTATAATGCAGATTAAACTAATCATGTCCTTAGTAAACAACCTATTTTTATGTTACAAAGAATAGCTTGTCCCAGATGTTCGGGATACCCGGGATAGCAATAATCTGCTAATGGGCTATTACCATGTGGTAGGAATACCACTCCAGACTGCGTTCGACCGCTTGCGAGATGCCATACATGGTGTGCAGAGAATGCAAGAGTTGTTTGATAAAAACAGAACGCCAGCCATGCCAAACGCAGTTCCAAGCGTATTTGCGCTTTTGTGTACCTATACAAGATACCGCTTAAATAAGCTCTATGCGTCTTGCAGCGAGGTATGCAGCGGGATGAAAATTCAGAGTTATTTTGAGACTGCATGGAAGGCAGGAGCCATTGTTTGGAAGACACTTTGGTGGAATTGGCAGAGGAGACACTAGCCCGACAAGGTGAATGGATACCTTCGTGACTTCGCTTTACTTCACCGGCCCTGCCATATGATATTCGGTACCATTCAAAAATTGGTTAGCGCACCTCCGTGACGCTTTAAAGACCTCCTGGACACCAAAAGTAGCATCTTCTTTGATTGCTTTTAAGTTTTATTTTTTTTTTTTTAAACTTTTTTAGCGGTTGAGAGGAGAGTAAGGTTTACCAGAGGGGCCTAGCCTCCAGATAGGCTGGCCGTTGGGAGGGATTCGGGATCCCGAAAGGGTTCAAGTCCCGTCCCATAATCCCAATGGGAATTACATTTTGATTCCCTTCCGTGCCAAGCTATTCGGGAAGGGATATTCCCATTCCCTCTTATCTTAAAAATCACGTCCCGTTTCCTGTCCCATTTCCCATATGGGAATTTCCCTTGGGAATTAGGATTAGAAAAGGAAATTCTCATACCATTATGGGAAGTGGAATATTCCCGATAGGAGAAAGGCTTGTTTTCCATACACTAATACCCATTTCCATCCATACTCGGTATGGATTTGTTGACCATAAAAATACGTGTATCCGCAAGTACGGATCCTCAATAGAATTGGGTCTATGATTCAACTAAACTACCAAAACATCTCGCTTTTACAAAGGCGAGGTTAACAAACGAAGAGTGTAAACTAACTCATACCGGTATAGGAAATATACGCGATCCAATGATGTTGTATCATCTTAAAACATGTATGGTATGAGCTGGTTGGTTCGCTATGTTAGAGCACACCACCATACCGCCATACCGCCATACATGGGCGCCTGTCCCTGGTTCGACCTCGCTTAGTCATTATTTATGTAAGCTAGTTTACTTAATAACTAACTAGTAGCGGCCACCCGGCCACCCATTCAATAGAACAAGCAATCACTTCCAAGTTCCAACACGCTAACCCCATCACATGACTAGTTTCGGTTGTTAGGGACCTGCCATATTCGGTATGGTCACGTGGCCTCACTTAGTCACCCATCTAGATAGTCAGCTCGCCTGAGCCCCTTGAATTGAAGAGAATTGTACCTCGCGAACATCGGTCCACCTTGGCATTAGAACAAACCTATTGAGAGCGGTGAAGGCCAGACATTTGGGGGCGGGTATGACCTATAACCTAGTAGCACACCTTCCCACACCGCTTTCAGCGTGCTACTGCTAGAGGAAGTCTGAGTTTATGGAAGCCTGTTGAACAAATGGTATTCGGACCGATTCCTTCCTAGCGCCTTGGCTACGAACAACCCAAATCCCCTATCCCAATTGAAGAGCAACAAAGTGTGGCATCTAGATGAGACGTTGAATATATATCTAGTTGAATATAAATGCTCCTTAGTAGGCTACGTGCGTGTAGCTGGTATAGCTTCTCCTCTCCTATGCCCCATTTTCCCTGTGCCCTGTGGACCGTATCAAGGTTTTCACAACAAAGCCAGAGATGTGCTACTAGTAACCATTCACAAACACTTGTAAAAGCCTATATTAACCGTATTTTATTCTTAAGTCTGAGAACATAGAGAAATACGGACCCCAGCCAGGACCTGGCCGAACTGTGTACACAACCGAATGAGGCAGGAAGAGGTGCTCGTAGTTTTTTTTAACGTTCGATTTACCTATTTATTGTGGGATCACGCGTCTGAAATGACCGCGATCAATGGTAGTATTTTATATGCGCCGTTCGAATGCAGGGGACTGTTCCCGATGTTTCCGGGCTATTGGATGGAATTCATGCCAGCGTTCTCCCTCATAGGATCTATAGAACACTTATTGCGCCTGCATTGTGCTTGGGCTGCGTTGATTTAGTTGTGCTGATGATTAGAGCTCTGACGTGGAACGTGCTGGGCCTTATCGAAGACGGTGACAGCATTTGTTGTTAATCGTACGGTTAATTCCTGGAATGCGCCCGATGAATAAGCAGTTCGAGAGGACTCCGGACATCAGGGTATGGTACATTTTGGTATCACATTTCAATAACATAAAGCAAGGCTTCCATGGGTTATCAAACAAAATAAATATAAACCAGCAATATCAGAAGCATTCTGCTGAGTCTTGCCCTTTTCATACGGACAATCATAAAGGAGGACCACATTCAATCAGAAATATTTAAACCCCCGAAACGACCGCAACATCATATACACTCCCTGCAACGTCGCGGCCATTCCCCCTCCGGCCGTGATCCAGACCGCACGCTGGACATACAAAGAACGGATAGGGATTTTGGGCGAATTGGAGGAATTATCTCTCTAGAGTATGTGTTAGCTCAGTAAGATATATATGACCGCCGACATACCGAGCCCACTCGGTTTGTCAAACCGCCGCTCTGAGGTCTCGATCCAGGGATAATGGTTTGATACATGATCGATTTTTCCGAAGAGGATATGGAGGATTGAAGATGGGTGTTTTGTTATTTGGACGTGATGTGGCGATATTTATAGCAGCTTGTTGGATGACATCATGGAGGCGGTTCCATGGAGCTGTCATATTGGTGAGCCATGGTTACTCACGTGAAATCGAGTAGATTATGCTGAATATTTTGTTTTTGGTATTTAGTTGTCATTATCGTGATGTCGGAGATACAGGCAGTAATATGTAGGCGTATCTAGTTGAATTAGGAGTACTGGATGGAGCTCAGACTAATCTATACAGAATATATTCCTCTAGAAGAATGGCCAGACATGGTATCTAAACAGTCTAACATCTAACAATCTAACTGCATGTCCAATACTCGTACATCTCTCGTCTCTAACCAAGCCTTCTCCTTCCACACCTCAAAGCCACAATCCCGATAGAACTTAAACGCAGCCTCATTTTTGACTTCCACGGAGATGAGCACCCAAACCCGACGAGCTCCCATTTCGACTGCCTTTGTCTTTGAGTGCGCTATAGCTTCCTCGACTAGTCGTCGCCCATTGCCTTGTCCGCGCCCTTCCGAACGGACAAACACCCCGTTGAACTTAAACGCCACAGTCGATAGATCAAGAGTCTGGACCCGATCAAGCTGCGAAGAAGAGAAGAGATCCATCAAGTTTGCAAGCGTCCAGTCATCTTGGTTAGGAACGACGGCCGGTCCTCTCAGGGTGAGTGTTCCCATCCATTCCCGAGTTAAAAGCGCAGGGAGGGGATTTGAGTCCACGACAGCCGGGGAGTCACCTCCGAGGGCGATGAAAGTGCGGGCGTTGGGATCCTCGATGCGAGACAGCCATTTGGAACGCGGAAATAAGACTTCGTTTTCGTATTTCGATGAGAATGCCTGTGGGCTCTGTTGGAGGCCACACAGTCGGAGGTCTTTGACTCGGTCGATGATGATATCGAGGTCGTCGTTGGGTATATCGCGGGGGATCACTGCGATGTTGCTCATATTGCGGTGGATATATACAATCCAAGTTCTAGCTGACTGAAGAAGTGTGTAAGGTCATCTTTACGAAGAGGATATTAATATGGCTCGATGGATGACTCACAGCAGTTCTTCGTACTCCTGGGTGACGGCGAATTACTAGAACTGGTAAAGCGTGCCTATTTAGGAATAGCGTGTCTTTGCCGCTTGGCATCAAGGTGCGTGGCCTATATAGCTTCTCCGATGCCTCGTGAGTCGCCTCCATATTCTGTCGTGTTTTTTCACCACCCTCTCCTCGTTTTTACCGGGATTTGATGAGGCATTTTTGCTACTGGACCGGCCACCCCGTGTTCTGCACTTCGCCACCTCCTTTCTGCCCGAGCGAGTTGCGAATACTGCGCGTCGGTTTCCAGCGGCTGTGCGTTACTTCTGTGAGAATCAATCTTTCTTTCCTGCTGCTCTTACGTTTATTGCTCGGAACCTTGCTGATTCATAGTCATCACTGTATATATAGGTCTTTGCTGAATTCTCTCCGTGCTCACTGCGGTTTTCCTTCCATTGTTTGATTTAAATATCTTATACCAAAATCCGTCGCGACGGTACATAAGATGCAAGGTTACGGATTACCGCGGCAGCTCTAGTGCTGAACTGGTGAATGGAGCTGCTCTGAGATAAGCATACATTAGGGTGGAGAGCGACGGTACTTCACGAAACTCCGATGCGGATGGTAAGAGTGACTGTTTTGGCACGTACGCCACAGTGATCTTAGGATATTGAGAATCAATAAGGTCCTATCATTGATCCCAGTCCGGCATGATCACCCAACCATCTTCACAGACGACTACCTTCCGATTATTTGGATTCGGTTGTTAGATAACAAGCTCTTGAGAGTCGACGGATAGGGTGGATCTTGAAATCGCCAAGAATCATCGAGAGCCTGTCATTGTTCCGGCTACAGGATAACGTGTGATCGAAATTATTGGAAAGAAGCGGGTGCTGGCGTTGAGTCACCGTACACAGGTGGCCTCTCTACACTTCGAGTTCTGTCAAGGCGAGTCGTGTCCACTCTCTTCCAGGATACTGATGGAGCTAATTCGGGGACAGCTGATAACTAGTTTCTATTTACTGAATTTGTACACAAGTTAAGCCTCGGCTGACCTTTCAGCTACCGCTTCTACTGTCGAAGTATCTAGATATAAGAACGAGCAGCCAGTGATTGATAGTGAACGGCAACTGGCTGGGAAGTTGGTGGATGAAGAGGTGATGGGGTGCTCTTGAGCGTACTGGGTATATGACTCCGCAGCATATGATTTTAATCGATAGTGTTCTGACTATGCCGGGCTCAACTGTCGAAAAGGAATACCAGCGCCGGATTGCTGCGATCAATGCGGTAATTGCATTCTGTAATGTAGAGGAGGGGTCTGGACGACCAAATATTGCACAGAAAAGGAAATGCAGCGCTATGGCTGATTTACCGTCTGCTCCTCCTGCGAAAAGGCAAGAACGCACCTCAACAGATGAATGCAAGACTGCTCTTTGTCAAGCAGTTGCGTCCGTCTGCATTTCAACTCCAAATGAGAGGCCGAAGATCTGCTTCCTATGCCTTGGGAACCCCCGACTTCCTGAACATGAGCGATTGAAGACATACAGCACCCCTGGCTCTCTCAGCCTCCACTTTGTTGACTGGCACGTCAAGCCATACCCGAAAGAAATGCGTGTTAAATGCGGTGTCTGCAATAAAGAGTTAGAGCATAAGGCGCACCTGATGAATCATGCTGAGACAGCGCATGGAATTGTCTCACGTTTGCCATTGTCCGCTCTTGGCCCAATTTAGACTGTACTTTCTACGCAACTCAACATCTCCAGAAGAATGAACCTCTTGCCTTTGTCCTGACCATTGTTACCCTCGTGCATGTCTGTATCAGCCATTTCGTGGTAGTCTTCCAATGTCATATCCGATGTGATATCCAATGGTGGTGCTCTAGACTCGACATCTGTTGTTCGTCCGATACCTAGCAATTATCGCTATGGTGGCCATAATAAAAAGTAGATACAAGATAATTAAGATTGAATTTATCTAAAAGCATGTACTGCAAGAGTAAACGTGGAATCCAATGGCACCCTGGTAAACCAGACCCTCTTTCATAGGCTTAACAGTGATGCACCGAACGATTAATCAGCACGCATACCCATCAATAAAAACAGCTATGCGCTGTCTATTATAGGTGGAACACAAAGCAGTGGACGAGGAGACTAGATTCAAACTCGTCGGGCTTAGCGCTCGGGCCGCTAGTCACAAGCTCTTCTCCTACTACTAGGTCTTTCTGGAGGGAGAATGGCCAATTAGCTAGTCCTCTTTCATACACCTTCTAGCCAATCACTGCGCAATATTGCTATAGATAGCCCAACGAATTGCCGATCGGCCCTTTTGTGCTAACACAGATAGGGGATTATTGGAGCAACGGCTGAGTGGAGATCAAGGAACAACAAGTATTTTTAGCATCGCATTTATTCTTTTTATTTTGGCCTCTAAATGAGTTGGGTTTGGCCATATTCAGAATACTATCTTGCAAAGACCCAATTGAAATGAAGTGTTTAGTATTATCCCTGCCTCTGATGTGGCTTTGGATGCATGACAATCTGCGTATCAGCGCGAAACCATTTAACTGATAACCAACGTATGAGCATCCGTGTACTTCTTCTAGACAGTAGTCAGGGCAGGAACTAATGAAGGGAAGTTATTTTGGCGCTGAATAGAAGTCCCAATTCAGGAGCCTTCCCTCCAAGTTGGTGCATGCTTTATTGTGTCGTGACTGCCCGAGTATGCCAATAAGAAATATAAATATGGGCCTAAAAGCCCGCGAGAATTGATTTACATCCGCAACCTTAAAAGCATTCTTCTAGCTGTACTACATTCCAAATCTGTTCAACTAAAATTAACGTACCCACTTTAGGTAAGGCACTCGTTGCTGCCATTAAAATTAATGTTGACTTTACCATAGAAACCATATACAATGCCATACCAAGTTTGCACTCAAGAGCAAGTACGCTATGCCTGCGGGCATTCGAAGGATGGTTAATTCGTGAAATGCGAGATGCACGCCAACAAAGAGGAGCTAAGATGCTCAAGTACACAGATACAGTATAAGGAAGTTAAAGTTTCAACCCACAGATGCAGGGCGTGTCTGCAGAGCGCTTAAAAGGCTAGGAAACCAACAAGTAGGTTCTCTCTTACCCATTAAGGCGCTCGATAAGTAACCAGACCAGGAACTTAACGCTTGCCAACACCTGATTTGTCCTCCAATTTGACTGCAAGGGCTTTTATTTCCTCCTCAGCTGCCGCTGGATCCACATCTCCTTGAACAGCGGAGTTTTCAAAATCAAAACCTTCACACCGTGCTCTGTTATCAGGAAGTTGTATTTATTGAGGTCACCATGAATAATTCCAAATGTATGCAGCAGATGGACAGCTTCCGTGCAATCTTTAAGATTTTGTATATCTGGGGGTTTCCCCGAAATTTCCTCCATTAAGAAGCCAACTATTCGAGCCTTTGTTTCCTCGTAGACGAAGCCAATAAATCTCGGTGCATGTGGAAAGCCAGACAATGTTAGAGTAGAGTATACCGAAACCTCTCGCTGTAAGGCCGGAATTTCATGTTTAAATCGCGCAACCTTTAGTATCCACGTCCCATCACCACACCTTACACGAGAGATACGATCACTGATACGAGAAATTGTTGTCAGGTCTAAAAGGTTAACAAAGATGGTAGAAGGAATATTAATCTGTCCGAGGTCCAGTCCGTGTGGCGAAAATTCGTCTGGGGTACTCTCGATGCCCTGGAAGCTCCTTCGAACAGTAAGCGTTTTCCATTTATCCTCCCACCTCGGAATTTTTCGCAGCTTCGAAATAACTCGGTAGCCATCTGTTCTGCAATCAGGAGGAAGGATATCTTCATCAAGGATCGAAACATATACGATCCGCGAATTTCTCCTTATCCGATACAGAAAATCATTTTCCTCCAGATCTAGGGACAATAATTCCTCCTTAACTCTCTTTAGTAGAAGTCCTGCTGCAGTGGTTAAATTTAGGATATATCTCACATTATTAGGTGTTGCCGTGGCTGGCCGGCCAAGCAGAGGTAGCAGTGAGCTGATGCCTCTAGCTAGGGATGCCATTAAGAACCAGAGAGTAGGCCAAATCTGCAATCGAAATGGGTGAGAGATGCCAAGCATACCAATAAAGCGCTCGAGGTGCATGAGACGACGATGTCAAGAGCATTGATGCTGGGCTCGAGTCATGGCTATTTATCCCTAGGGGCGCTTAATAAGCATTCCTAGCTGAGTAAGTGTCAAATAATAACTATGACCATGGGTGGACCAGAATCATGTGACTAGATCGCGGTAAAGCCCCCGCGGAGCACACAACAAAAACAACAACCAAGAAGAATAATCAAGAAGAGCCCAACCCAGCTCAATTTATTCAGATAAGATCTTTTTACCAATCGTACTCTATTTCCTCTTCGGGACTAGCCATATATCTGACAGCAAGTTAACTACGTACTAGTTACTGGTAAGTGGTGATTCCTCGGGAGAAAGGGGACGCTGATTGGTCTGTTTAGTACCCACCAATCAAAGTGGTAGCGGATTACTGGAGCAACGGATAGGTCCAGGCGGCAGAACAAACAAAATTATTGGCTCACATAATTACCACTCCAATTAAGGATTCTGGCAGCAGCCACGCCAAAATAAATATCACACCAGTTCCCAGGTTGATGATGGCCGCTTATCCAACAGCGGCCAGAATGTCCCTTCAGGAAATACAGGAGTTGCGCCGGCGCCTTGAAGAAGAGCAGCGACTACGGGAAGAAGCCGAAAAACAACTAAAGCTCCAAACTCAAGAAACGACACTTCCCGAATTTCTCGACGCCTGCCTTGAACACTTATTGCTTTGCTCTGTCATAAATTCATCAAACTTTCATGGCTTGGAGCATTTCCCCACAAGTCAGCGGTAATTATATCCAAGGTAATCTCTAGGAGTGGACGTGTAGCCGGATAGCAACATCGGTATTCATCTCTAGGTTCGATGAAATAAAATGCTATAGGTTGTGAGATTCGTAAGATATAGTAAACGAATGGAACATACGCTTCTTTGTGTCCATATCTCCTGATAGACGTGTAATTTCGGAGTTGTTTATTGCTCTTGATTGGAGAGTTACTTTCTCTGTCCATCTGGTGTTGCTATTTATAATTTTGAAATGTTTGGGCTGCGCGGGCTGAGATTATCCGGGAAGGACATCTAATTTATACCCCAGAAATGTGACCGTCTGCCAATGAACAATGTGCCTTGAGTGCTGTAGTAGCTGTGGTTCAGGAACTTCACCAGGCGAACCAGCCATTCGTGGCGGTATCTGCCGCAACAGATTGTTGGCGAAAAGACCCCAATTTGTTATTACTAGAGATAATATTGTTTGTCTCGGACAGGTGGGACACGTATCACGTGAATAATCGGACCGGGTCGGGCATCAACAGCCCCGCTTCCCTTGACCATTCGGTGTCTTAATATCTAATGATTCTCATGGCTATCTTGAAACCTACTAACTAGTCATCCCAACCAGTTTCCTATTGTCTCATCATGCCTCTTACACAGGAGGATCTTTCCCAATCCTTTGGGAATACTGTCAGCCGAATTAGGGATATCCTCAGCCAACGGAGAGTGACTATTGGGGAAGAAAAGCCGGGAGAGGCATGGCTATATGGCGGAAAGGAGCTCGAGAAAGAAATCAAAGAATTAAAAGATGAGATAAAGAAGAAAGGGCATATAGTAAGTAATACTGGAATTTGGTTGCTGGAATTGACCTGATCGAGTGACTCAGGTTCTTCAATGTAATGTTTTCCACTTCGTCCGAAGCGCGCAAATCGTCCAAAATACGCAAAATCCTAAACCTACCTACTATCTTCTGATCCCTGTGAATGGAACACCGACCTACAGGCCAGGGGAGAGGCTGCTGCCTGGCAAGGCTTACTATACTGACGAACTGCCGCTGCTCTCTTGTGAAAACTGGGATATCATCATGGCCGCTCTCTCAAAGGGAAATTTGACATAAAGTTACATGCTAGGATCACTGAGACTAAATTTGGAATGCTTATGCAAGAAATTTGGCCTCAAGCACAAGCTGCAGTATCAGTGTGGGGGTTTGTGTTGCAGGAGTCCACATAGTTTTGCTCCATACCCAGATTAGAAAGAAAATTTCCCACTGCAGATTCTATCTCCCCAGGCGACAGGCCAACCCCTTCGGAAGGGGGATGTGGCTCTGACGACATATCGTGTGATATAAGCGAATCTCCAATAGAAGGGGGAGGTTGTGATAAACTTGGAAAGTACTGTGGTCCACCAGGGCTAACGAAGGCAGGTGGGTACGGAAGTGGTTCGGTGAAAGTAGGGTCGAGAGAATACCCTTGTGAATCAACAAAATACGGACCCCCAATGACATCTGTCCGAGTAATACCGGAAACAGGGTCCTCTATATGTTGACGCTTTTTTTGCTCTTCAGATCTGTCATATGTTTGTAAGCTGTGTTTCCGTTTTCTGGTTTCCCGAATTTTCCGGACTCGTTCTATCCAAATGTCAGTATAGATTATTAAGACAGCTAAAAAGATTATCGTTAATTACCGTAATTGGCCTTGAGACAGGAAGATATGCATTCATCCTTTGCATCAGCAACCTCTGCCCACTTGGATACTAGTATGGCATTTGCAAGTTGTGGCATGTAAGCATATTTTAGACGCCGAAACAATTCTTTTGAGAGAAATAATAGACCCAGAACACCATAGTGCGTGCCTGGTTCAGTGACATCCGAGTGCACCCTAGCTAGTGACGAATATATCTTTCCGAACACGCGATACTTGAGGCCAAATTCCGTGTATCGCTTTGCCATTTCTTTATTGTCGAATTTATCTGGGTTTTCTCTCACATACCTCTCGAAACAAGACGACTTTTTGTTGCCAGAGCTTAGATCATCACACAAAGCGTCCAATCTTGCGTTGATTCTCTTTTTTCTCTTTCCTTTTGTTTTCTGAAGATCAGCCCTTTCCCATACGATGTACTCATCTGCTAAACCGATTGCACCTAAGAGCGAGCGGAATTTAACAAGAGGTGGGGCATTTTTGTCGGTGAAAGATATGTCGACTATGTAAGGGTCTTCCAACGTCCAGTCTGTACTGCTTAATAGCACAGGCTCCTTTATATTATCGAGAAACTCTTTTATCTCCTCCTGATGCGAGTCTAGGGATTTCATGAACTCTTCCGTTTTCTTGCGAGCCACATCCTCAGGCGCCGCTGGCTGCGTGCCTGAAGGTTCGCTGGTTAATGTTCCCAAAGGGGAGGAAGCTGCTGCCTGCGTGTTTGGAGCATCAAAGGCCGACGTCTCTTGAGGAGCGGATGCTACTGCTTATGAGCCTGAATCCCTTTGCATAGGGAATAGAAACATACCATGTGTTGCCGGTGAGCATTGTAACAAAGCCTTTAAGTGTTGATACGCAGACTCTAGCTCCTCGCGGTGGCTAAGTAGACTTTCTTTGTCTGCGTCCTCTATGTTCGATAAAGTCGCCGCCGCCTGAATTATTGCTTGTATTGAATCCATAGTGGCCGAAATGAGAGATGTTCGTGCGGAAGAAGTACAAAGGTGGAAAGAACCCAGGCTAAATCTTGTGAGGCTGCATCTACAACATATTGGCTGCCAGGCCATTTTATCGAGTTATTGACAAATTACAAGATGAGTGTGCTCGGACGGCAAGCTTCCTGTTCACTATGCGTTGGCGAATTTAATGAGCTATTCTCCAATCACAAGAGTATGATACTGTAAGACCCTTGTAAAGAATGGATTAACGAACAACTCACTTGACAAGTGATTCTCCAATCACAACCGGGGATGTATGAGGCTAGACCTCCGTAGAAAATGGGTTGGCAGCCAACCCATCTGAACCAGTAAGGCTGCGACTAGGATCTGCTCACGGAGTGAGGCTTTTGTGGAAAATGGGTTGGCAACCAACCCATTTAGACCAGTAATTTACAGGCTACAACTGGTATGTGTTCACACAGTGATATAACTAGTGATCATGGTATCGTGCATGAGCACAATGCAGTGTTGCATATGATGCTATGAGATCCAGTTCCTTGCTAGTTGGTAGATAAAAGTTTTTATTAGGAGTCCAGCAGAGGCCCAGCATCTCATACTGGCCCAGCTTGGCCCTCTGTCTGATATTGGTGGATGAGAAATGCCCTTGTCCAGAGGTAGAAGAGCTAACATACCCCACCTCGAGTAAACGGACACATTCTTGTTGGATTGGTTTCCCCACTAGCATTATACTAGCGGATCGGAGTAATTATGGGCGCTAAAGTATACCAAAAATACACAGTACCTTCTTGTCACAGATAAACGCTGACAGTTTGTCTTGACCAGTCGTTTGCGTTATGGACTCAGTCAAATGCATGGTGGCTTAATGCGTAGATTTCGAGGCACCAGCCTGCAAATTGAGGAAGTAGGAGTTGCCTATAAATACTTTATCTTTGTCTCCATGATGTAGGCTATGGAACTAACATCACGGCATCGTCATCGGGAATGAGAAACACTGCTTCCTCTATTCAGACCATCCACGAGAAGACCTGCTACGTGTGAAGGTTAGTCATGAGCCAGTTTTTTATAAGCTAGATTTTAATCACCTCCAGATGTGCACCTGGGAGGACAAGTTCTTTCAAGGCTGCGGTTGTCCTTTCCGTTGCGACAAAGCTAGTCCCTGTGGCCAAGGCAACTGTACAACCAACACAACTCAGCCACGACAAATCGTTAATATTGTGTGGATACCGGGAAAGTGCCAACGCCACCAATACGAAACTCCCCCAAGTTCGCAAGAAAGTTATCCCTAGTTGTACCGAGTATATATGTGTAGAGTCATCTATGGTTTTGGAGGTTTTCCCCTAGAAGTTAATCACAAAATGCGGGAGGCTAGATTAGGGGGAGTCTCACTCTACACCGCCCCTAATATGCAAGGATGGTTCATCATGTAACTAGTTATGCGAGCCTGTCAATCGGCTAATAACTAACAGATGCGGACTATAATATGAATATCTATCTATCTTATTCCTAGTTGTCGTGATTAGTCACAAAATTGGAACGACAGTTGCTGATAATGGACGGATGGTTGGAGATTATTAAGAGATAGCAAGCAAACATGCGCTGGGAATCGTGCTCGGGGTGCCCTACTTTGTATTTAGTGCGTGAAGAACAGCAAGGATAATTAATGTTAGAGGTTTTGTAGGCTTTTCTACTTTAGAAAACACCAATTTTTATTTTTATATGCCCTCTGAACCCAAAACAATGTTCCGATAAGCAGCCATGTTGCTAATATTGAACTTAGCTTATCGCTTCAAGGTTACTAAAGTATTATTCTGTAGGCACCCGTCATCACATCAGTTGCCTTGAGTTGAGTCCGATATGGTAAGGGCTCGCTTTTCGGCATTACTTACCAGTTTAGGATTAGTGTCATACAGCTAACTCCAGGAATAAGAAGGGGTGACTTTGCTACCTTTACCAACTCTTCTGTTTCGAGGCTTACCATGTTCAACATTCGTTGAACTATTTTGTCAAGTCCGATTACAAAGCCCCTAATTGCGCGGAAACCATGGCCAACATCGCTGATATCCGTGAGAAGATATTCGAAAACAAGGACGCGCAACGGATTGTTATCAAATTACATACAGAAAAGCTGGATTCTCAAGACTACCGTGCCTCAGCATACAAAATTGTCAACGAAATTTTTCCTAACTGGGAGCGCGACAATCGAATTCTTTTCCTCGCTATTGAAATATGGGGGGACCGCACGTATATGGCCATTGACGTCAATAATTACGACTACAAGTTTGAAACGGCACACAAAACCAAAACTATCCTTCCAGTCTATGTTCTTCGACAACATAGAAAAAGGGGCTGGGCCATTATAAGATGGCCTCAAGAAGATAAACCTCTTGCTACAAAACTAGCCGATCTTCATAATGTTAATGGTTTTGCCGCAACACCTTTTCTTGAAAACTACAATACACGAATTGTACACGACCAACCCCGTGAGTTTCCTGTGGGTTCACCTTGAGATTTGACAAATTGATAGATATGGCCGTGCGTATGCAATTTCTTGTCATGTTAAAAGCCTGCATATGCCTAGACCAAGCTGGTGTATTTAAAAATATAAGCCTCTTGTAACTTTAAATTTCAGGGCAAAATTACCTTTTCAAGTTGGATTTCTGCTGGACTCGGAATAATAACATCTCCCGATTAAGTGAATTAACCAAGAATAATAGTCAAAAATTAGGCTCTTTTGTGGAAAATGGGTTGGCAACCAACCGAAAAGTCGTGAGCTGGATGTCCACGTACTTAAGTCTACAGCATATCCGACTTAAGGTTATGCAATCGTGGAATTGTGCCGAAATTCTTGGGGACTCTAGAAAAGTTCGACCCAAGACAATGCCATCCTTTTCTAAATGCATTTATTGATGACAAATATCTCCCAAGTGCGAACTTTCTGGGATGCCTCTATGGCTAGCCAGCATTGGATGTATTTCCTACATGCTAAAGTACGTTATGTGCCTTGTCCTTTTAAGAACATGTTGTAGTTGGCCAATAAAAAGGAACGATCTGACTGGGGTAATGACCACAGGCAGAATGCCAAGGCCCACCGCCGTATGATGAAGCTCCAATCAAACGACACAGGACTGCGCGGCACCACTACAGAGTCATCTCATCACGCATGATAGCAATATTGGGATCTATACTGAGATCTGTCATGTAGTAGCTCTAGTTGGTGTTCCTTATGCAAAATTGAGATGATCAAAGTGTGTCATATACAAAGGATTCCACCCATGCTCCCTGCTTCGCTTCTACTGCCAAACTCGGTAATTCGAAGCTCACCATCGAGACGTCACAAAGCACGGCTTGGTCTATAAAATGTCAGGATACCAGCCTTGCTTCGAGTGCTCACTGCAATTTGGCATAGACCAGTACATCCTTTCAGCATGTTCTTTTCCAGAGTTACTCTCGCTCAGGCCAATACTCTCGCTCAGGCCAAGTCATACATCTCAAGCCTTCTGGGACTCTGGAGAGCCTGTTTTCCCACTTCAGGCAGCGAACAGCCGACAGCCCCCGCGTCTACCAATGCAAACATCCTAAACTATGAAAATACCCCGTCAATGCCCCAGTTGAACCGGCCATCAAAGCAGCCAATACCAGACAGAAATGCCTCCCCAATTCCCCAGTTAAACCAGCCATCAGTGCAGCCAATACCAGACAGGAATATCCCTCCAATACTCCAGTCAAACCGGCCGACACCAGACATCATCAGAGCTGAGACAGAGTCCGGAATATCTTCCTTCAGTGAATACCTCGGCATTAGTATTCAAGACCGCCAGTATTTTTTACTATTTTTAGCCCAGCTCGAGAATGCTCCTCAAAAGGATTGTTTTATAACCTGCCCAAAAGTAATTTACGCCCCTAATTTTGACTCAGATAAACGGCAGAAACTCCAATCCAAACTTAATGAGGCGAAAGACCTCATTTCGAAGGAGAAATGGGCAAAACTTGAGAAACGTTTTGAGATTAAAAAACATGAGTGGCTTATTGTTTCGGATAAGCAGGGGGAATAAAGCATTTAGTTTTCTTTTTTCCTTTTTCCTTTTTTGTCAATATGTATTAGGACAGAGAAATAAATACAGCTTATACCTACCCCGATGATATTTTGGCACAACGTTCGATGGAATCCCTCCTAGAGCTGGTGCTGATTTTTTGGTTTCTTTTTATTACAGTGGCCCTCCTTTCATACTCTTGCAGAGAGCAGTCGGATACTAGTTTATCTGGACTTGGACTTCCTCTGCCTGTGACAAGGTTTGGATATTTCTGGTTCAACTGATCCTATGCTTGAGGTCTAACTATTTAAAAGCCAAGCCCAATCTAGAAGTTAGTACGGTACAGTAATGGCACAGATTAAAGAGACAACAAAGGTAAGATACATCATAAAAATGGGATGTTAAAGGCGCTGACCGATATTAGGAGGCCTCAAAAAATCCACGCGGGGCCTACGATACCACTGGTGTTAAGAAACCAGGAGCACCACCCCCACCGCGCACTACCAGTGATATTGATGGGCGATTGGGGATATAGAGCTCTCAAAAGCGTGGATGCAGCAACCGATATCTACCCAGCTAAGAAACTAGGAATCATGTATCCAATAAAGAGAGAGAGTATCCACACCCGGTGCCCAGATATTTAGACAAACCAGGGAGCAAAGGTGTGCAAAAGAAACAACCTAATTTTTTTTATCCCATGCAGCTGGGTAGTAGGCATCTTACTAAAAGGCATTCCGGATATGGTCTCTAAAATAGCAGACTTTTGAGCCTGCAGGCTATACTTTAAGTACCCCCTTTCCCCAGCCTAAGTTAAGAGAAATTATATTTTTTATATCCGCAGTGCAGGTCCATCATTATGCAATTCAATAAAAAAAATTTGTGTTCTCCTCATACCGAGCAGAACCTTTATCACTTGGGACCTAATAATAAAGGACTCGAGCAACAAAGCGCCCTAAATTGTGGTATATCATGTTTAGGAAGGTTGGAAGCCCAATTTTCCGGAGTAAATCTGACACTAATATATACCATCCAGGGCTATTTATGATCCAGTACGGGATTGTACCACCCATCACCACATTCCACGAAGTGACTTCCTATCGCACACACAATCCGAAGATGATCCAGTACAGGAGGATTGTACTACCCATCACTATATTCCACGAAGTGACTTCCTATCACACACACAATCCGAAGAGCGAGAGCCGCCTTTACGGAGTAAAGGGAATAGGTACTGGAAGGATCCTGAGATCCGGGTCTTAAAGAGGTGGCATGAAAAGAGCCAGATTAATTCTGAGGATCTTAAAATTATTAAAAGGGATCTTTTAACTGAGACCGGTTCGAATAGAACTACCAGGGCAATAAGGCAGCAAATATGGAAAACAAAACAAAAATATTATGGTAAGCGTCCCGACAAGTGGACAAAATGGGCACACGACGAAATTTCGATTTTACAGCCTTATATTTCAAAAGAGAGGTTGCCTTGGGAAGAACTATCACGTATACGCGAGAAATTACAATCCAAGGGCTATGAGAGAAGTCATTATGGAATAGTGGGAAGGTTACGCCGCTTACGACAGTGGGAAGAATGCCGTGGCTTTCCATAAATTATTGTCTTCGAGGCAGAGGCTTCTCAGTCAGTGGCGAAATGGGAGAACGCGATACAACTGAATCCTAAGGACTATCAAGCTTTTGTATTGGAAACACAGGATGAGGTTCGAAGTGGTTTTTGCGAAGATAATTAATTTGCTTTAGCGAATATTGTGGGTCTTCCTGTTAAGGATAGTGCTGTGTCTTGGCGGTATCTTAGCAAAACCGGTTTGTGGGAGCTTTCAAATATCCTTGTACATTGTGAAGATGGCATATGTTGTAGTTTGGAGGAAAAGTTCTTCTACTATCACCATCTACTGTCGGCCAACAAAAGGCGGCAGTGGATTCAGGACTCTTGGAAGAAAGGGGGGGGGGCCTAATTGGCCTGTTTTGGTATCCACCCGCAAAAAGTGCACACAACAAGTGCATGTTCATAGGACTCGCGGGGCCCTTTTTAAAATCACACTGTGGTCACACAGATATACCTTTGCGGGAACGAAGAGCTCGTGTATTCGCATCTCACTCCAATCCAAGGAGTATCTGTGCCAGTGCTACTTGGTAGCTTACAACTTCGCTGCCCATTCTCTTATGATGGCCCATCGCCGAGATTGTTCATCTGATATTCATGGGATACGCCAGCAACCTTGCAAACCCGACGAATACCTCTGGGCGACATTTCACCTAATCAGAAGCGCAAGCGAGAGGTCTATTTAGAGAAGAGCCCAAACAAGCGCCTTAACTGTTTTGAGCGCGAAAAGCGACGCATGAGGCATGGATTATGATGTGGCCGTATATTACTCTAATAATAGGATCCATTCCTGGCTATTTGGTGCGGATATAGGGACCGGGCAACTTTAATATTGTGCTTATAGTAGGGTAGTCTTGCTTTCTTTGGACTGCAGACACTAATATATATATAAAATTCTGGAGTATCAGACAATAATGAACAAAACAGAAAGTAAACTAAGAAAAAAGGTTGTAGATTTAAATGCTGGGACTATAACGTGTCCGACGCCTCTTCTCTCTAGACGACCTCCGTGGCTCCGGGGGAGTTGCTCTCTTCTTCGGCGCACCAGTAAGTTCGTGAAGACCTTGTTCATGGATATATTCGTTCAGCAGATCCGGAGCAAGTTGTCCAAGCTCAGCATGAGAGTACCACTGCAGCTTGATGCAAAGGAACTCCATCCCATCTTGGCTTGGCCTATGTGCGATGCAACTTCTTATGGAGTCTGTCTTGGTATTTTTTAGAGATTGTATGAGCCTGGAGAGGGAGTGAGAAGGATTATAAATAGTTTGGATTTGCACTACTTTGATTAGCACATGGATATGCCAGAGAAAAGAATAAGCGCACCGTCAGCTTTTGCAGATCCATTGACCTTTTCAACGTTTGGCAAGTGTTCCCTGCCATTCTGAGAATAAGAGGGAGAGCCACTGGTATCATGGACATCTACAGTGGAGGCTTGCGTACAACCCTTGGTAGTGCAACCTAACAGCAGTTAGCACATCGCATTATAAATAAAGGCTTTCGGAATTACTTGCCTGGATGTATATTCTGTGAAGGGCTCTTAGATGTCTCCCAAGGTGAAAGGACGCGGCTTTGGTTGGTGTGATGCTGATCTTCCGTGAGACCGTGGCAAACCTCCTGCCCTACATACGTGACGGCAGAGATGGGGCTCTGTGAGGGATTGACAACGACTCCGGAATGGTGTCACCTTCAGTGTGGGCTCGCGGACTGACACTATTAATAAGGATGGGACTATAGGTCGTGCCCTCCTGAATTTCCAGAGAACCAGCGCTTCTTCCATCCACAGAAAGGTCAGGGTCTTGATATCCATGGTGGTTACTACCCTCACCGGCACATATGGGGCTCCATGAAGCATTGGACAATGTCTCCGGAATGGTGCCACCTTCGATGTCGGCTCGTGGATCGACAATATCAATAAGGATAGGATTACCCATTGTGCCCACCTGATTTTCAAAGATGGGGGTGGGAGATACCAGCCGAGTCTCACCCACAGGGTAGTCTTAATGTATTAGCACTAATACAAGCTCCGGAGACTGTCTCCTACCTGGATTCCCATCAACACCCCAAGTTCTAGTCGAAGAAGTCTCCATTGTGAAAGTCAACTCGCATGGCAGAGGGCAATCGATGTGTGACATAAAGAGTAAGTCAAAGAGAGTGAAAGACTTGATAGAGAGGCTCATGTTGGGGAGACATTTGGGCCTTTTATGTCTTTTGGAACCCCCCCCCAAAAAAAAGAAAGTACGAGGCGAAATGTAGCCTAAGCTCCAGAAATAGCCGTCGTTGATTCCTAGAGATCTCCAGGAACCAATATAATCCAGTGATTGGTTAGGTAGGAGTCATCTGAACTATGGTAGGGGTGGTCAGCAGCTATCAAGAAACAGAGGGCGTCTCGGGTTGGTGATGGACGAGCAAGAGGATCGTCCTTGTAGCAATCGATTGGATATAAATGCACGCAGCCTTCAGCTTGATGCCATGCGGTCATGGACAGTCTCCGCATGTTGATAATGTAGCCGGACAGGTAATTGGGCCTCGAGGTCCCTAGCAAACGATGCTAGGCATCTCGCCAGTGGCTAGCCCGGTGTATCTATTTTTGCAACGCGGCTGGAAAGCTCCTGTCGATTCCATGCCGACACCGCAAGAGAGTGGAACGACGCTCGAGTCCCTCTATGAACCATGTCTATACAGTGCAATATGAGATAATACCGTAAGTGGAGGCATTGGCAGCCGGACCGCTATCTCTGCTCTGTTTTTAGAAACAACAATAACTATGGCAACAACAGTACTGGAGCCCATTGACTGACAACTCAAGATTCATAGGATATTCACCACCACTCACCATTAGTCTTCCCGCCATCCTGCAGCATGAAAAGTGTTATAATAGAGGAACCGTGCGCAAATTTGAAAGCCATTGGCTATTAGGCCACCAGAAAACATGCACCAGAACATGGACACATAGGCAGGGGGTTGCAACAGCCTCCAAAGCCATGCACAAGGTCATCATCATTCTATTTTTAACCATAGGTGATGTGAGTTTCGGCTAGCATGGCCAGCTGCAGGGCGCTGAACAGAGTCACGTACTGGGTGGCAGTAGGCGCAGAATGATAGGTCCTGTTTGGTAATGAGAATGGACCACATGATCCATTGGTCTATACTGATCGATTGTAGGGTGGGCAAAACCAAGGCAGTCACCAGGGCCAAGAAATCTTGAGCATATTCTATCTTTGGAGATTCAAGGCAGATTTGAGAGCTGCTATGTCTTTCTCGGCCAGGATATAAACAAGGCCACATTTCCCCTCATACACGCCTAATCCAATTTTCATTGCTCTTTATACTTCAAGCGTTGCCAATCCAAAGGAAACTTCCCCCATTATGGCTATCACTCGTCGCCAACAGCACCAGTATTCTAAGGCGCTTCGGTCAGGCCGTAGGCTTTGGGGTCAGATTGGGCATGTTTCTCATTACCAGCCAGCTGTTGCAAAGAGGCTCCCGCGGTCCAGCCTGGAAGTCAGAATGTCAGGAGACACGAAAAATTCTCCCCTTCCAGTTCACAATCCAAAAGAATCGTGAGAAGTCCCAATTGACATCTCTCCATGGATTCTGACCATGGAACAGAAACATCCCGGAAATCACAATCCTTGGGAATAGTTCTATCTACCACGGTAGGAACAACAGGAGGGGCTTCCAATAGGTGTTACTAGTTATGTGTACTGACAGGATGCCAGACTATGATGATCAGCCACAGGGTCCCACGACGGGCCCCCGAAAATGGTTGGAGCCTTTTGCGAAGAGGTTCTGCTTTATGCATGGTCAAGAAGAATTACTTCTGCGCTTCTCCCCTCTCTGGATAAACCAAGAAGAGTTTAAGGTGCCGCGGGGAAAGTCAAAGATGCACGACAAAATGAAAAAGTATCAAAGAACACCATGGGACTTGGATCCTAGGCTGCGATGCAACCACGCTGACTGCGGAACCTCATTATGGAGGCAAGTCGATGTTCCTCTAGATTATGTCGAACAGGAGGGCAAGTCACTCTATCAAATTCGGTGGCGACTTGTGTGGACGCCATTCAGCGAGATAGAGGACCTTGATCGCGCACAGGCATTACTTGAGAATCAACGAATCAAACAGAACCTCCGGACAAGTCCACGTGCTGGAGAGATAGTCGAAAAGCGGTTGCAAAAGCTGGGAGAAGTAGCAAAGGTGGTCCAGTTGGAGGGAATTTTGGAAGCTTGAGTGCTATTTATCAGAAGAATACTTAGATTAAAACCTAACTAGGCTTCCGTAATTTCTTTCACTTAACTATGCTGTTTTAGATTATACAAGCTGTTCCCCTTTCGAAAACTATACCTAATCTCCCAAGGCGCTCAAAGAAAGAAAAAGATACAACTCGACACACATGTGGGCTTTTCCTTTCTTGCCTTAATTACACGTTTGCGTCAGCCTAATTCTTTTTCAAGAGAGTTCTGGCGTGATTTGACTTGTAGGCCAGAAAGTCCTTGATTCTCGTTATTTTGAAGAAAGCTGGCATCCTAGTTGAGCCTTAACTTTATTACTCCACATCTATGGATCAGTCACTTACCGTACACTAATCTTCTAAGGAAGGGAAGGTAAAGCGGATAATGCGCATCTTGCCCCGACGGTATCGGACAATGGTAATATCTACCCCGACCAACCCTGATTTTCTCGCAATCTTTGAAAACAATTTGCACATATTGAGTTGACTTCTGTATGATAAAGTAAAAACTTGGTAGAGAGAAAAAATTGGACTCTAAATAGAGACACTGATGCCATGGTTTTGAACAGTTAAAACCGTGGGTATTGGAGCTTATACTTTCATAAAGACTCATGATACACGCGCCGTCATAGGCCACGTCAGCCAGCGACACCCCTGATCACGGTGCCCTATTTGAATGTTCTCCGCATGGACTCCCAAAATGCCTTGAAAACAAATGTAGGATCACATGGTGCGAAGTTAATAGTGCGAGGCGACTATGGACTATTTTATGTATCTTGAATCTGGTGAAAGATAATCTCTATTAAATCACATATTGTTCCTCAATCCGTTGCATTCTAAGAAGAAAATAGTAAAAAATATCATTCAACAGTTATTATGTATGCGGCATGCACACTGGCTTCTTCCCAGCCCCACGGCAATGGATTGCCTGTATGTCGGATTTTGCTCTAGGAATCTAGTAAGGTGGTCTGACGGCAATTCCCCTTCCTTTCCAATCAGCAGGACATTGCAGAACCCCACAAAGCGGATGGTATTATTATTATTCAAGAACTTTGCCAGAGACGTGCGCGGAATTGTAAGACGACACAAGTGTACCTGGCGGAGTTCAGTCCTTGAAAGGACTTCTAACGGAAAGCACTCGTGCTGTCCTTGTAAATGAAGAATCTCAATATGGCAGAGTAGTTTCTGGAATAGATCAGAGAAACCAGTAAGGTCTGCCTCCTCCCAATTAAACTTCCACGGGAATAAAAAGTGGGAAAGGCGGAGACTGCGGATTTGGATTCCATCCACGCGTGCACGGAGAATGGCACCTGAAACTATATGAATATAGTGCCCAAAGGATGTCTCTCTAGGCATTATTACGGGGACATTCCACTTGTCACAGATGTCAAACACTTCCTGGCTAAATGACAAACGGAACTCGCTTAGTTTGGGAAGCCCTCTCAAGGCAGACGACAACATTTGGAAGTCTTTGCCTTTACTAATAAGATGGTGCTGTTGGCAGCACATGCGCCTGATTGTATCATAGATAACCATGTAGGATGGAGTTGTGCCAGGCTTTCCAAAGCGATCATATTCGTCTTTTAGCAACTCAACATAGTAATCGGGCGTAAAGACTCTGGATTTGAAGCAATCGAAATCTATCACCTCTGAATAACACCAGGTCAGTATGAAGATCGAGCCAAACAAAGAAGGCCTTACCCGGGCGTAGAAGATCGGGAACCAGATAAGTAAAGGTCACAACATGACGACAAATATAGGACCTAGAAAAGTATTCGAGTTCCTTGAAGCTGTACACTGAGAATTCGAACCTCACATTGCGAAAAATAATGGGCGAACATATTTTTCTAAGCCTCTTGTTTGCACAAGAAAACTGTTTGACGGTCGATACATCCAGGTACTCTAAAATAAGGTAGAGAATCTCGGGTGCAATATCTAAATGGGTTCTCCGGTTCACAGTGTTCATTTCGGATAGGTTATATGGTGTCGGGTGCTCTTTGTTTCCAAGATGTTTTGATGAATATTAACTCCGGCCGTGGCTGCCGTGGGGGCTACCTCGTATATATTATTGAGGTGTAATGCGACAACATCATGAGTCTATATACAACCAATAAAAGGTCAGAAAACTTAAGGTGGGCTACACCCAGACTTCTTATTTTACTGTCTTTCAATATTATCTTCATACAAATCAATGATTAATTGAAACTATTACTTGGTCTATTCATATTGGTTTTGACAAGCGTACGGTGATATTTTGGGCTGTGAAAACCTCTGCTTGGAAGAGTGACATTTGACATCCGTTGTTCCCTTCATGGGCCAGCCTTCCTATCTCGAGCGAATCGACGATGATAGTTCTCAGTTGCTAGAGAATGTTAGAGGCCACAAACAGAGAACCGCGCAAAGGACATACCTCGTGGCATAGATATATTCCCGCTCCTCTCCAGGTGGCGACATTTGAACATCCGTTGTTATAGTTGTAGACAAAAGAGCTTCTTTTAAGGAAATTTATCGGCTGGCTTATATCAGACTTCCGAACATTAGATTCGGTTGACTGGCACCTTATGTCTATCTTCCATGTAGTTAGTATATATTGCACCCTTGATCCCAAAAGGTACTTACTATAGTGAGGGCTCCTAGTCTTATTATGTCTGGCAAAGTGTTCATATACAATATAAGAAGTTTCTGGTTCATTGTAGAGGACTGTAGCTCTGTTCTTAAGACTAAGAGCAATCATCACATATTCTGGAAAGATGCGAGTTTAAATGCCTATCCTGTTGGCCATTATTCACAAGCGTTAACATGGGAGGTATAGCACTAATAGTTTCATGACTCAGGATATAGTCGCGCTGTGGGCGTATCACAATACCTGTTCGAGGGTTTGTGCATTAGCTCAAACTTAATTTCGCCGATCTGTCGTACTTTCCCATTTCAAACCAAGGGGGTGTTTGGCAAAAACAGTCTCAACAACGGCAGGCACATCAAAAGTCCCGAGGTCCAAGGAGAACAAGGCTGGAATTAGAAAAGCTCACTACTGCTGCTGAGAACTAAGGCATAACACAAATAAGAGAATATGACACGAAACGAGCTATAATACATAATGAATGATTTAAGCAACCCTGTCAGTCCTGAATTCCAGTTTAGTGGCTTCTGTAATTTTCACCATCCATAGGTGTAGATTTGTCAAATAGGTTTTTAGGTATTTCACAGTACTAGTGTATTCTTTGGGAGATCCAAAGCTTTATCCATCAATAAGCAATAAATGCAGCCTGTAGTTTAAATACGTCCTTTGGTATAGGATCCTTGAGCCAGGCGACGTCGGGCTACTTGTTAATCTTCTTCCTCAAGGTGTCCGCCAGTTGGGCGACTTCCAATATATGCTTGATAATTCATGTGAACGAAGGTTATGGTCATGGTTTTGGACTATAGTTAGAATATTCACTTGAATGCTAATTAGCATTATATCTCTAAAATCCAAATGTTCTTTCCTACCCACCACGGAGGTTTATCAACAAAGCTATGTGCCCTATCGAATCTTGGCCACTTGGTGACTTGTTTTGCACCTCGCAGCATTGACGATAAATTATTGATGGCGGGGGTATCGGGCTTTGTGTCAAATATGAAAGAAACCTGAATAATAAGAAGGACGGCGTCGGATATTGCGATGTATCGAAGACCCAAGTAGTAACAGCCAGCTTGGCGAGAGACTCCTGGTCTAGTTCCATCGCGATAGTAGAAATGATATCGTCAAGGCGTTTCTCGTAGGCCGCTAGCTTTTTATTGATGAGCGTGGGACTCGAAGCTTCGAGAATGGAAGTGCCTGATGAGAGCTCGGCGAGGAGCAATAAACACTTCAAGGCCGGTTGTGCAGCAGGAAAGAAGATTCCTCCCAAGGTGAACTGTCGAGCGTCAGCAAGTTACCCAAAATGGCAAATGAAAATTTCAAACATTGACCAATCTTCGTTCGAACCTTTGTAACATAGGTTCCAAGCCTATAATTTAAGTACTCAATTCTGCTGGCAAACCATGCCCATACTTTTCTGGTCTGTGAGAAGGGAATGTTTGACTGTGTGCTGTATGTCCTAAGGAATTCCTGGCGATAGTGCTCAAAGATAGTATAACCAATGCGAGCTCTGAAGTTACCATATGTCTCTCCAACATCTTTCGGGCGTTGCATTATGGGGTCATCATCGCTGAACTGTTCAAAACCTAGCAGCTTGTATTTTCCATAAACACGGCTGGTCTCAGAAGCAATGACGGCCAAATCGACTTGATTAAAACCGAGTGGTACCGCAACAATGACGGCGTCCTCCAGGCCTTTTATCAAGGCATCGATTAAAGGGTGTTGATTGCTATTGTACTGAATTCGGATAGTCTAACCGATCAGTTTCTATAAGGGAAATAGGTTAGCCCAAGGGTGAGTGCGTACAGACAGTGGCGGATCGGCCAAGTTTGAGCGCTCGCCTAACTGCTGCACCGCGTTCAGAGAAGGCACTGGATTTTCAGCAGAATAGGTAGTCCATATAATAAAGGGCAGAGGAGATGCTTTTCTCAACTGTCGCCATTTGTTCTCTAAAGCCGCAGGTGTTCGTCGTCGGCTGATATTAACTCGTAAATTGAACTCCTCTGCGACTTGAATCCAAGAGACACCCCGACTCTTTAAATAAAGCAACATCCCCTCTTCATGTGGGTAGTATTCTTTATTATGGCCTGGGGCGTACGAGTCACTAGACATGGTAACAGCTTGGAACGACGTTGGATAAGAGGTCGCGCGCATCGCCGACGAGAGCGCCTCTAAGAACTATTTCAGCAAAAGAGACCCTGGTATCGGAACCTCGAAGGCTATGTTGGTTCTATTAACTTTTGGGAGCAGTCCGTAAGAAGTTTAGGACCAAGAGCCTACAATTAGCGCCCTGGTCCGGCCCACGAAACTAATGTAGCTGGGTGCAGCAATCACCTTGATGGTGGCAGTGCTGAGAGTCAAACACCAGTCACAGTGTTGTATTCTGTTGGCCATGGTTGTTAGATATCACAGTTTACCAAACCTTGGCGCGTATCATCATGGGAGGGGGATAGCACTAATTTCATGACTCAGGATGTAGTCGCGATGAGGTCAGATCACAATATGTTCTGGGATTTGTGCATTAGCTCAAATTGAATTTCGCCGATCTGTCGTACTTTTCCCTTTCAGCCAGCCAAGGGGATGTTAGGACAAAACAGGGCAGGCACATCAAAAGTCCCGAAGTCCAAATGGAAAAAGGTTGGAATTGGAAGCTCACTATTGCTGCTGTAAACCAAGACATTAACATAAATAAGGGAATGTGACACGAAACAAGCTATAAAACATAATAAATGGCTCAAGCAACCCTGTCCGTCCCGAATTCCAGTTTAGTAGCTGACATTGGTGCTTCTCCCAACTTGTCGAGTGCCTCTGTAATTTCTACCATCCATGGGTGTAGATTTGTCAAATAGGTTTTCAGGTATTTCACAGTACTAGTGTCATTGTCAGCACGTCTTGTAGGACCCCAGTAGAACGGTTATCGTGGGTGAGGAACCTTTTCCACGATTCTATTCTGTATTCGTATTAGAACATGAAGGTACGAGATTGGGCCGGTAATACACACTCATTTCTTAGGGACTCAATCTCCCTCCTCATCTCCTGGTGCTCTTTCTCGCAATGCATGATTTCGCCATTTCCTGCCGGAGTGCTCGAGGAGTCTTCCTCCAGAGATGGCAGGGAAGGGAAGGAGGTAAGATAAGAGGGGTCTCCCGCTGTAAAAAAGGTCGGATCAACGCTGATATCATATAGCGAGCTCTGTGGAGGAAGATTGTCAAAATCCTGGAACAGTTGTTCGATTTCTGGGTCCAAATGCTGCCCTTCCATCTTGGAATGAGATAATGGATGGAAATAGTGGCGAGAGGAAACAATGCGCAAGGCCCCTTTTAAAATTTGTTGGACTATACACTAGTGTGGACACGTAAGACCATGGTTTTTTTTCGGCGGGACCATCATGAGTCCACGGGCTTGTCATTTCTAATGTGGGAATGGAGTGATGTTGTATTCCTAAATATATCTGTGCCTAGCCTTGTCAACTTGACACACTTCTAATTCGAGCCCGAAACTTTACCAGGAAGCAATAAACCTATCATTTACTAAGTGCGTTTGGGGAAGAGAGTAATAGTCAAGATGTACTAATTATATCATAGAAAATTACCAATCTAATTATCTGCACCGAGAGGAATAAGCGGATAGCCCCATGGCCAACGAAGTCAGCCTTCTGCACTTGACGCGCGAACTGCGCAAATTCCAAGATCTCCATGCGGAGAACCAGGCGTTAATCTACGAACTGCGGCGACAAAATCGACAACTCAAATCGATGCTGGAAGAGTATAACTCAGCTTTAAAAAAATGCATTAAAGGGCTTGATCAGGCGCTTATGAAGGACTGTGCCGAACATCTTGGATAATAGATTATTTGTTTCCACAACTGTCAGATGTCTATGTACTTTCTCTTTTGCCCCCGTGACGTTACCCGTGAGTCACAGCCAGGGCAGTCCATCCGTAAAGGGATACCATGATTGGGAGACCCGAACGGGCAATCCAACTTCTGCTCATCGATATACCATTGTATACTGTTTGGAAATGCGCTCAGCCGACGTATTGTAGCACCAAGCCGTAGAGACAGCGTAATATTTTCGTTGAGATCACGCACAAAAAAAACGAACAGGGAGCGAATAGCGATGGCACACCTGGCAGATGTCGTCCGACGAGAGCTGCAGACCCAGGTTGAGATTTTCCTTGTAAAAGTCTCTTGCACCTGGAATCAGAGACAGGCGTCTAATAAGTGCCTGGGCAGGCGCGCGACATCGTATCGTACCGGTACAGTGGTAGAGACCTGTCTGGTAATCTGGCGGGCCATTCAATTGGAAATAAAGGCACGCGGTGAGTAAAGCCAACGCTGCCTCCTCATGGTCTTCCCCACACTGCATCCTAGTCTGGTCAGACAAGAGGTCCATGCAATCCGTGCTGTCCATCGCTGGCAGTCCGTACGGCAGGAACTCATCAAATCTAAAATAACCATCTTCTTTGCCTAATCTCATCTCGACTTCCTTCCATGTGACATGACCGTTAAAGGACGTCTTCCACGAGCGATAAACGCGTGGGATCCAACCGTCAACTAGGGCATTCCGGAAGCGTGAAGCTTTGGGGGAAGCCGTCTCAGAACCAGTTCCCAGGGTGACAACGACGTCTGGGTCTGCCACATTGGGCCATAGATGCTTAGCTTCTGACAGCGCTATATTTAAAGGATTGTTGTGTCGTCCCATGCCGCCATCCTGGAAAGTGCCCAGTCCGGGAATATCAACAGCCGAGAAATATCTGTCAAGGCATTAGCTGCTGCTACAATACATAGAGTCAGGAACATACAGTGGCGCTGCTGATGTTGCACGGGCACTGAAGCAGATTAGTATCTATGCGTTCAGATAGCCTTGGACGTGCTTACACCTGCCAGACAAAAGGTTCATATTCTACATCTGGTCGAAGTCTTCCGTATACTGTCCAGTGTCAGCGTCTCTGTTCCGCGAAACTGCCACATAGGGTATAGAACCTGGCTCTGCCCGGTGCGGCGCGGCCCCATTATAGTTTGTGAAAATGAAGGGGGCACCGTCCTTGATTGAAGTTGCTATAACTGCTACCTTCCCTGAGGATAGTAGAGATGCTGGGACATCAAAAAGCCGTCTTCCAGGCTCGAAATGGTCCTTCAGAATGTCCTCTAGAACCCTAGTGTTGTAGGCTTCGTCGGACAGGAATAGGTTGATGAATCTGCGCCAGCTGGATTCGAAAACCTGTTTAATTAATGCACGGAAAAGTGACTTACACTCGGAGACCCCTAGGCGGAGGATATCCAGGCTCAAAGCCAGCAAGCCGCCGGAACTGCACCCGACCATAAGGTCGAATAGATCTGCTATGGGCATATCAGGGCCGACAGCCTCCTGCAGCATCTCCAGGTTTTCCAGGGGAACAATAACGCGGGAGCCGCCACCATCAATGCTTAATACTCGTGGTGCAGCTGTAGGTGGTTTCAACCTCACAGTAAGACACCGGGAGCCTTCACATAATATGCACTGTCGGACAATGTATTCGCAATCCGCATGTGGTGCGACCTCGCCAAAGATCTCTGTACACGTATCGCAGACGGTATGACCACATGGCAGAGGGTGTTCAGGATAGCGCCGGAGGCACCAAAGACATGTCCTGTTAGACCTTGTCCAGGCCCAAAATTTCCTCTGGCCTTCCAGATTGTGTCTGTGGACCTGTGATGATGATACCATGTTTGTAACCATTTTTTCAAATAATGAATTCAAGTGGTTCTCAATCCTTCTGCATTGAAGCGAAGCGAGTGCGTCTGTGCTGTAGATATTCCGGAGCGCTGTGTAGCATACGTCCCGGTAGAGGGCTTGGAATACCATCAATGGCGGGAAACCTAAGAACAAATCAGTGAGAGTAACAAGGGAGCAGCGGCCGGGCATGACACACCGGGCATGCCTGGCGGGTAGGCATCCATTAGGATAGCAGAGGCAATGTACGATGCCATTTCGTCATATGGCGCGCGTGTCTTATTTCCGATCTTCAGGAAGTTAATAAGGTGGGAAGAGAACGCTCCGTCCAGCGGGTTCTGCTGCCGTGCCGCGCGTATAAAATCAAACTGGGACAGTGGTGCGGTGGATATTTGCTTCAGGGCGACCTCAAAGAACGCCTGAAAATGTCTCGCTGTGAAGAGTGCACTGTGGCACTCACGGGAAAATCTCATGTTGCGGAGCTCTTGGGTGATATCCCCCCCCAGAGGCAAGTAGCGAGCATCGGGCGATAGCTCTTCTGGCAGGAGGCGGGATATCTTGATATCCCCAAAAGCCGCGAAGAAAGGAAGATCGGCAACATTGAGCAGCTCGAGCAGAAAGTCTCCTTCGTCCAAGAGGCTGTGCGTGATACTGGGTGTGTTGCCAACAACAACAATCACCCGAGGCCTGACCGCACGCGGTAGACTCGAGGCTGATCCGATCCGTGCCCAGGTCGCGAGCAGTTCACGGACTCCCTCAAGCCCTCCAACATCGTCGGCAAAGATACAGAGCACATCAACAAAGAGAAACAGGAGACGCGAGAGCATAAGATCCAGCAGAGAGTGCTCTGTGGGTAGCTCCACAGGGAAAACCTGCTCTGGGTGACAGACACGCAGGTTGCCAAATGCTGCCAGCAGCGATCGACAAGTGGGGTCACAGTCTGCAAAGAACCGTGGTTGCAGTGAATGCAACGTACGGTTATCTGAGCGTATATTGATGGAGCCTTGATGTCGGCTCTGCCCTCTATAGTTGCTACTACACAACTGTCGAAGCGCCTGGTTCTTCTGGCGACGGCCCATGAAAAATATGAGCTGTGGCAATTGGGCCGACGGCTTGGGCAACTCATTAACGAGCCGAGCAAGCCTGGACCCGTAGACCAGCTGTGGGACTGCTTTGCCCGCAGCCAATTCCAGCCAAAATGTGTGTTCGCACTTTGACATGGTGATGTGAGACAACGGCCATTCTGCTGTGAGGCTTTAGAGGGCCTTTATATAGCTCCCGGGGCCACGGTTTTCCACGGGCCATGGTTCCATTTTTACATTTATTCTGGCAGAGAGCAAGCCACCGGCCGAGAAGTCCAAAACCGTGGCCTTCCTTACAGGATGACGTGTTCAACGAAGACATATAATTCTAATCAAGACAAAATCAACTAAATAACAAAACAACGCACAGCTAATTAACCAACTATTTGTACCTAGTTTCTATACTAGATACCAGACTCGCTTTGTGATCTCTTGGTGTCGTTTGTTCTCTCTGGGCTCCCGAGAGCACGCCGCAACTCGGCAATCTCCGCATCCTTCTGCCACAGTAGACCGCGAAACCTTTCCTCCATTTGCTTATCTAGGTCGAGTACGAGGTCGGTGATTTGCCTGGACCGGTCAGACATCTCAAGCTCACTGTCTTCCTGGAGAAGCATGGTGTCTACCAAGCTATCCACTAGATGAAACTTTCTCTGTGTTCGATCTAATTCCGCTGCCATCTCCTCCAGCTGCTGCCTCTCGAGCCCTAGAGACTGCTGGGTCGCATAAAGAGCAGCTTGGCAGGAAGAAAGTTGTTGTTGTTGGCTGTCGATAACAGCTTGCGCCTGTAGATGGAGTTTCTGTTCGATCTCCAGGGCTTGCTTTGCCTGAGCATGGGCGATCTCCTCCAAGTGCAGTTGCTCGCGGTACGAAACATTGGTGGCCGTAATCTCCCCAATCAGCCTGTCCTGACGCTCGATCTCCGCCAGTGAGCTGCGTCGTGTCCACTGTCCACTGAGCGCTGAACCCCGAAGAATGTGATGTAGGTATGTGATGTGCCACCGGCGGAAGTTCTGTTACAAAGTTAGCCAAAGAGATGCCCACTTGGACATAGTACTCACTTCCTCCGAATATGTGTGACTGGATGGGACCGTGACGGAGCTCCCTTCAGCCATTAGATGTTAGTAAGAGACGCACTTTAAAGCCCGGGATAAAGAAGAGAAGCTAAACATATATTTGCAATCACAAGGGCTCATAGGAAAGGTAGACGGCCTCGTAATTTATATCAGGCAAGCCGTAAATGCAGAGATAAAAATAGACGCAAAGGATGGAAGCGCCGGGGAAGAGGAGCAGAAAGCCAGACTAACTTGTTCATCCTTTTTTTGATCCCATGTGCAGACCTGTGCCGCTCATCAGAAACTTGCGAATTGAATAGTTTCACCAGCTCCTCCCAAGTACAGTTCCTATTCTCCTCACGTAGAGTGACCAGAAGCTGGTCTTCCTCCGGGAGCCACCCTAGCCGTTTTTGTTGTATCATGTCTGACGGTCTAGAATAATAGGATGTCTCGCGCCAGCAAGATATATGCGTGTCTGGAAATTTATACTGGTTCTCCTTTCAAGGTAAGGGTCAGATCCCTCGATACAATCATTCTAGGACAAAACCGGATTAAGGCGACGCTTGTGGGCCCTAGGCTTTCGGATTACACTAGATCTGGAAAATGTGGTCTTTTAGCCCCGAAAATCCATCGAGCTCATTTCGTTCCTAGAAGGCCTGCGGCGTAGTAGCCCATCGGTTGGCTGACGGAATCTGTCCAGTGTCATACCTTGGTACGAGGCTGCGGCTTAAGCTGTATCCTCCACAGTCTCCTCCTCACCGCGCTTTTTTTGTTTCCGTTGCCCGTCTGCCACCCAGAAGCTTTCTTCCTTTTATCAGGAGCCAATGAAGCGCCAAAAAGCATTTCTTCTCTGTGATGACGATGGCAGGGGAGCAGACTTTCCGATAAGACCTCACTTGCTTGCAGAGATACTGGGCCGTACTTCCCTAGTAGTAATGCTTGCCTTGGCTAGATGCATATAAGAGCAAACACTATTGGTCATCCTATGTCTGGGCTTGTGAATATCACGGACGCTATAACTATGCTGTGAAAGTTTATTAATCGGTGTCGGCGTCAGGGGAAATGTATCCGAGTTCCGGTTCTTTGTTTTCGTGAGGAACTAACTACTCTCGTCAATCACATGATCTCATTCAACTGCGGCCCGCCCCACTCTGGTGGGGCCAAAGATCGCCACTATATCGAACCATACCTTATGGCGCAGGAGCTGATATTGGGAAGAGCCGCACAAAGTATGTGACCTTGTATCAGCGCCGCAGCACCTTGAGGGCACCCGAGATGTTTCTGTGCGGCACAGGAGGATGCCTAAAGATGTGAGCTGAATCAGTCAAATTCCCGGCATCATAAAAGGGGTACGCCGGCTCCTCATAAATGGGTATAATCTCAAGGAACCATGTCGGGTGTCTCTTGGAGTATTGAGGAGACCGCAATCGCGATCATTCTGGATATGTGGGGTGTGGAACATGAGACAATCGCCTCATTATTAACCAGTAAGAGGGCTGGAATTCGAGGAATCCGGGAGGGTACGGTTGCTGGAATATCAGTCACTCCACCTACATATATACGGACCAGAGATTCCGTCGGCAGCAAACTTGCCCGAGTTCGCAGGAACCATCCACAGCTCTGGATAGAGCAGCTAAACCAGTGGAACCGAGATGCCGTCTACCGCTTCCTTCTCGATCAACACATTGACCATGAATTGCTTGACAACCTTTTAAATTTGTCTGATGCTGAACTGGAGATGATTTGTCAGGTCAGTTTCCTCCGCACGAGGAAGAGTCGAAGACTAATTAATTGCAGCGACAGCGCCATGACTTTATTTAGTAAAGCAAGGAACATGCTGACCAAGTATGATTGGGTTGGGTTGGTGGGGTTGTTGATTTTGCCGCAGTCTTATTGGATTCTAACGGAATTAGCTTAGTAGCCAATGGCTAGCCCAGTTGGTATATTTATATAGTCTCTCGTCGGCTATGTCATGAGTCCTTTTGATCCTGAGTCCTGAGTGCTGAGTCCTTTTTTTTTTCCTGAGTCTATTAAATCCGGTCCCTGTCCGGACACTCGGCCAGAGTAATCGTCTCAAACTGTATCATGCCTGGATACGCTTGGAAAGAGGAAGAAGAAGCCTTGGTGGTGTACTTTGCTTGTTTGGGCCTCCAACATCGCGTGATTGCTGAGCTCCTCATGCAGCGTGGCCTTCACCGCACCGGGGTTGCTGTTACGAACAAAATTGAAGAAATCCGGAAAAAGAACCACACTGGTCCTTTGAGGAAATTGACAAGATATGAAGCTGATTGGCTGGTTGTTGGTTTATCTGCTGGCCATAACATGGCTAGTTTATTCGTACCGACACCTGAGGACCAACAGATTGTGAACAAAGTGGGTTGTTCTAAACACCAATAGTTGGTTTTGGTACGCTGATGCCAGTCAGGTTCATCAGAGAGTCGACCTTTGGGAAGAATATCTAGCCTTGGTAGGTCGCACAGCTTGGCCAGCTGAGCTGGCCAAGCAGACCTAGACGGGTTGGGCAAGGGCGGGATGTATAGTGGATGATTATAGCAAGTCTTTGTTCTTTTATTTCTGATAAATCTTTCGTGTTGCAATATTGACAGGTCATTTTCCCGACCCTCTATAATGGAAGATAACCCGATTATGTTTATACAGAAGTAAATAAATTCTTAGGTTTAGAAATCCCAGGGTTAGAATCACACCGTGAGTCTATTATTTGAGGGGTTGTGCCATGGGCAAGACACCATACTGTTTTCGAATTACGGCTACAGTAGCTCGAGTTCCCTATGTACTCCACCTTGCCCATCCTTCCCGCTTCTCTTTCCTGACCATAAGCCTGTTTACAACTTTCATGCAAATTCACCGCAGAACCATCTATCTCGAATTGTCTCCATTATGGATAGCAGCCAAAAACCTCAACTGGACATAATGAGCCTCAAGGCCATACTAAACGACCCTACAGACCATACGTTAGAGGATCACAATCCAGGACACGACTTTGAAAAGTGTGGTGCATATAAAAACGAGCGGATATATCATTGGTGTGGGAGACTGGTTAACGTGCTCCCATTTGATGATCAGGAACAAGACCGCCAGGATTTTCTTCACAAAGTATTTTCTGTTGCAATGCGATCCAACGACCTAATCCATGTACCGCACCCTAAAAATGGCCGATTCCTTGACCTGGGATGCGGAACCGGCATTTGGGCAATTGACGTTGCGGAGAAATTGCCCGATGCACTTGTTGTGGGCGTCGATATCGTACCTATGCAGCCAATTAACAAACCTCACAACTGTCAATTCTATTCTCCTTTTGACTTCGAGCTTCCATGGTCGCTTGGAGAGGGTACCTGGGATGTTATCCACTTGCGAATGGGTTGCGGTGCCGTTGTGAGTTGGCGCAGCCTGTACCGTATGGTGCTTACTCATCTCCGCCATGGCGCCTGGTTCGAACAGATCGAGATTGACTTTGAGCCACGATATGCGAACTGCAATGTGCATTTCTCCGCTCTGCACTGCTGGTACCAGAGCATAAAACAGGCAACGGAGAAGGCCATGCGGCCGCTGGCACACCATCCTAGAGAAACCACAAGTCTGCTGCGAGAGTCTGGGTTTGTCGATGTAAGCCACCATCAGATCATGTTGCCCCTGGGCCAGTGGCACCAGAATCTCCATGAGCGGCAAGTTGGTCGATGGTACGGCGTTGGGTTTTCCGAAAGTATCAAGCCTCTCAGTGTCGCCCCGTTTAGTCGCATACTCGGCTGGGAGCCTGATAGGATCCAACGAATTCTTGGCGATACCAGGTTGGAAGCCTGCAGCAGGGATATTCCAAATTTCCACGTACTGCACATATATCGGGCAAGAAGACCTTTCTGAGACCCAACGGCACCTGTTATAAGTAATCTACCTAGGCTCTCCGAACTTTGACTACATATTCTCTGGGATAATGACTGTATATTATTTAGTCTTTACCCCTCCAACTAGTTAATGAAGTACCCAAATACACCAGACTAGATTAAAATAAATCGTACAACCATAAGTAGCACACCCTTGCCTAGTCTACCCGATAGGCTATGGCCGCGGTTTGTACAGTCCCAAATTTATGGCCATTCCAGGAAAGTGTGGCATAAACCAGCTATTTAAATATCACGAAGAATGGTGGACACAACCACTATTTTCAAACCATAGTTTTCTGCAAGTTTACTTGATCATACATACCCAGCTATGATTGCCTCCGCTGCAATACTCGGCCTTTTCGCCCTTCAAGCAATATCAGCTCACATTGAGTGAGTCCTATCCATGTTATTCAAACAGTTCAGTCTAATTCCACATAATAGTAGCATCAGCCAAAGCTTCACCATCGATTCTGAGGACACAGACAGTCAGACCATACACCATGTTACCGTTGGACATGAAAATGCCCCTGTGTTTGTGCCGAGTCGACTTAACGCCAATGTTGGTGACAAAATCCAGTTCAAATTCGGCAGCGTCAACCATACCTTGACAGAATCAAGCCTGGAAAATCCGTGTACACCTGTCAGTAAATTTGATACTGGATTTAACCAGTTCAACCCACAAGATAGGAGTGATCCTATCTTAACTATTACGGTCAATTCTCTGGAACCGCGATGGTTTTTCTGCAGGCAGAATAACCCGTTTTCACACTGCCACAAGGGCATGGTGTTTGCTCTCAACCCTGGTGATGAGATGAAAGACTTCCTTGATAATGCAAAAAGAGATAGCAGTGGTAGCAGTGCTTTTGCCTATCCCACCCCCTCAACCCCTGTTTCCAACTCTGTCAGGTTTACACGGGTCAGCGCTCACTCCACATCAGCAACAGTTGACTCTTCTCTCGCTGGTTCCACTGTTGGGAGCTACTCTCGTAGCTCTGTTGCTACCCATGCCTCTATCTCAGCCTCTACATCTGCTGCTACTATATCTTCTTCCAGTCTTATTTCCGTCATCCCAATTAAAGTAGTGACCATAACAGAAACTGCCACCTGTTCAGCAACCCCGAGAGCAATGTCTGTCAAACGCACAAACTCTACCTCTGATGTTGCTTTTAAGGGAACTGGATATACAGCTGTTGTCCCTACCGCCACCCTTTTTGCTCTGTTGTTTTCAGCAATTTTGTTTCTCTAGGAAATGTTGGCTGCTTTTACATGTTGATTTCTCTCTGTAAATTAACCTAGAGTGCATCGCACCAGAGTGTTAAACTGCAGAATGAAACAAATCACAGTCATTTAATGCCAGCTCCGGGGGCCAGGACTCATGACCGTTACGCGTAGCCAAAAATAGTATATCATCTAAAAATAGAAGGGCATGAAACTATGGCCTCTACCCCACCATTTGTATAAAACCTGGACGTTGAGTATTATTTCTAGGATTTGCTGTATAACTCTTTCTCATTTTCTTGTGGTTGCGTCCGTTATGTCTCAGCATACACCTTGGAGGGAGAAGCGGCTGGCACGTGGTCCCCTCCTTGATCCACAGAAAGCGGCCAAGGCGGACCGAGAGCGGTTCCGTCGAAGGAAGATCGAGTCCTACAAACAACTCAACGATGTCTTCCTAGATGGCCTACACTCTGGCCGTGAACGCCGCGTCTATGTTTTGATCATGAACAGACCAAAAGGCGCTCATGGGGCTATACACTATTCAACTTACAATTCCCACCCACGCGAGCTTTGGGTTCCCACTGCCGAAGAAGTTGTAAGTAATTCGAGTTTAGCTAGAATGGTTGGATCTGACAATATGCGAAAGGCTGAGCATACATCAAAAATAGACAAGTGGGACCCTAGTAAATTTGAAGAGAAGGGCAGGAACTGGGTTAGGTATAACTGGGATAGCCTAGGGAAGCAACGTCTTTTTACTATTTCAAGGCCACCCTCATTGGAATTACCTCGGACGCCAAAATTGAATTAGATCTTGGATCGAAGTAGCCACGCGATATCATTTCAGATTTAGGGATCAGGATCCGAACAAATCGAACCGCCACACAGCTTTGAGACAATGCGAAATGTCCAATTGGGTCAGGAGACAGGCGGCATTCAGATGTGGCTCAGAATACAATACAGAGAGGCAGGATCTACAGCAACCTTTGTGGGACAGGCTAACGAAAGAAAAAGAAAAACCCACAATACAAGTAGAAAGAAATATGCAAATGAATTTTGGTCCATTGCTCAGCATTTATAATTATGCATATATACCTGCCTTCGTAATAACCTACGTAGCGTTCTAGCCACAAAATTGTGGTTACAAGTTTAGAGTGTTTGGTTGCGAAAAGGGCCACAGTTTCTAGCAGGCCTGTACACCATGGTTTTCCTAATATAAGTGTGGCCCTGCGTCATAAGAAAAACTATTTAAGGCCTTGACTGTATCTTGCCATTTACTCACAAGTCACAACCATCGTTCATCTAAATACTCATACAGACTGCTGGTTCAGTCTTCCATTTATTGGCACCTAAGTTTACCAACCCATAAGAGCAACTGCTAGATAAATTATCCATTGAATACTTTATTTCTCTTGTTCATAAAAATGTCTTCCGGATCCAGTTCCACTTTTGCTACAGGTAATAGAATTACATATAAGCGCCCCTTTTCCAGTTTTACCACAAGACATGCGCCGCTGGGGATACCTGCTAATAGAACTCCTAAAGAATCAGCCTCTGGCGTCACTCCCGGAGTCCCTGTTAGCACTACTTCAGCAGGGCCTGCACCCTCTGGGGCCTCTGCTAGCTCCGCTTCTGGAGCTGCAACTCCTGGCGCCACTCCGGAGCTCCCGGTACTACTTCAGCAGTGGCTGTACCCTCTTGGGGTTCTGCTAGCTCCGCTTCTGGAGCTGCAGTTCCTGGCATCACTCCCGGAGCTCCTGTTGGCATTACTTCAGCAGGACCTGCACCATCTGGGGCCTCTGGTAGCTCCGCTTCTGGAGCTGCAACTCCTGGCGTCACCCCCGGAGCTCCTGTTAGCACTACTTCAGCAGGGGCTGCACCCTCTGGGGTCTCTGGTAGCTCCGCTTCTGGAGCTGCAGCTCCTGGCGTCACTCCCGGAGCTCCCGTTAGCACTACTTTAGCAGGGACTGTACCCTCTTGGGGTTCTGCTAGCTCCGCTTCCGGAGCTGCAACTCCTGGCATCACTCCCGGAGTCCCTGTTAGCACTGCTTCAGCAGGACCTGCACCTGTAGTTCCTGCTAATACAACCCTTGAAGTACCAACCACTGGCATTGCTCCTGGAGTCCCTGTTAGCACTACTCCAGGACCTGCACTTCCCGAGGTCCCTGCCAGTACAATCCCCAGAGCAACCGCCTCTGGCGACCCTGCACCACCTGCGGCACCTACTCCTGCGAACCCAGGAGCAACTAGTGTCCCTCGTGGCCCTATAGACTTACAGGCGGCTTATGTTCAAAAGGTGCCTTTTGACAACACAGGCCAGTTCGTAACTGCCGACGGTGAAGTCGACCACTCTTTGGACACTGACTCTGCGTACGACTCTGATGAGGATGCCGTTGATGCCGATGATGCAGAAATGAGGGATGTCGGCGACGAGCAGTCACTGAAACTTGACCTAAAAACGCGCATAAAGTTCTTAAATATAATGGCGAGATGTGGTGAGCCGCGGCTATTGGTTCCAAGACTCCAATCTCTACTGCCCGAGCGTGGAGTGATGTCTCTCCGGCAACTTCAAATCTTACTACATCCAGACAGATGGGCGCAGAGATATCAGGAAAGAGCAAAAGTGGCACACCAAAGTTAGTCTTCACTCACTATTGAAATGAAAGTACTAATATTTTCCCTAGATATACAGAACGCTATTGATTCTGGGATAGGCGCGGACTGGGAGTTCCCGCACGTCGCGGGCTCCGCAACCGCGCGGCCGAAGTTGCGCCGGTTTCATAGGGAGGCATATAAAGAAGCAACTGAATATTTATACACAATTGCCCATGTCATAATCCTCAATCCGGAAAGACAAGACGTGCTTAATCAGGCACAGAATTATCTCTACAATATTAATTCAAAGATAAAAGAGCTAAACGAGGAGAACAGACTCGATCCGGATACAGGAACTATTGACATGCAAGGAATAGCATCATTTTGGTTCACCATAAAGGACGAAAAAGATAAAGACACAAGAAGACGTGCCAGAAAATCTTTATCTGATTTCTGCAGACTTCGTGCTTATCCTCGTGAATGGTGGGTGTTCCCTCCAAAATATAAACAGCCCGTTCCACCGCAGTCCATCCCGCCGCAGCCCGTTCCTCCGCAGCCCGTTCCATCGCAGTCCATTCCATCGCAGTCCAATCCACCCCAGTCCATTCCGCCCCAAACCGTTCCGCCGCAGCCTGTTCCACCTCAATCCGTTCCACCGCAGCCCGTTCCGCCGCAGCCCGTTCCGCCACAGCCTACCGCTGCTAATGGGCAGCTTCAGTCAGTGACTGGGACAAGAAAAGTGATAGCCTTGGCTCCACGAACAATCAAACGGATTTTGGAGCCCGGGAAAACATCCACAGGAGAAAAAATATGTTTCATTCAGAAGCTTGGAGAAAACCGCGCCAGGTTTGTGGTAGAAGCGTCAGATGGCGCCAGGCGGCTGGTAGAAAGTTCAGCCGCAGGAGGTTTGCCAGCTATCGAAGGCGCGAAACAAGCAGGAGTGCGGGAAACAATTAGAGGAGAACATGATATCGCAACACTCCGCAGTCAGGTAAGGGGCGGAGGAATTTATGGTTTGAACTGGGTGGCAGTTGGTGAATGGGATCCAAGTCAGAAGAGGCTTCCCTTTGTGGTTGCCGGATACTATTATAAGGACCCGGGAAATGAATATCCCGTTTCCAGGTCTAACTTGGGCAAGATCCTGTCCGCAAGGCAGGCCGAACGACTAATCGTGGAAGGAATAGTGGGCCACCAAAACATGTCTCTGCGCGAGGCTTTGATTAGCCAGCTGTCAGGATTTGGGCAGATGCAGCAGCCCTATCCCCCACAGGCACCATACGGCCAGCACTATATTCCCAACCTACAGCCTGCTATGCAGCAACATTATATCCCCCAGCAACTATTCCCCTACGGTCAACAGCCTGTACCCAACGTACCGCCTGTTCAGCAGCAACATTACTTCCCCCAACAACTAGCCCCCCCGAATAGCCAGCAGGCAAGTTTTGGCTTCCCTTCTCAGCCGCAGCTTGCTTCTGATCCCCAGCAACAGTACTACCAGCAACAGTACTATCAGCAACAGAACTATCAGCAACAACACTACCAGCAACAACCTCTAGCGCATGTGCCTGTCGGAATTCCGCCTATGACTTATCCGACTATTCATACCTATAACAGTGATGGCGAGGAATTATAGGGATTTACTTTCTACTTCTAACATTATTGGCGAGTTTTTGATAACTTAGTCCTGTTTTTTCCTAGTTTGGTTGCACCCTATTGATTGCCTGCTACCACAAATCACAGTCACCACGCGACAAGCCTTCTGGTCGCTTGAACACCCTGATTCTGGAAATAGCTATTGCAATAGAGCATAGTCCTTTATTTATACCTTGAGATAGGATAGTAATTCAGAGCCTACTTTCCTTGTATCTTAATTCCCTGTAGCTATGGATTTCTAAATATGACGGCCCCATATCATACATCTCGTAATAGGCAAACCCATCAAAGATTTTAACAAGCAGCGCTAACTCTCCGGCTTCATAAAATATGATTTTAGTATAGCCACTATTGCTCAGTAGCCTTGGGTAGTGATGCTCCATAAACGTTAATCGGCCAGTACAATATTACCGTGGAGCCAGTTAAAACACTGCCTTTAGATTACATTTCACCTGTTCGGTGTAAATATAAAACAGAGCTGGCGGTTGGATGCTCCAGAAACACACATTTCCCATCTGAAAGTCATGATCGATGCGCGATGTTAAAAATAGTAACGCGCTGAAGCGCGATGAAACTGTGGCCTTTGTCCTTGGGGGTTCTCTATAAAAAGCCTTGCTCAGACATGCAAATCTGTATTTCAGCAGAATAAAAAAGAGTACCGCTTGCTATATATTAACTGATGGCCCCACGTCGTCATGCAACCCCGTGGAGGGAGAGGCGTTCGGTTCAAGGTGGTTTCCTTGACCAGAAGAAGCGGGCCAAGGCCGACCGGGAGAGATTCCGCCGCGGCAAATGGGCATGCTTTAAGCGGCTGAATGATTTGTACCTCGATGGAATAGATGTCGGTCGAGAACGTCATATTTATGTCGTGGTTTCTACTAAAGCTAAAGGGCGCGATGAATCCACACGCTACACGACTTATAACTCACACCCTAACGAGGACTGGGTTCCACCCTTTGACATGGTGGTTAGTATGAACCTCTGCCGAATTAAGCGGATTCTAACCCTGTTACAATAGACCAACCATTGGCCACAAACTGATCAGTGGGCGCCGAAAGATTTTGAAAGGAAACAAGGCAAAGACCTGCAGAAAACGCAAAACAGTCAAGCCGCCACAAATCGCCAACCTCGGTTCACTATCCCAGCGCCACCTGCATTGAACCTTCCTTTGACGCCCATTCTGGCCGAATTTGCTCCTTAGCGAGACGTCTCCATTTAATAGCTATGTCGGGGCTGTATTTTCCTTTTTTTTTTTTTTTTTTTTTTTTATCTGTATGTGGTACTATGATATGTGCAAAACATGTATTTCCTAGGGTTGTCTAGCTTACACTATACACTAAACTTTGAATTATTTAACAGCAACAAAAGACCGTATTCTAGTCAGGCATCCGAGTTAAATACCCACCTTTTGGACAATTGGTGGACGTTAGTTATACCTGCAATGCAGTACCTATATTGTGGTAGTATCTACATTGTGATTTGGCACTGTAGATAATGTCCTATTGTTGGACTATGGATTGCCATTTTAAGGACCTTGACTGGGGCCATAATAAATCCAGGACCACGGTTTTCCAGCCAGAGCGCTAAAACTAATCATCAGGCCACAGATATGCGGGCTAAACTTGTGGCATATCATAGCCTTTTAAGTAAGATACCAGCCTTGGAAAAATATGGGCAACTATCTAAAGCGTCTAAACCCTTACATAACACAATACCCACAATCGATCACTGGGAGTTCCTTCCAGAACCATGTATATTGGCCCATTTCAGGTACTAAAGTGGCCAGAGTTGCCCGGAGAATTGGGTCGCGGTAAGCAAAATGCCAGGACCAGAGGGAAATCGACTGATGATAATCAGCACAGCATCATAATACCCACGAAGAAGTCTTTATTAAGACTGAATGGCTGTTTCCATTAGCACAAGAAGCCTATACTCTTCAGGCTGCAGCTGGGGGGGAGTCGGTGTGCCATTGCTACACTGGTTTGAAACCATCGACGGAAAGGATGTTATGATTACAGACACATACGGCCCGACACTGGAGGAAGCCTTCTGTCAATCCGGACGTTATTTCAGTATGCAGAACCTGCTTCTTTTGGCAGACCAATTGGTCTCCCGGTTGGAGTTTATCCACTCTAGGAACATTATTCACGGAAATCTAAATCCCCTGTCGTTTGCATTCGGTGGCTCAGTTTGGCAGAAGCAGCAGGTGCTTCTAGTGGATTTTAATACCGATAGTGGACCAGACTCCACGGCTCGCAATGATCTTCTCGCGGTGGGTCAGATTCTCTCCTACTTTTATAGCAGCGCAGATTCCTGGGATCAATATCAACAGCAGCAGAATCAGGAGGCCACTGCGCCTGTCCTGACTAACTTTTTTGGAAGCTGTTTCTTCCCACAAAAATATTGACTACTGTATGCTTCGAGAGATTTTCCACGATGCACACTATGATCTGGTCCTCCACCTAGAGATCGCGCTGGACCTGAAAGGTCCTCGAGTAATGAGAGATAACATTTTGCCGAAAATTGGGGCACTTTCTGCGATGAAGAACGCAGACCTTTTTGGGAGACTCGACACTACTCTCTCGCATATTGGGCAACTGTGTGGGGATCCTACGTCACCTTTGCCATCCAAGGCATGGCCCGAATTGCTGGATACTCTTGACGACCTACTATTCGTTTACACTATTTTAATTTCTCGGGATCGGCGATCATCCGAAAAGAAATTGCAAGTAATGGAGGCGTATCATCTCCCAAATCGACTATGGAGAGACCTACAATGGCTGCTAAAAAGGACTGACAACGTATCGGGCGCTTTGCAGTTTGCGGTGATCGGTAAAACCTACCACTTTATAGCTACACTTTATGAAGCCTACCCGTCGAGCAGGGCATTCTGGGTCAGATATCTTTTAGTTCTTGCTCGTGCAAGGAAGGATATTGAACCAATTTGCGGGAAGTCGGCATGGACCCAAGCAATTTCTTTCTGGCAGGACGTCTCTAATAAGCTCAAGTCCGAAAGGGCATTCCAAAGTCGCCGTGAATGTTGAAATTGGGCTTGTCTGTCGACCATATATAGTTTGTTTCATAGCCTGTTGATATCATAGATTTGAGTGGATGAGTTCGTGTCAGATAAAGTGGATATCACATGCAAACTGTAACAGCGGTACTTTTTGTGGTATAGTTGCTAATGTATACTAAATCCTACAATAGGAAACTGAAAACATGATCTCGCTATATATAAAACGTCGATTTTTTTTGCTCTGAAGGACCTCCTACGAGCTCCAAAGTTGGGATGTTGTCCTTAAAATTTCTTCTTTGAGTTCCTCGTTAGCCAGTCATTCTACCAATTATAGAGAACAGAAAAAAAATTAAAATTAATTTATTAGAAGATAGCAAGGGCATCTCGGATACGTAGAGATTTTAAGAGCCTATAAAACGACGGTTTGAAAGATGATTTGAAACAGTGGCCTGCCACGGTTTTTGGACACCACGTTTTATTTTTACCAGGCCTTTTTTTCCTACACAGATATAATTAATGGAGCATCTCATAGGTTTACTTATCCTCTTATAGTATACCCTAATTGCTGTTGACTACTCCATATTTCGAGATGGAATTCACTAGAATATACGCTTTTGCCGCAGGCGGCATCTTTCTAGCACTTATTATGATCCGAATTGCGTCTTCTCTTATGAGCGTTTCCATATTCATTTCAAAGCATCTTACTTACTCTTACCTCCTCAACCGCCATAAATATCTTGGTCCCTGGACTAATGCTAATTTTCTCCTGTGCCTTTTGTATGGAGCCGTGAACGCCTTCTTTATTATATATCCAGACTTGTCAGCAGCCGGGGCTGGACGCCGAGCTGGGACCCTCTCACTTGTCAATATGGCCTTCCTATTAGTTGCCTCCCATTTAAGCTTCCTTGCCGACCTCCTTGGGATTTCTTTGCGGACTTGCAGGCAGGTCCATTGGGGTGCAGGATGGATGACGGGCGCACTTATAGCTGTTCATGTCACTATTTCTCTGTCCGGTCAACGCCACATCAACCTCCAGAACCAAAATGACCTAGGTGGTCTTGTTGTAAGAAGCTTAACTGAGCATTTATGCCACTATCTAATGATTTGCAGGGTGCTGCGTCAGCGATACTATTGTTGTTGCTGTCCTTTCCGCTCTTGCGTCGGCTCTCGTATGAGATTTTTCTTCGCCTCCATCAAGGGCTCGCGGTTGTCTGTGTTTATTTTACTTGGCGTCATCTGCCATCTAATTCGATCTTCCCACGAATTTATATATATATACCGTTGGGTGTATTGTCGGTTATAACTATAATGCAGTTGTCGACATTTTTGTATCGTAACGGCATTCTGCCCCCTCGACCGTCCCCGCGTGCGTCGGTTGTAACCAGGAAACAGTCAAAATCTGAAAGCGATTCCGTCGGAGCACCCATCAAAATCCGGGTTGTCCTCTCGCGGCCGCTGAGGGTGAAAGCTGGACAGTATATAAACCTTTGGATACCATCAGTAAGTCTTTGGTCCTGGGTGCAAACTCATCCTTTTATGGTCACTTCTTGGGCACCAGTGGAGCAGGATATTTTGGAACTCTTTGTGCAGACTCGTCATGGCCTTACAAAAAGATTACACGCACTTGCAGCTCTAGAAGGGAGTGCTTCATTCTCAACATTTATCACCGGTCCGCATGGTAGCAGTGAGCCCGTCAGTCAGTACGAGAGTGTATTAGTGATTGCCAGTGACTTTGGTATTGCTGGCACTGTTTCTTATATAAAGCAGCTTGTTTATCGCTATAACACAACCACATCACAGGTTCTTCGTGTGCATTTGGTGTGGCAAGTGCAAACACTTGGTAAGTAAAGTATTGTATTGAAGTCGCAAAGAGCTAAAGCAATCAGACATCGCAATTGCTGCCCAGCCATTTTTGAACAGTCTCCTGGATGAAGATATCCCTGATGATGATACCAGTCACGCGCGCGAGAGAGAAACGTCCGGCAAGCGCCGTCGCCAACATGTTAGTTTGGTACATATAATTCAGAGGCAGCGGGGCTAACCTGAAATGTAGGTGCTTGAGATGTCTTTCTATCTCCAATCCAAAGAGGACAAAAAAAATGAGAAGCTTTTTGGAAAGCACAACCGTGCGACTGTCCACCGTGGTATGCCGAATTATGAAGAGATCATATCGGCAGAGGTTTCTGGGGACCACATTGCAAAGCTCTCCAGTACACGGGAGGAGCGGGGTGAGATGCTGATAATGGGTGAGTATATTGTTATGCGCAATCCGTACCCTCGCTAAATTCTATAGTTTCTGTTTCCGACCAGCTGCGAGACAACATAAGACATATAGTCCGGGGCTACCTGGGCCAGAAAGTGAGAATGTACGAGGTGGATTATCAACCAATCGAATAGTCATTACGCCGATGTTTCTCTACTAGAACCAGCGAATGGGCGTTCCATTCAGGAAAGATAGAAGTGTCCGTAGATGCAATTGGAAAGATAAGGAAATATCCAACACATCCTTATATTTTGCAATTTTCTGTTGGACCATTCTTTTTCTTGTTTATTATCTGCCTATTGTGGGATGGTTGATAGTATTTTATATTCGTTTGCAGAAACTAGTAAGGGGAGTTTAAAACAAGCGCCTTTCCAAGTACAAAAATTAGGTAGCACAGGAGTAAAAAGTTCTCGCTGCAATCATAGCAAACCGAGCTAAAACGACAAGTTCAGCGGGTGATCGGCGCGCTTTTGCTACAAGTGGTTGCTATAGAACAATGAGTGACAGGAAGTTTCTGGGAAGGGAGTAGAAAGTGCTTCGACTTACTTGCTTTAGTGTGTCAATAAATCTAGCAGAAGAAGTCGCCGAGAGAAATTCAACGGTATCAGAGTCGACAGGCCAACGACGCACATCATCAACACCAACCAAGCCATCCTCCTTTTCGTATGTCTGCATCAGCGTCATCATGATTGCAGCGAGTGCTTTGATAGATTTAGCCTGGGATTCAGTCGGATAATATCTCACGCAGAACTCCAAGGCAGCTGCAAGATATGGTCAGCAATTGGATTGGCAACACTGAACAGCATTTTAATACCGATCTTAACACATCCGTCCAGACCAAGGAGTATATTGGAGCACGTCAAGGACTCGTGTTCAAAACCAACCGCGGAAAGGTAGGACACTCCATCAAGGACCTGGATTTTCAGCAGGACTTCTCCGGCAGGGTTACAGAGTGTTAATTTACCTGTGTGACAATCGAAGCCAATTGACTCTCATTGGGACGGCCAGCAAGATGTTCCAGGGTCAGAGGCAGATCATCGACTAGAGCGTACAAAGAGCCTTCGTATCTGTAGCATTCCTTGGCTGAAATAACATTCTCGTGTAGGATCCGGCGAAATCGGTCTAACATTTTGTCCTCATCTTTGCCGGAATATTCTCGAATGGCCAAGACTCGGGAAGGGCGCGTACGGTGAATGGCGATCATAACTGTGCCGGCAAGTTCACAGCTGAAGACCTTCTTAAATGTATCCCAAGGACTCTCGGTTCTGAGAATTAGTGACCTTGATCCGAGGATCTCTGAATCGGCGACCTGCGGAAGGCCGAGGCTTTTGGAAGGGCCTTGGACGATCTTCCGGACACGCCTAGACTCAGACGGCACTTTCTTATTAATTTTTCCAGTTGGAGAGCCATCCTGGATTTTGTCAGAACAGTTAGGGGGACCTTCAGTTGAGAAGCTGCCTTTCAGGGACTCGAAATCAAGGGCCGTTTTGTGCTTATCAGATTTCATGGTCACGGATAATTCGAGCGGACAGAGGAGAGATACTAATCGAATACCAGAGATAGTAATAAATCTCCAACCAAGTACTTATTGAGAAGGCAGTAGAACTTAAGGCCCTTCAATAAGAACAGGCCACGCTTTCAGCTTTTGTTTTTTGTGGTTTTAGTGAAAGAAAAGGCGCTGGCTCGCATTTCTAGGACTCATGATGTTGCCGCCGAAAGGGCCAAAACATACAGGAGCCACAGTTTCTTCCGCTTGTATTTCGTGGCCCTAGGGAGCTGATAAATACCATACAAAACTTGAACTAGGCTCAACCAAGGCCATGCCTGTTTGCTTTAGTTATGGACCATTCTATGTTTACCGACCTGGAACTACAGTTGAGCTCAGAACGAAATAGGAAATACCAGGGCGCTGCAAAAATCAGACTGGACCAGATTGGGCTCCATCCTTCCCTGTCCCGTCAACTTGAACCCCAGAATGTGGAGAGACTGTGCGAAATTTTCAACAAAGACGGTATTCGCCGGTTAGACATCCAAAACCATGTCACTGCTGTGGTGTCCCTCCGACATCTCCAGACCGCTCTACGTGACGCACGCGTGAGTACAGATGAGTTGTTGACTAATCCTCCTGAGGAATATCCCTACCTTCATTTTCCCATTGGGCAAATACGATGTCTCCATGGCCAGCATCGCCTTAAAGCTGGCGAGGAGCTTTTGGCGCCGAGTGATCAATGGTGGACTGTTGATCTCTACTCAGATGGTATGACATGCTTTAAGGATCTTTGGAACTTCCATTCCTCCTCTTTCACACCGTACTAAAATCGCACCAACAGATATTAGCCCCCACTTGCAAGCAGCTCTTGTGGATGAATATTCCAATGAAAAAGCGCCAAGTGATGGCGAAGTCTATAGAAAGATCCGTCAGTACCAACAAGAGGCAAATTCCCGGTTTGAGAAACTGTGGAAGTGTCGAATTTCAAGCAATAAAAATAGCCGTTTAGATCAACTCTCTTCACGTACTGATCTGCGTGCCGCGTTTGATGCACTTCTACCGATCCCGGGGCTGTGGAATGGGATGAGTATTGGCTCTCTCCATCGAGTTCTAGCTCTGAAATGTAGAGAAGTTCGCATGCTCCTGCAAAGCCATTTCCGTCGTTGATATTGACTTATATAGGAAATCGTCCATTATCTTATATACGTGAGGGAGTTTTGGTCCTTCCTTGCTAATAAAAACCGCTCCCAGATGATGAGAATCGACGCTCACACAGTTGAATCACTACAACTTCTTGCACCTGGAGTCTCTCGCAAGGATGCAAAAATCGTACGAGGCCTCGTGTTAGGTGGTGAGGCTTTTTCTGCCTTTGATGACTCTGAACGTACCGCCATCTGGGAGAAACTGCAGCGGACGAAAGTAGTTATTCCGTCCCTTTTTACTTTCTTCAAAGATATATACTACCTCGAGGCATGCGCCCACTGCGTACAGCGACTGGTGGAAGTCAGCGATTGTCATCCCACGCTTTCTACCGCGATGCGGCGTATCCTGAGATCCTCGGAACAATGCCTAATCCAAACATCAGACACAGCGTTCCGGCAGGAATCAGCATCTGTGACCGAATATGAAGACCTTGCATACCGGCAGATTTGGCTGTACGCCATGCGCCACTATCCAAAGATGGCAAAAGAGCCCGAGAGCTCTAATCGGGTGGCGAAACCGGGCAGTGAAAAGGCTGATGAGGTTGTGCTCCACGAGATGGCTGTCCTAGCACGGCGGCTTGGGTTTGAGTCTCCCCAAATCAGCGAACTCGTCGATCAATCTCCTGATCGGCAGATTGCATTAGCTGCACTTTTGAAAGCACGTAAGCTTGACAGATATCGATACAATAATGACCACATGGAGTCCCTTATTAGCCGCATCACCGACTGTTTCCAAGTGGCTGTTTCAACCAATCAACTCTCCCACAACTCAACTAATACTAGGGAGACCACGAAAAAAGATCGGTGCGGCCTTCCACGCACTCTTTCCCAGGAGCAAGACAGCCACTTTCTTTTTATCGACCAATTACATATTGACGAGCTGGTTACCGGTGGGAAGGTTTCTTCTCTCTTTGTGAGACAATGTGTCTACTTTGCCTTTTTTGGTAAGCTACCATCATCTCAGAGACATAGAGGGTTTTGGGGCTTGCCATCTTCGGGCGTGACGTCCGGCCTTATGTCTCCGCTATTTGTCCCTAACACACGACATGACCTTGACTTGCACATTCCACGAGATGACTCTTCAATATTGGACGATGATTTCGCGACTTTTGGCCAGGACGTCCGACATTTACAGCAACAACAGAGAGAAATGGTTATTGAAGAGATTCCGGGAGACGCAGAAGAACGAGCTCGACATGAAGCGGAAGAGCGAGCTCGACTAGAAGCAGCAGAACGAGCTCGACTGGAGGCAGCAGAACGAGCTCGACAAGAGGCAGCAGAACAAGCTCGACATGAAGCGGAAGAGCGAGCTCGACTAGAAGCAGAAGAACGAGCTCGACTGGAGGCAGAAGAACGAGCTCGACAAGAGGCGGTAGAGCGAGCTCGACTAGAAGCAGAAGAACGAGCTCGACAAGAGGCGGTAGAGCGAGCTCGACTAGAGGCAGAAGAACGAGCTCGACAAGAGGCGGTAGAGCGAGCTCGACTAGAAGCAGAAGAACGAGCTCGACAAGAGGCGGTAGAGCGAGCTCGACTAGAAGCAGAAGAACGAGCTCGACTGGAGGCAGCAGAACGAGCTCGACAAGAGGCGGTAGAGCGAGCTCGACTAGAGGCTGAACAACAAGCTCGACTAGAGGCTGAACAACAAGCTCAACGAGAGGCAGAAGAACTAGCTCGACTGGAGGCCGAACAACAAGCTCGACTAGAGGCTGAACAACAAGCTCAACGAGAAGCAGAAGAACGAGCTCGACTGGAGGCCGAACAACAAGCTCGACTGGAGGCCGAACAACAAGCTCAACGAGAAGCAGAAGAACGAGCTCGACTGGAGGCCGAACAACAAGCTCGACTAGAGGCGAAAACAGCTCGACTGAGGCCGAACGACAAGCTCAACGAGAAGCAGAAGAACGAGCTCGACTAGAGGCTGAACAACAAGCTCAACGAGAGGCTGAAGAACGAGCTCGACTAGAGGCTGAACAACAAGCTCAACGAGAGGCAGAAGAACTAGCTCGACTGGAGGCCGAACAACAAGCTCGACTAGAGGCCGAACAACAAGCTCGACTGGAGGCCGAGCAACAAGCTCAACGAGAAGCAGAAGAACGAGCTCGACTGGAGGCCGAACGACAAGCTCAACGAGAGGCTGAAGAACGAGCTCGACTAGAGGCCGAACGACAAGCTCAACGAGAAGCAGAAGAACGAGCTCGACTAGAGGCTGAAAACAAGCTCAACGAGAGGCAGAACTAGCTCGACTGGAGGCCGAACAACAAGCTCGACTGGAGGCCGAGCAACAAGCTCAACGAGAAGCAGAAGAACGAGCTCGACTAGAGGCCGAACAACAAGCTCGACTAGAGGCGAAAACAGCTCGACTGAGGCCGAACGACAAGCTCAACGAGAAGCAGAAGAACGAGCTCGACTAGAGGCTGAAAACAAGCTCAACGAGAGGCAGAAGAACTAGCTCGACTGGAGGCCGAACAACAAGCTCGACTAGAGGCTGAACAACAAGCTCAACGAGAAGCAGAAGAACGAGCTCGACTAGAGGCAGAAGAACGAGCTCGACTGGAGGCTGAACAACAAGCTCGACTAGAGGCCGAACAACAAGCTCGACTAGAGGCCGAACAACAAGCTCGACTAGAGGCTGAACAACAAGCTCGACTGGAGGCCGAACGACAAGCTCAACATGAAGCAAAAGAGCACGGTCAGAAAGGAAAGCTTAAAGCTGCGAAACGCAGCGACAAGGAGAGGCAAGCCGCAAAAGGAAAGAGGCCACGGACACAAATCAACTTCTCTGAACTAGATGGGTCGAGAGCAGAGGAGCCAGACAGTGCTGAAGAGCCGGACAGTGCTGAAGAGGAGCATTTAGACCAGGTGAAACCCAATTCTGGATTATTAGCAAGAAACAAGGGCACAGCAGGGCAGCAGCCCAGGAGGATGCTTGTACCTCGCACTGTTGAAAAACCATTGCGTCCAACTGGATCTAACGATGTAACTATTACCTTCAAGTGCCGCAGCGAGCAGGGCAATTGGAAAACTGTAAATGACATAGTCATTGATCCAGCCGATCCCTCTGCAGTGGAGCAGAGGGCTAAAAAATATGCTCGCGACTGGCAAGCAACCTTCTATGATAAAAACCTGCGGCTGATTAATCCCGCACAGTGCTTTAATGCGGCGGTTGAGGATGGGACAAACACTATTTTCATGGCATATGGGGGAGAGCTTACCGTCAACAAGGAGATGATGGAATCTGTCAAGGAGGCGCTAAAAGAGCAGGGAAGAGGGACAAAACGACGTAATCGAGAACCAAGTGACTAGATTTGTCAAGCATGCCCATACCAACTTCGTATGGACTTGCATCTGTCTATGGACTGTATCTGTCCAAGGACTATATCTGTCCAAGGACGGCTGTCCAAGGACTATATCTGTCCAAGGACGGGTGTCCAAGGACGGGTGTCCAAGGACGACTGTCCAAGGAATGTATCTGTCCGAGGACGGCTGTCCAAGGACGACTGTCCAAGGAATGTATCTGTCCGAGGACGGCTGTCCAAGGACGACTGTCCAAGGAATGTATCTGTCCGAGGACGGCTGTCCAAGGACGGCTGTCCAAGGACGACTGTCCAAGGACTGTATCTGTCCAAGGACGACTGTCCAAGGACTGTATCTGTCCAGGGACTGCATCTGTCCATGGACAACTGTCCAAGGCCAGGCTGAGACCTGAAACACCTAGTCTTAATACAGTAGCCATAGTTACTCACCCTCAGCGGCGGCTAATTCAAGGGAAATATCAGATATTCGGACAGTCCCGAATAGGAAATAGGATTTCTAATTGTAAACGGGTCTTAAATCGATGGTTTTAGATATTTATACGATTATATTGTCACGTGTCTATTATCACATGACAATAATGCAGCTAAACTTCGATTTTTCCCCGTCTCATTTTCTCCAAGCTTGTAGCCCTATATTAGATTGCCTTTTAGCAATAGCCATGGTATTTTATCTGTTACGGAAATACTATGATCGGCCCGACTCGGCGGTGCGGAAATATCTAATCCAGTCTATCCACCAACTCTTTAGTTAGAAGAGCACCCAAATAGGAATGCAAGAGAATCAGTTGGTTGAGATACTGTGATTCCTGGTGTTTCCACCGAATGACATCTACTTCCTAGTTAGGCTAGTTGGCCTGTAGCTGATAGAATAGCTCCCTGCGCATCACAACACTATCTAAGAAGTCTGGAGTATGGCAATATTATCTTAGGAATTGCTTATTTTGTCACGCTATCAGTTCCAGCCTTAACTAATGTCCATTAATAGAGGATGTGAGTGAGGAATATGAATTATTTCTTAAATACCAAGTTAAAATGGAAACTAAATACAAAAACTAAAAGAAGATGGTACTAAACACACGAATCTGCAAATATCCAGTTACTATTATGCCCTTCAATTTGCTCTCACCCTTAGCCGCCACTTAAGTGGTACGGAAGTTCGAGGGGTGACCACACGCTTCCTCTTCCGGGGATTCTCGTCACTCTTCAACTCGTTAGGCGCCTCGTCTCCAACTCCATTCTGTCCCAGTGTTTCGTGAGGAGCTGTCTGCGTGCTTGCTACAATCATTAGCCAGGCGCTATTGAAGTCAGAATATAATACGTACCATCCACGTAGCTTGGCCTCTTGTCGCATGTAGGGGTGGCTGTTTGCACGCTCGCTGTGATCTATTAGTAATGGCCACAAGTAGGAAGGCAAATGCTGTGCGTACCATCGACAAGAACTGCGCCTCCAGGGGCAGGAACATGAATAGGGGGCTCGGGTGACCCAGGTTCAGTGCTTTGTCTCTTAGGGTATCCATAAATCGCCTCGCAGTCTACAATATAGATAGGGTTCTCACGAGAACCATATGGACTCTCTCCACAATCAATAAGAACTGGGTTATACTTTGAGCTCCCGAGACCTTGAACCAGAGAGGATATTAGTAACAGTCTACTTTAGCAGCAAGTAAGTGATACCTTGGTTCGCATCCACGACTTTAGATGGCGGGGACATTGTTATTGTTGCAAAGAGGGATTTCAGTGAGTGGTTCGCGAAAGAGGAGTGCAGTCTAGTTGAGAGGGATCAGGAGACCCTTTTATATCCCATTTATACCAGAGACAATCAAAGCCCCTTATCCCAACAGTTTAGTGCTTCTGCAATATCGGGCTCACAAAGAAAGAGCAATTGGATATGAATCAACCCTGGGCCTGGGAATGTCGTCATCAGCGTTATTTAAGCTCTAGACAGTTCTAAATTTGCACACATACAGGTGGCTGAGACAGTATAGCCAGTGCACGCATGGCCTAGATAAGCACTTGGTTGGCTATATTGCTCCCAAAGGCCGTCGCATGCCAGTCACCCCATGTCCAAGGCAGAATATCTGTGCCGGCGTCGTATTTCAACTCCATAGATAATTCAAACGGTTGGTTCTCGGTGCTTCCGGTGCCCCCGGTGGTGAAATGGCACTGTTGTTTAACTTTCAGGGGCTTGTTGCATCCATATTCAAGGCAACAACGGCTTCAATCGGGATGGGAAGAGGACCAACCACTGGCTATTATTATTCCGTGTGATCCAACAACGGCATGCACTGCTCTTGGTTGACATCATAATGCTCAATACTAAATATAGATGTCAATTATATGGGCCTTCTGTCTTGAAGATTAGTCCGCTATATAAAAAGCAGAGAACCTACTAGTCAGGTAGTTCTTCTTCAATCCTTATCTCTACCACTCGATTTCCTTGCGTCTCTTCAGTCCATATCCATCCTTAGTCATGTCTTATACTTTCAACATCTTCAGTGACGTTGTTATTTACCTATGCCCAGAACAGCTAGCAGAGGCAGATGTTCGTCAAAACTCCCCTCAAGATAAAAGTGAGCCCGAGAACCAGCACTTCGAGGGAAATTATTCGGAAACGAGCAGAGGTAGGATGAGCTTCTTAGATCTATTAAGAAGGTATTAACAGCTTCATAGCAAGCTCAACGGAGACTGAGACCATGTATAATGGCCTTCCAAGTGGCTCGCATACTTACTATGAAAGCCTCCAAGAGAATGGTAAGAGATATTCCCTGCAATCGGAGCACAGATACTAATATATTATAGCAAATCTTGCAATCAAGACATACCTCTGCACTCTCTGCAGTCACGACTCCGTTGAATTAGTACTAGGTTGCGGCCATGCCTGTTGTTCTGCTTGTTTCAGCGAATATTTTCATAAGTATGTAGTTGAAATGAGTCAGGTTAGTGAGGAGCGCCGGCGTCAGCATCTGACAAGTCACATGTTGCTTCCGAGTTGTCCTATTTGTTCAAAGCACCTTCCGGGATGCTATGAAAGCCAGGATCAATTTGACCTGGAGGGATTTTACTTTTCTGTTAGATGCCTCGGGGTTTGCCATAAGGACTGTTTTGCCAAAGGGTACATGGTGCAAGGAGTTCAGATGAAATTCCCTCCTTTTTGGCCATCCTAAATAGCAGTGTGGCTGGATCATGCTTCCTTGTTTTGGTGAGCTTTATGTTCTTTGGAAATCAGAATATCGTTATACTAGCAATATGATTGTCGCAGTGGAGAATTGTTAGATAGGAGCAGTATGTAACACCTAGATAAACTAGATGCCGCGTCAGGACCATCTTAATCAAGCAAAACTAGGTAGTAGGAAAATAAAATTCTACACAAGGGACAAACAAGACAAATACATCAACAAGGTATCTAGCCCTAAAGGTACTGTACAGCCTGCCGAGCACAAATTCTAAGGCGATATAGCATACATCGATCAGGGTAAACTAAGGTCCCACATTAAAGGGAATATCCGTTAGCAAAGACGCAAAAGAGGCAATATATGCTGCCTGATACTACTATTTTTGCACAGACTAACAAAAAGAAGTAACAATAAGATCTGGGGTATTTCACATTCAAGAGTCGCTGAACTCCGTACTCATTCGAGCAGCTAGGTCGAGAAAGGAAGTAAGAGACTCGTTTTGACTTGAGAGAATATAATAATGCTCTCCGTCATATCCACATAGCTGATTAGCTACCTGTAGCAGAGAGAACACTTTCTGTAAAGCCTCATATTCCGGGTTCGCATCGCAAAAATAAATCTCAAAGTTTTCCAACGAAGGCATTTCATTTAATAATACGAAAGACATGAGACCAGATATGTTATTCATCTTGATCTTTTTGAGATGAGGAAAGCTCATCTTAAAGGCCTGGTCGTAGGTAAGATCATTCGCGTCTTCAAAGGTTACCTCCTCAAGACTCTCGCGCAATTTTGGCAAAATTTCGCCATAATTTACGTCTGAGGTTATTGATTCAAACGTCTTTAACGATTCGGATCTCCCAGAGAGCATTATGTTTCTATATCTCGCATGTGAAATCCGGAGACAAGAAAGTTGAGGCAACTGCGTTAAATTTGCGGAAATAATACAGTCATGATCGTCATCTGGCTCAAATAGGATATCAAGATGCAAAAGTGCCGGTAGATTAGGTATCACTAAAAATCCACTTTGCATAAACCTCAGTTCGAGTGATTGCAAGAGTCGGAATGAATCACAAAGGGGCCAAGAGCGAGACGCAATGCCGTGTATGTAAAGACCCTGAAGGACAGGGTCCCCGGTTAGTTGTGCTACGATAGCTTCACGTGTGTCATTCGCCTTGGTAGTCTCAAAAGCGTCGACACTAGACAGCGTTAGGTGGTTGGAGCTAAAGTGAATGGAAGAGTGGCAGTGGAGAACTTACCAACATCGCTTCAAATTCGGCATTCGACTTATAAAATCAAAAACATCGGGGCGTAAGCAGCATTCATGAGATACTATGTCTATCTCTTGTATATATGGCAACCAGTCCCCCATTAATTTAAATATCGTACAGGCTGGTAGGCGTCGGTTATTCAAGGCCTGCGGAAAGAATGCAAATTCAACGTTCGTTTTTCTGAAAAGCGCCTTTGCAACATGCCCACGCAGCTCATTCGAGGTATTGAAAAGCACCCATAGACGGGAACAGTCAAAAAAAAATGGACTGCGGTAACACACGTAGTCAAATATTAATTGCAGTATCTCTGGAGGAAGGCTTAACAGCATTTTCATAACGCCGTGGTGGCCCCTTCTTAATTCTAGGGAGTTAAAAGTTATCTTAGAAGACGCAGGTACCAGGAGGCAGTCCAGATTTATATAGGAAATAAGGAACACTGATATTATTGCCTGGCCCATCCATACGCTGATTGGGCTTCACTCTACAAGGCAGTCTTGGCAGCGACTACATCATGAGTCTTGGATCGTTATGAAACTGCAGCACACGGGCTCAGACCTCCCCCTGCCCCTTTTGAGAGGGGATATCCGTCACCCAGAGGAGCAAGACAGCTAGATCTAGGAGTGATCGGATCCCGAATCCCGAATATTTCTCCATCAGAAACAGAGATAGATGAAGCCAAATCAACTCGAGTAGATATCTCCATACACTACCACCCTCCACCGCTCCTCCACGACCAAACATAGTAGATAGAACAAACAACAACGCAAACCAACATCGCAAACGGACATTGCAAACCGACCCCGCAGCGGTCGTCACATGGGGTTAGCAAGTTCAATCAATGTCAAATATTCTATCTATCCATCATAGCCAAATATTATGCACTTTATTCTGGTGAAACTTATATGTCGGAAGCGAATACAAAACGACCTCACAGCCAGGGTAATCGCATATGCGACCGTTCGGGAATTTTTGCCGCAGCTGATGCGTTTTAAAGTGTCTTTGTAGCGTATCTTTGCGAGCATATGTATACTTTTTTGCCTTGGGATGGATATCAGAGCGACCAAGACAGACTGGGCATTCAAGTCCACTTTCACTCTTCAAGGGAATAGTATCTTGAGAGGACTTAGATAGAGGTTCGTCGAAACGGATTCGCTTCTGCAATGCCCTCGGTACTTCGAGGCGATGAAGGGCCAGGCGCATCTCAAGGGAACGGATACGGTCCTCAACAAGTTCTGCATCATTGACTTTGTCCACATCTCGGTTTTTAAACTCGAGATCCGCAAGGGCTTTTCTCTCCGGCACCACTTGAGACGTGTCAGGTTCAAAAGTAACTGGCTTGGCCTGATAATTTCCTTCAATAATGTGATTCCCGACATTCTCGAAAAAATCCTGGTGTTGCTCCTCCTTGGCAGCTTTATGCAGTTTTTTCCTTGCCGATATGACTTTGTTCTGAGCCTTTTTAAATTCCGTATGCAATTCCGTGCCTCGACCCTTGTGCAACTGATGGTATAATGCAATCACCTCGGCCCGAATCATGTCGCGCTTGCGCTTTAGTTTGATGAGATCTAAGTCCTTCTCAAGCTCTTGCTTACGCTGGTCACTCAATTCTTGTGGTACGGATGCGTCCCGAGTCAAGCCCGCATTGGTAGCGAGCTTAAGTAAAGATTCTCGCGCAGGAGTTTCCATGAAGGCCGATTGTGTATCATCCTGAACCTGGACGTAATAGGCAAAGGTAGCGCTTCTCTTGTGGCCCATGATAATATTTCGGGAGTGCTCATCGAGATGTCCTGCTAATAGGTTAGCAAGTATAGGTGGTCGTTAGGGGCATTCCGTACTCAAATTGGACGCGGCTCCTTTCCGATATTTATACAAAGAACCAAGCGTCTTAAAACCTGCCGACCTGCTGGTAGAGACCTCATATTCCCGCGCCCGATCGTACTGGTAGGGTAGTGTGGGATGGGTGGTCCATTTGCCCTCAGAATCTCGCACAGCGCGTCGGAATATTGGAATATCTTGCACGCTCTTCTTAAAGTGGATAGGGGTGCTGAGTCGATGAGCTGGGACATCGGTATAGAGCCAGATATCTCGCGGTTCTTTAATACGCTCACTGGCAAAAGCATTATCAAGAAAGGCATATTCCAGAATGTCCTGGATAACGCAAAGCCCGAGGTTATCATTCCGCTCGGTATATGTATATACTGGCCTTTGGTTGGTTAGTAGGCTTCAGTATGGGTAGGGTCCTAGACTCACGGGACACCCTTGTTTCTCTTGCCCTTGTTTAATCTGTGCGTGGCTCTCATAAGAAGAGTCCGACAAGTCGGATCTTCTGGGTGTTTTACCATATAGAGCTCAATATCCTTCCATTTCAGCGCGTCATTGCTTCTCATGTACCCAGCAGACTCGACTAGCGTTCCAGGGCGTGCAGATGTCGAGGTCATCATCTTTCTCAGGGTACTATGCTGGTGCCGACATCGTACAGTGGGAAAATACACCTTGCTCACAGCCATAAGATGATAGGTACTGTAGAGGAGGTCATCAATATTAACCGGTGGCTGTGTCCTTCCTTCCAGGTCAAGCTCGTACTCGTCTGTAAGTGTGGTGCATACAAGCTATTCAAGTAAGTCTTGATCCTTATTTCTTGGGCATCTACTTACATATGTCATCTGACGCCTTAGCTGATAAGGAAACAGGCTGTCCGTATCCCGACACCAAACCATTCTCCAGTATCGCGCGAAGACTAGGAATCCTGACTGTGCTTCAACTTTATGGTTCTCAAGATACCAGCGAAGAAAGCCTTCAATTAACCTCAACGTGACATTCTTAAGCCAGTGTTCATAGTCCGGTGGTTGGAGCTGCGAGGTAAATCTAAGCCTGCAGTTAGCTACTGCGAGTAATATTCAAGAGCAACATACTGAATGAAATTTTGTTTGATCCGTTGCAGAGATTTCTCTGTAGAATCATCGTATTTAATTTTAACTTCGGGATCAGGTTGGTGAACAAACCTGTTCCAATCAACCTGATTTGCTTTTTTTATATTGTTGCGAGGCATTGATATACAGAACGGCTGTGTCTGTGTATATAATGTGGAAGACTGGCAGTTTGGGGCAATCTGTTAAATAAATCATCTTGAAGAAAACACTGGATGAGGCTGGAGGACTGTCCTTTTATTTATTTTCTTATACTCCCATGATGTACGCGCCAGGCAGGTATTGTTGATCAGGGATGTATTGGCCGCTGATATGGGCGAACTAAGACAAACTAAGTATGGTCGACTTGTAGTCCTAAAGCAGCGACGCACAGCGCGGAAAGGCCACAGTTTCTGATCCAAAGGCCACGCACAACTGTGGCCTTTCCGTCGTCACCCACAGTTACTCCGTATTCATCTGACGTAATCCCGCCACAATAGCATGTAAACAGATACCTCTATTTGTATAAATGATTCTGACTCCATCGATGCTGAAACACTTATCTAGTGCTAGGGAATTACATCGTATAGTGTGAAACTCTCAGACAGCCCTGGTATCATTATCATCTCACATAAAATCGCATGCAACTATAAAAAACCCTATCCTATGTAATGCACTTCATGAACACCACCAGCTGCTCGGTTTGAAATTTTTAGATATATCTTAAGATTCTACTCTATCGTAGTAAAGAATTCATTATTTATATCGCTATGGCTACAGATCTACCTATTCCATTACTCTCACCCTCGTCACCGGCCCCTTATACACTTTCCTGGCATAAGTGAAGTAATATCCCAATGACACGATTGTCACGCCCCCGTAGATGGCAATGCTCCAGTTCATAGATTGGACATCCACCTCCCGCGTCAAGGGAAAGAAACTGAATGTCCATACGACGGCTAGAACGAGAATAGACACTGTATCGACGAAGGGTGAAAACTTGCCCATACTCCAACGAGTAGGTGGAAGCGGCTGTCCGCGCCACCGACGAATTCGCACGCAGGAAATGGAGATGATATAGGAGGAGAGTAATGCTGCCGTTCCCAACGACATGATAGCGTTGAAAGCTACCGAAGAGCCGATATTGATCAGCGCGAGGAGGGACACGATAAGCAGACTAACGCAGAGGGCATTGAAAGGGACAGTGAACGTCGGATTAATCTGTCTCGTCAGTTCATCCAATACCCTATCTAAACATGGACTTCCAACAGAGTCTAACTTACCGTTGCGAAGAAAGAAGAAAAAGGAAGCCCCTTGTCACGAGCAAACGCATAAACCTGTCTTGACGTTGTGGCGACGTTGCTGATAGCCGCACAAAACTGCATGATCATTATCACAGCGGTCATGCCAGTGGCGGCTCGGACGGATCCGGTCGAGTCCAAGAAGACCTGGATGAACGCGAATCCGGTCTGCGACTCCATCACCTTGTCGATATCCCCGATGCAGAAGGCAAAGGTGACAATCATGATGAAACCGGTTGACCCGTTGAGAATCAGCGTCCAGATCATTCCCAGGGGAAGGACGCGCGAGGCGTCGCGGATTTCCTCGGCTGCTCAATTAGCATCTTTGTTTGATCTCGAAGAAAGGACACCTACACATGTGGACGGCCGAGTCAGGACCTGAATTCAGATTAGTTTCTGTTGACAAGGATGTGGGACATTCACTCACCGATCAAGGCATAGATGGGCCCAACTAGACCTACCAGACAGGACAGACCATTGTTGTCCCATCCACCACGATCCTCAATGGACCCAAACACATCGGATGCCGGGGTAGTTGGCGACAGCACCCAGAGTGGAATCAAAATACCGAAGAATCCAAAACAGTGAACAATGAGGATAATCCCCTCGATAAGAGGTAACTTCTGCGCTAGCAGAGTGTTGAACAGCAGGGCCACCAGCGCCACGACAATGACAAGCAAAGTAACATGCCACGGCTGGTAGACGTATGAATCTGGGTAATTGATCGCAATCACCCCGACCATCATGTTGGCCACGGTGTAGGAGCATCCCGCGATGCCCGTGTGCCAGCCCAAGACGCAGACCCAGCCGGTGAGATAGCTCAATATACATTGACAACTGGGGGGTGCGAATTCCGAAACCCAGTGGTACTGGCCGCCAGAGGTTGGAGCCCTAGATTCTCAGTAAAGATCTTGGATATGCTATGAAATAGATAATACGGGGAACGTACATGGAGGCCATCTCCGCCATGGACAGGATGACGAAGCTGAATCCAGCGAGCCCCCCTAGATAGGTGTATATCATGCCTCCTTTACCCCCGTTAGTTAGTCCGTAAGAAGAGCCACTGTATATCGTCAGCCGTTGCATCGACGCCGGATCGGGAGATGTACAAGAGAACGGCCTCCCAGGTACACATCAACACCGCGCTGAATCCCAAGACCGAGAGGAAGCGAAAGTTGCGATTCAACTCCTGGTCTCGACCCACGCGCCACATGTCCCTCTTGTCCTGGCTGGTTCCTCCTCTGGCTGAGACTGCATCGTCGGGGGAGGTGTAGGCCACCGATTGGGTCTTGTCGGACCACATCCTACAGGTATGCCCAGAAATGGCCAAATAATGGTAGAATATAGAGGATCAAGAATGAACGAAGAGGAAGAGAAAGAATGAAGAGAAAAAAGAAAAAATAATGCAGGGATGCTGCACAAATACTCCGCATCGGAAGCCGGCCAAATCATTAATCACCTCAGTGCTACACCATGTCTCCACGACATAGCATGGATTATTACGCGAGACAGGGGGCAACAGTAGTGGTATCCATTTAGCGCATTTAATTCGACTCGCAATGGAACCAAGCAGGACAGGGGTTCGAATGTAACGTTTTGACTGGGATCTTTTATCTTTGTCGTACTCCCGACATGCGATGCAATAGGAATAATTTATGTCCAATATCTCCAGATCAGCCTAACTATCTACCCTGTATAGACCATAAACACGGACAGTCCTCCAGTCCATGCCCTCAATATATGATGCCCACTAGTGTCGGACCGCACTCTCGCGCCGGGGAACCAAGCACATGTTCCACCGGAGAGTCGAAGGATCAATGCAACTTGGCTAAGCCGCTGGATTAGAATCCTGGCGCGCCACTGTCGATCGTAGGATGAATCACGTATGAGAGACAGGAGAGCGGTGTTCAGTGGTTTTCCTTGTGCAGTAACTAGAAGAAACCTAGCCCTATGTAGCCGAGTTTCCTCCCTGGCTGATATCCCTGGAGATGGCAGGGATTCCGTCCAACCAAGAAAAAAAAAAAAAAAAAAAAAAAAAAAAAAAAACACCACTGTTTGACAGAGAAAGACATTCAAAATGAAGCCGGTGAACCGGTTCCCCCTCACGCCTATATCCCTTGACGAACCATGCGCAACCCGAGTGCCTATGTGGTGTCGCCCAGCGATCAACGTGGGCTTGTGGTAATCACGGCCACTATGTTTATGTCCTGGATGGTCATCGTCTCCTTGATCCGTCTATATATGCGACTGGCATTGAATGGACCATTCGGGTGGGATGATCTGGCTGCATTTTTGGGAGCTGTACGTGATGATAGGATCCCCGAATCCACTCACTAACCGGTCGCAATAGATCCTTGGAATAGCACACGTGGGAACGATTATGCATGGAGTATCCCAGGGCCTGGGCCGCATGCAGGGAGCCATTGTTACACCTCAATCCATGGCTGCAGGAAAGGTGTGTCGATTCTCTCTCCTAGTTTCCATCCCTAACCAAATCATAATGATAGGCACTTTACGCGGCGAATCTTCTCTTCCTAGCGGGCCACTGTGCCGCCAAACTCTCCGTTATCTTTCTCCTACAACGCCTGGGACGAGAGAAATTATACCTGTGGTGGTGCAAGATCGCATTGCTGGTGACGAGTGTCTGGGCATTGGCGTCTATCCTGGCGGTTAGTCTTCTGGGTCATTCCGGACATCAGTGGGTGATCAGCCAACTTGATACTCAATTGGTACGTCTGTCTTGCATGGGGAACTGGATATAATCTAACATGATATGATATTGATTATTCAGAACATTGCGTGGAAAGTGATTACTGGGGTAGACGTCATCACCGAAGCCCTCCTGGTGAGTATCAGCATCTATCTGGTCTGGGGGATCCGTATGCAATGGAAGCAGAAAGCCACTGTGATCTTTGCATTCGGCACTCGGCTGTCGTAAGTACTTCCATCTGGAATATATTAACGGTATGCTAACCTATCCCCAGTTTGATGGCAATCGCCATCTGTCGCCAAATTTACCTCAACGACGCCTTCTCGCACACCGACTTATCCCTCGATCTGTCCGATTCCTTGGTAGTAACGGAGGTTCTCCTACACTGCAGCATCATGGCAGCCACCGTGCCATGTCTGAAACCGTTCGTCATCGCCTTCAATACGGGATGGGGCCAAGGGATCCGACGAAACGGTGATCCATACTACGGAGCTTCCACCAGTGCATCCCAACCGCAGTCTCATTCGAGACGAGACAAGACATTAAACCCTATGGTATCAAGGGAACCAGTACCGAGAGAATCCGAGGGAAGCGATAACTCGCAACGGATGATCATTCAGGAGACGAGGGAGTGGACATTACAAACGGAGTATATCGAGATGGAGACCAGAGGATAATAATAATAATCATAAATATATGGATTCTCTTTTCTTTAGTTTGAATTCACATTATTTAGTTACTTCCGCCCTCCGGATCATCGGGATATTCATAGGCATCTCCAGCGGGGGCTCCAACTGATCTACAAACCCCAGCTTGCGATATAGCGCAGCCGCCGGTTTGTAGGCATCCACGTAGGCCAGGACCTGGTTCTGATCCGCCAGGTCGCATCCCCATTTAACCAGCATCGATGCGGCGCCTTGTCGTCGATATTCCGGATGAGTGATGAGTAGATCGAGATCTAAATCCCATTAATCATAGGACACCAAAAAGAAAGAAAGATAGACACAGAAAGAGAGAGAGAGTACAGTAATGTTTCCGCCCACCCAGAACCTTCTCACGATGTTCCTGCGTCTTGCCAAACAATTCCGCACACAAAGTCTGATCCGACTCCTCATGCCACGGGGGAAACCGATCCTCGTACTTCTCCGCAGCAAGGTTCCATTTCGCATAGGCGATCATGCGATCGGAATCGCTAGTGTCGACGACCTTGAGAAACCGATAGTGAGGCCTGTGTAGCAGATCGCGGCGATTGGCATGTTGCCACCAGCGTCGCAGGCCCGGGGTGTCCGGGAACATGCGGAGATTTTCGGGGATGTTAAACGCGCTGTAATAGAGCTCGGTGATGGCGGGGATATCCTGGAGGGTGATGAACTCGAGGCGTAGAGGTGCCATGATCATAGTGAATATTTGCACTGTAGTGGTTTATTCTATGGTATTGTAGTAAAATCAAAAATGCCATATTCTTTCTTCGTGTCTACAGATAAAATGTTGGGGACAAGCAATCTGACGCGATGTAACGATAATTTGAACTGCAGGAAACTATGGTAACGTCTTCGTTCTATCATGAGTCTAGCTGTACGCACCGTCGTATTGCATCTTTCAAAGCAGGATACAGGTTTTAGACATGCTTCTATTCAATCTAATAACCACTTCTTTTCTATCCGGCATTGTAGTAGAAATATAATCGCTTATTATTAATTATTGACTTCGACTATAGTTGCTTCCATCGTGCGCACACCCAGCATGGAGGCCCTGATTTCCACAGAGATTCCATGCCTCCTCGTCACTTGCACCTCGTCCATCAAACTGGTCCATCCGGGGGATTTCTTGTCCAGGTCCCAACAGGGGCCCCGACCGGTGTCGATTTCTTTCAATCCAGGTATATTCCCAGAGCACTGAAAATACCTCAGCACCTGTATCACCCATTGCATTAACTCTTCACGGTGCCCCAAATTCGAATGATACTCCAGTATCGATCGTAAGTGTCAAGAGCCTGGGGGTATATAGTTTCCAATGTGCCTGCTTAGGGCTCCCCAGACTGAAGGGAACAGGCGAAAGAACTACCACATGTTCTAAATTATCTTGATGGAACACAGTATAGATACGACAGAAACCGATGAAATCTGCAATGGGAATTAATGGATTCCGATGCCTGAATCGGAAAGAGTAGATATTAATAAAATTGCACTGCATTAAAAAGGGTACCGGCCCTAGTTAGGCATGATATCTTCTGATATTAACAATACTCTTGAGTGGATAAAGGAAGAGGAAGGAAGATATCTAAACTATGTATTTTAGGCAGTGAATAGGAGCGAAAGGCACGTGATTGTATCTATTTGTTCGTGAGGCACAATTCTCTTCAATTCAGGGGGCTCGGGCGCAGGTTACTAAGTGTCAAATAATATGGCCGTTGGTGGATCAGAATCATGTGACTGGATCGGGGTAAAACCCCCCCGTGGAGCACACAACAAAATAATCAATCAAGATTCAAGAATAACCAAAAAGAACAATTAAGAAGAGCCCAACCAGCTCAATTCATTCAAATAAGACCTTTTTACCAATCGTACTCTATTTCCTCTTCGGGACTAGCCGTATATCTAACACTAACTTATCTAGATGGGTGACTAAGTGAGGCCACGTGATCATACCGAATACGGTAAGCCCCTAACACTGTTTGACTATAAAGATCTCACATTGCATATACTGGCAAGTATATGTCTCTCCATCTACATCCAGCAACAATTCTGTGGATAGAAAGATCACTATATCCAGAGTCATATTATGACATAGATTAGACTTATACCGAGTCCAGTGTTTTTATACATTTATGATGTATTCCAATCTAGATGTTTTCAGCTTAGCATCCAAAGGCATCATTTTGCCAAGCGTCGGCAATCCCACTAAAAAAAGGCCGACAATGGTCCAGATCCACGGCACAAACTGTGGATCCAGGAACCAAATTATCACGGTACGGACTACAAGTACGTAGTCTGAAAAAAAAAAAAAAAAAAAAAAAAAAGAGCTGCCACAATTTATCGCACACACCTAACGATGCAATCACCAACCGCCGAGCAAAGACTCCAAGTTACTTCGGACCATCTTACAAATGCTCCCATTGGTAATCAATCCAAAGACGCATGGGTTCACAGCCACTTAATACCGAGTACACACCCCATCAAGGGCCGCCAGCTGCTCGCCGCACAACCCATTAGCAGAGGCGAACTCCTCCTGATAGACCCGCCGTACGCCGTAATCCCGGTGGTGGACAACCCACTGGACAGTGATAGTCTTCTATGCAGCAATTCCAAATGCAGTCGAAAGATCGTCCCCAGCACTAAATCCGTTTCCTGCCCGAGCAGCTGCGTCCCCGATGTAGCCTGGTGTAATCACGTTTGTCGGACAATGGATGAACAGCGGCATGGTTTTGAGTGTATCTGGCTGCAGAAATATGCCACTTCGATCCGATCGAAACGGGGAGAATATGATTTTGGGATGCTCTGGTTGATTGTCCGTATCCTGGCCTCAAGACATATTGAAACACAACAACCCTCGACAGCGACAGTTCAAAACTTGTCCACCACACCAGCCTTTCAGTCAGGATGGCACGGAATTCAATCCCTCTGTGGCTCACCAGACACGTGGGCACACTCACAGGTTCGATCCTGGAGCACAATGGTCAAGAAATACCTCCAAAACACCCCCTCGTTACCACATGGGATGAACATGGATGAAATCCTGGCCCTGGTCTGCCAGGAAGAAGCCAACTCCTTTGGATTTTATCCTCGGGAAACAGGCATAATCCCATTCCCTGATTCACCGGTCCATCGAGGAATCCAGTTCGCAGCAGCTGTATGCCCCCGAGCAGCATTGGCAAATCACTCGTGTAGGCCCAATGTAAGCAATCATCCTATTTTCCGTGCAGTTCCCAGCGGTCAACTGACTGTCAATATAGATTATCCACAAACCGGATCGTATTGGTAGGATGGTGTTTGTGGCTTCGCGAGATATCAAGGTCGGAGAAGAGTGCTGCATATCATATTTCGATCTGACGCAGTATGTGGATCTACGAACGCGACGAGAATATCTGCAGAGGTCGTTTCGATTTCTTTGTAAATGTGATCGGTGTCTAGAGGAAGAGATACCAGAGGAAGACAGTAATTGGGATGCATTTCCGTTGCTTGATGATGAATGAAGATAAGTGCAATGACTTGAAGCTTATTTAATATTATATAAATAGAGCGACGATACATCAGATAGAATATATGATAGTTTATTACCACCCATTGATACTAGAGATAAATCCAGTCCATTCTATTCTAACCAGGCCAATAAATTGTACGTGATCCAATCATTGGATCCGCCGCATCCACGCCTGCATGTCATTGATACTTGGCCACTAGACGGTCTAATGGAGTTCTACTCTCTGCGGCCTGTGCATACAAGTTTTCGCGGTACGTGCCCTTGTCCAATACTTGGATATCAAGGGTCAATTGTCATTACTCGCGTAGAGTCATTTGAATCTCGTACTCTATCCAAGTTATATCTTCATTCGCAGCCATACTCTGCAAACTAGTTGGAACTAGCGACCAGCAGCTGGTCACCAGTTTCGCTATTCTTGTTAGCGGATATTCCCAACACCGATACAACTTGTCAAGCTACTATTAGCAAGCCAGCGATGCTGGTCATCGGAATAATACCAACAGTAAGCAGATGTTGGTTTAGCTTTGGCGCGGGAGATCCTGGGAGAAGACCGGCAACGTGCTGTTTCGACTTGGACTCTCTAGGTTTAAATTATACAGCCTTCGGGGTGCCCATAATTATATCTAAGATGATCATCCCAGGGGGTGCTATTGCGCGAGCTATTCATGTGTTTCAGGAAACGAAATATTCCAAAATATTACAGATGATGACACCCGGAAAATCATGGTGGGATGTTTTGTGCTGGTCATGTGGAAAGCTACAGACTTCGCCTAAATGGGTCCAGGCCTCTCTGTTGCCTCTCGTTATATATTCATTGACCCTTATTTCAATTCAAATTCTCCTAGACTTTCTCAGATCAGATATATGAGAAGTAAGTAGGTTATGGTGCTAAAATATACTATATTCACACTCTGACACGAACAAATTTACTGTTGTTATGGCTGGTTCTCTGTCTTATCTGGGGCTCGCTGCGACTTATCAATAGTCGAGTGCTTGCAAAATCCTTTCGCGAAAAAGTTAAGCAAGATGTTTGGGGCTTTGGCCAATTGGTTTCAGTTCTTTTACTCCTTCTTCTGGTACTTTTTATAGCCGAATAATTCCTTGGGCAGATTGACTTCGGCGGCCCTAACATGTATTAAGGATATAGCTAAAATAGCCGAGAGATTGTTCTCCTGGCAATGCACCTCAAGCAATGCTACAAGGCAGTTGGAACTGTTATTTCAACTCTGATTCAGGTCCAAGAGCCAATTGTTCCATATGCTTACAAGGAGACAGGAACGGTGCGAGTTCTCAGGCTATGCTATAGGGAACTGAATCTACAAACAGAGAACGGGAACAGCAATATCAACATAAGTCTAGTTTGTAGGATCTCTAGTATGTGCAAGAAACATTTTCGAGCTGAGAGTTAGTGTCTCGATAGTTTATATTGCATGGTGATCCTGGTGCTGGGAGAAGGCGCGTTGATCCTTCCAATAGCTGCGGCTGTCTATGATGATTTGGCATTTATCGCCCCCTCTCTGTACTGTTGGCTACCTGCATTCTAAGTTCCGTCTGCCTCATTTGCATTCCGCTGAGTGGGATAATCAATCATTTTGTGGAAAATGCACCAGCATAGTGTCATGTCTTATTTGTTTTCAGGTTAGTATTGGAGTCTGAAAAGAGATACCGGTTTGCAAGACATTTATCTTTTCTGCTTTTCTCTCGTTTGTATTGTTTTCAGTTGCGGTTCACTTACAGGCGGCGTCTATTTTATGGGAATCATTTCCTGGGCGACCTTGGCACCTCTCGCCGTATGGTATGCGATATTTTTGATTGTATCTTTGCCTTTCCCACAGGACTTTATTTAATATCGTCCCATGTCGTCTCATAACTTTTGGTATAGGATTTCTACATGCTTATTTTATATCCCTAAGTCCTTCACAGCTAATAGACCCTGTAAACAGCAATAAACATCCCTTTATTATAATACTTTTTGCTGGAGGTTGTGAACAAGTATCCGAAGAATTCTTCCTCAATTTCTGCAGAGTTAAGACTCATTGTGTGGGTACCCATACGTAAGTGACTGGCAATCGCTTTGCAAAGGCTTGGTTTTTCCGTACTTTATCGCCCATGGAAGAGGTAACCTTGTCGATATGGAGTGCCGCCACTCGTATACCTCGCGCGGCGCATTCCTAGGTAGAGGAAGTCTTTGGTGTCGTAAAAGGTCACCGTGGAAATGCCCTAAGGGTGAGCAGCGCCTGTTGCCTGCATCACACTAGCCGGGCGCTGGGATGAGCTTGTCTGTCCCGAGCTCAGCTCGGGAGTGGTTGGTCCTAGAAATTCCCTAGTCAGGACTGGTTAGTCCTTAATGGGAGAAATGCAAAGCGAGCCCGCAGCCATCAACATGGTAGTGCCAATAGACTTGGAAGTATAAGTCAGGCTTTTCTAGTAATGATCATAAAAGGCTTCCGTCAAAACCGATATCATATTACTCTGTGGCCGTCTAATTTACGGGGTGCTTCGACACCGTCGAACAAATGCAGGTTAGAACGAGTTCTACTTGCTGCAACCGACAGCTTTAGTCATTTGGGGCGTAGTAAGTTCATTGCTGCCTATAATATTATGGATTAATTCGAGCGCAAGTTAGGCGCCCTTTTGACTACTAAGTCGGATAGATTGTTAATATGCCTTAAACGAGGACGTACTGTGGGGTATTGAGGTTGCGACCGTAAAGCTGTGACAGGTAATTTATACAACTTAGGTCTTTGTTTATATTACCAGTGTATATCTGTACCATATGTTGCAACCTATGAAGCCAGGAAAGTTCGGAATAATTCTTAAAATAGTTTAGTCTGACTTGGCCATTGAGTTCGAGAGGCAATGAGTGAGTACACATGGGAACACTGTTATCCGGACCCATATTATACCGCACACGAGCTGCCCGCAAATTTTCGCCTGTGAAATCTTGAGTTTTTGAGCTGTTTCGTGAGTTTGAATTGGTCAGGTTTTATGCCAAGATTTGTCTGATTGGTTCCAGATTTGCTCTAGCTGGGTACATACATCTTTTCGAACCTCCCATGGTTACATTTTACAAGGCTCTGACTCTCTCTCTCCTTCTCGCTTATCACTGGCGCAGGTGTACATAAATGCCCTGTTCTTGCTAGGTTTCCTTTCCTTCCTTCTTTCCTTCTCTCTTTAGCTTATCACCCATGTACACGCCTGTTTATTTGGATCAGCTGCGTTTGATCGATGATCCCGAGTGCGTAAAAGCTAGCTGGTTATCTTTTTTCTTGGCAGCAAGCGGTATTTTAGTGCAAAATCTACCCACCTAATAATCGAATCGCGCCTTCGACTGTTGTCTAACTGGCCGTGCACCTAATTAGCAGTCAAGATGGACAGAAACATATTTCGAGTTCTCGCAAACCTCCTCCTGATCCGATCTATTTTTACGAAGAAAAGTGTGGAAGGTGAGAAATAGAACCAACAGCCCGTTTCGCTCCCAAAGCATATTTCTTCGCTAACGCTAAAGGCTGTTACTAGGTCTATCTCTCCTTAGTCACCTCCTATATTTAACTACAATAGCTGCGCGTTATCTAAGTCTCAAATGTGGGTCAGGCTCGGTAGAACCTATTTCTACAACGCAAGAAGCTTTGTACCTCCTTTATATCCTGTCAGGCCTCTCTATTGTCATCCTGATAGGGCCCATTTTTTCGAGGACCAGAGAGTGTAAAAGGGCATGGAAAATGTCAATAATGTCAATCATAGCATCCCTGATAGGTGCTCCGATACTGAGTCTGTGTTTGGATAAATACACGTTCGAACACAATGTCATCCATATGGTATGTATATGGTATTGTGTGGACACATCTCATTGATACGTGTTTGACTCTCCGGGGATAACGGTTAACGATTGTAGTCATCCAACATCTGGTTTGCCTTCAGTAGTATTCTAGAATCAGTCTACTTGCTCCCCCAGGGTCTGCTACTCCGTGATATGACTGTAGCCACTGTTATCGACATGCCTTACCTTCTTGCTCTGGGTGTATTCCAGGCTCTTCGAGTTTTAAACTGGATTACGTCTTTCTCCACCGTCTCGCTGAGTGAATTCATCTTTCTGGTCCCTTTCGGTATCGTCCACCTTGGCCTATATATCGATTTAGCATGGGTATATCGATCACGGGAGCTAATCAACTTACCAAGTGGCCGCTTGTTGGATTCATATAATATCTGCAAAAGTGCACAAATTGTTTCTCCATTTGATGGACTCTATAGAAACAATACAGAGGAGAAACAATAGGACCAATGGGGTCATGTTAATAGGCCCAAGAGGTCAAAAGGGTTCCAGCCCTTTATACAGCTTAATTACCACCCCCCTGAACTTCATTGTCATTTTCATGGCAACTGCGTGCAGCAGCGTGCGTCACCAGGGAGAGAAAGGGAAAGTGCCCTGAAACGACCAAAGGGAGTGAAAGGGTTTATTTTCGCGTGCAAGGCGTGCCAAGGCAAATGTTCTTTTTGAAGTGCCATTACCCGAATCCGTCACCAAAATCTTGCCAAGCGTTCTGTCCATGTTTTTCATGCCCTTTGACGCTGATACCCCTCGGGCACTTGGGAGGAACATGCACGCATGTACCAAGCAGAGTACCAAAAGGGAATCAGCACAGAGTACCTTCAGGACGTGTTTGATTGAGGCAGTCCGGAACCTTCCAATCCCGGACAAGCCACCCAGCGACAGCGACATTAGCAGTATAGGAATCATGGAGAAGTACCTTGCGCGCGAGTACGGAAACCCCTAGGGGGGATTTTGAGATTGGCTATGTTAGTGTAGGGGTCGCGATACTAACGCGCCAGGGCGTTGTCTTTGTCTGGATCTTCCGCGATCAGTTGACGCTGCGCCTTGTGTATAACGAGGCTTACCATACACGACAGCAGATGATGGATTTTGTACACGAAGTTAAGACGGACCTGTTGAAACAATTAGCGGTGACAGAATAGAGGGACGCCTAGCCCGCTGAGCCTGGAATGACGATTGAATTAGTTGTTTACGATGTACATGTAGACACTTTCAAGTTGCCCACGTTATCTACATAAATTTATTATTTATATATTTCATGAATCACATGTCTGATACAGATCAAATATTGCATACTGGCACTAAACTGTGAAAAACAAAAAAAAAGAAAAGAAAAACTGTTGGGGTCATCGCTCCTCATCACCACTGGGAGTATAGTATCTCATCTGAGCCCAATTCTAGCGGTTGCGGCGAGAGTTCCGAATGACCACTTATATACACCCCAGTCAAGGCGAGAATAGTATCTAGCAATTGGAGCTCACCAGTTACACATAATCAGCAGATTCTAGCATAAAGGGGATTATACGAGGAAAGAAAAAAAAGTCACAAGATGGCAGGTCCCCATTTCATGATCTGAAAGACCCAGAGCTAGGTCTGAGCCCACAAGGTAACTGAGTTGATGCACAGAGAGCCTAAACGCCCTGCAAGCGCTGTTTAACCATGATCGAAGTTCCCTGAAAGCTGATTTGATGTGCGGCGTCTACCGCACCGACGAGGGAAAACCCTTCGTCCTGCCGGCAGTGAAACAGGTGCGATCAAGTGCTCAATCTAGAGAGCCGCGGCTTACTACCGTTGGCATTCTAGGCTAGGGAACTCCTATGTAATGATCCACGTGGGATCATGAGTACCCGCCATTCCATCTTGGAACCCAACGGTTTAGAGATCTGAGTTCCAGGCTGTTGTTTGGGGAAGAATCCAGTTATGTCAAGGACAAGCGGTATGTGAGCAGACCCTCCTGGAGGCTGGGCATTAACGAAGATTTTCATAATAGCATTGTCACCGTTCAGACTTTCGGCGGTAGTGGATCTTGTTACGTGTGTGCAGTGTTTCTGGATCGGTATTACGGCCCTTGGAAAAAGGGCGCTCTAAAGAGAGTATGCGTTCCCAAAGAAATTTGGAGTATGGTTCTCAGTCGTTCATTCAGGCCAATGGCAAATTTTAACCGTGACCAGCAAACCATCCCAATGTCTTCCGTTACTTGAATATTGCGGTCAGCAGTGTCCCTTACTACAGTCACAAATTTCAAGCGGTTGCTTTCGGCGAGCTGATAAACCTGCTGGACCACATACTAAACCAGTCCGTTGTCGTCCTCCAAGTGGCGGCCAATAACCCGACTGGATGCGATCTTTCTCAAGCCCAGTGGAATTTCCTAGTCGATGTCTTTCGCCAAAAAGGCCACTTCGCTTTCTTCGATGCAGCCTATCTAGGGTTGGCCTCTGGTAACCACGATAGGGACAGCGCAAACGGGGGCAATGCCAGTGTTCGGATCGACACTCATCGAGTCGATTCTTGGCTGTGAAAAACTTGCAAAGGAATGGAAGAGCCACCTGCAAACCATGGCTGAAGAGTTGAAAAGACGACGTCTTCCCCTTCGAACTTTGCTGAAGGAACTCAAAACTAGTGGAGATTGGTCGTTTTTCTCTACCCAAGCTGGGATGTTCTCGTGAGTCTTCTGATTGTCATCCTCAGTTGGGTGATGTACCGTCAACTCAGTTATGAGGCTTACCTGGCATTCTACCAGATACACTGGCTTAAGCTCGCGGCAGATTGACATGCTCCGAGAGAAGTCCCATGTTTATTGCAGGATACTGGCAGACTCTCTATAGCGCACGTTTCAAACAGGATAACTTACTTCTCTGTAGTGCGAGTCCCATTCTGAATGAGTATAGGGGCTAGAATACTTTCAATATCAGCTATGTAGCTCGGAGTATCGATGCCGTTGTTCGTCTATCCGTTTCCTGAGTCCCACTGATGATACACGGAAACAGTTTGGGGTATGATCGATTACCGCATTCTCCGGTGAGACGTCACGCATGTTTTGCAAATCGACGGTCAAGATATATGCTCTATGGAATTCGATGGTATCAGCAGTGATTCAGCAAAAGAGAGGAATAACAGGATTCTGATAACAGCTCTTTTATAATTAATGTACTGTGGCGGTATTATGCTTCATTCTGCCAGTTGGCATGTTCAACAGAAGACACCTGGCTCAACATGATAATATATGATGTGTTATAGCCACTATATTTCCTGGTTAATACAACGTACGGCTAGAAATTTATGTTCTCTGTTATAATATTTATATGTGTATTGAACATATAGCTAACCCATAAATCTATCTAGAGCTAATTACTTAATCATTGCTGTTTTCCCTCGAGATATCCTGTAGCGTTTTAGAGTTCTATCCAGACTACCACTGATCTAAGGGGTTACCTCTCCGCTGGATCGATGGCCTAGATTCTCGTCCCAGATCCTAGGTCTGGGAAATCGCTGTTGGTCTGAGAGGGGAACCTGGATGAATGGATCTGACACTGTAGCTACCGAGAGTTTTTTGCAGATAATCGTATCTAACTGTTGAACTATCCAGCAAATTACCAATTCTATACTTCCTTTGATTTTAAAAGCCCTTGGCATATGGGAGAGAATTCGTAGGATATGATTTATTTGTGGATGGGGCTGTTTGAAAATATTACTACGTTGGGCCTGAGCCTATCCTTCAAAATACTCGCCCAAGAGTGTATAAATTTAGTCAGAGACACAAGCCGGTTACCGTACCGACCACAGCACTTAATATGGCACCATCTGTGTGCGGCTCCGCTAATTCCTGTAGATAATCATTTCCATCATTGTAGAAAAGAAGGAGGACAGAAACAACCGCTCCCAGCTTCTACCCACCCCTACTGCCTACTGTAATGTAAAGCTCTTCCCTAATCCCTTACACGTTTGCAGAACCGCCCCCGTAACTCAACTCACAGAAGGGCGGTCTCCTCCCGATCGTGCTTTCCAAAGAATAACCGGAATAAAACCGTTGTCACAGCCATGACGCCCGCCAACGACGAATACATGATGACTAGATGAGGGTCCTTGGTGATGGGCGTAAACGCCATCGCCAGGCACGCCCCAACCCCAGCCGTGGCCATCCACACCGATTGAACCACCGATTTCATCGTCTTCGGGGCTTGATTGTGGGCATATTCTGTCCCCGTGGTGAAACAGAAGATTTCCGCAATCGCACCGAGAACATAGATCGGCGTTTGCAGGAACATCGAGATCTGATTGGGGATGTGGCCATGGCCCGACTCCGGGCACGCCAGGGGGTGATCGTAACAGGGACCCGAGGAATAGACCAATTTCTGTAGGATCGCGGTGTAGGCCATAGCGAGGGTGAGAAATAGGAATCCCACGACAATCCGGGCCATGGGGCCGAATCGGATCCTGCGCCGGGTCAAGAATGGGTATAGGCCCCTTGAGACCACCGGCGTCAGTAGAATGCTGGAGATGGGGTTGAGTGACTTGATAGTGTCGTTCGGAACCCCTGAGTTGACCATCTGCCCGGCCTGGGAAATGAGGTTATTGAAGGTTTGATTCAAGCATAACCAATGAATGGGGAAGAGGAGGCTGGAGGACGGTATCATGCCAGTTGTCCGTGCATTTAAATCAATGCCTACACGCTGGGGAGGCGTACAAAACACGGCATGCGAGCAATCCGCTTTTCAACTCGTCAATGAATGTATCGGTCCAGTACACCTGTCGGTGGTGCCTCTCTTGTTGCTTCTGTGGCTTGGCCCCGTCCATCTGGAATCCTTCGCGAATTCCACACATCATTGCTCTGCCAGCTTGTGGCAGTACGGAGCCACTCGGTGGGCGCCGGACTGATCGTGAGAACGGTTGGTATCTATATCTGTGGCGTCGGTGGAGGCGTCACTTACCAAACGTATGTCGCCACGCTAGCAGCGGTACAACCGACAGGGCCATCATGCACAAGGGCACCAGATATGCGACCCAGTATCCAACATACTTCTCAAGGACCGTGGTGATTAGGGCCGATAATCCACCGATATTCGCCATCCTAAACCCGAAGGTGTCAATAGCGCCTCGATTTCGAAGCAAGGCACGGGAAAGAAATACCAATAGTACACATTGTAGATGTATTGGATTGTGAGCTCTCGATCTGTGATGATCTTTCTTCCGTTCTTTCGCAACTTGACCTTTGGAGTTGTTTCGGTGTACTGCTCCGCTTTGCATAGTCAGCTCGAAGGGTTCGCAACTTCGGTACTTGCATCTTAAGACATACCTATAAATGGAGCGATCGAGGATCGTACGCCTCCCGAGCCCACAGCAATGAGCACAATGGCGGTAGCTAATCCACCTTCCGCAGCACCGGCTTGAATGGAGCTAGGAAAGGAGGTCCCGAACAAAATCGCTGAGCCGCAGAGTTGGATGCTGCCCATCATTAGCTTGACGAAATGGGAGCAATCTACCTAGGATCATACAGAGCGGAGGCCAGAATCGTTCTGTACCGACCCAGCCAGGTGTCGGCCACCACCGCTGCTGGGATGGTTGCGAGATAACCCCCGGCCATCATCGCGTTCACAATATTGGTCGCTGTCGCTTCGCGCAGGCCCAGTACGCCGGGAATCTTGCTGGAGTGAGCATGCTCGATGTAATTCTCTGCTAGATATTAGAATGCCTTGCCCGGCCATTGAGTGGACTGACTGCAAGACTCACGCAAAGGGCTGGTCGCCCCATACCAGACGAAGCGCTCAGCGGCTCCCACAAACGCGATCAGCCATACTGGGAAGGGTATGTCGTCTACCACTGGAAGCAGATTTTCTTCGTCACGCTCACTTACTACCGATTGACATTGCTGTGGTTCTCCCTTATTTTCATTAGATGTGACCACCGTCTGTCTTTCGATATCGTCTGATGTGCTCATGAGTCTGGCGGGCAACAGCGGGCGTCGCTATGCTTGATACTGATGGAAGGTAGAAATTGGATCGATAACGTCAGGTAGGGTCGGTAGCCATTTGATTAAGGGGGAAAAAATAGTAAAGAAGATAGTGGAAGCGGGTTAATAAGTAACTCGATTGGAGAAGGGAGGTGGAGGGCATGAACCCTACAGATTGCATTCATTCATTTCATTCCGACAATGCTCGGAATACAGGCCTTAGGATGCCTGAATAATCTAGGGTTCATCCCGAGCGGAGTAAATTTGCGATTGGGCACCCAGCTGAGCAGGACCCAAAATTGGGCTTGTAGCTCGGCGTGGTCTAAAAAAACCTCGGCGTGGGCTAAAATTCTGCCCCGAGACTCACCGCTCTTTTTAGACCACGCTGAGCTTATGCCAAGAATAAACTCATCATGGCCTAAATGATTAGTCAGTATTCTTAGGCCACGATGAGATTTTTAAAAGATTTTTAGACCACGCTGAGCATATGCACTAGGGCTTAATTACTATAATTAGTAAGGTGTAGCCCTAAGGATATTTTATACTATATAATACAGAGTATCCACTCTGCATATACTCTGTATAGGTTGACCAAACCACAACAATGGCTGGTACCGAAGTTCGGGAAAGAGTGGTAGAATGGATTAACAATATCCCAATCCAGGTATGTGTATATATGTTTATTATATACTAGGTATATACAAACCCTATACTAATATACCCAATTATCAGAACGAGGTGCAGGAATCTCATAGAGATAATTCTAGTAGTATAATCAGTACTAGGTCTACTCCGTCAGATCCGGAGATAATATACAGGAACAAGAATCTTTTACACTAATAGTAATAGGCCTACAGCGGGTTAGTGTATATCTAATATATGTATAATATATACTAAGTCTATATTAGGAAGCAGCTACTTTAGATAGTGTTGTCGTTGCGCGAAAATGCTAGTTATAAGATTAAGGTTAAAGAGATTTAAGAACATCTTTTAATACCTGAATATCCAGCAACAGCAGCAGAAGGTATTTTTTATTTTATTTATAACTGCAATCCATTTCCATCCTTAAGGAATCCAAATAATTTCTCTAAGAAAGAAATAAATAATATTTTTACACGGCTTATATTAAAGGTATATAGAGTATATATCTGTTTTATATTATATTAATACTTTAAATAGATTTAGTTTGCAAAAAACCATACAGGGGCTGCAAAGCTCGTTAAAATAGATCTTCTAAACAAGCTTAATAATAACAAATAACACAAGGCTTGGCATAGATCTTATATATATGGTTCAGTAAAGGCCTGTGAGCGGGTCTATAATTATATATTAAGTATATCACGGGCATATAACCAGGTTAATCTTGATTTACTTAATAAACAGCGCTTACGTTACGCCGAACCCTTTTATCCTCAAGTAATTGATTAACTAATTAAAAAAAAACTAAAGATGTCTTCTATGCTTTTATAAAATATTGGTGGCAGGATAAAGGTCCTTGTAAATATCAAGGTATCAAGACATGTGGTGAAACACCACTGGTAATATTTTATTAAAATCAGGTATGCTTTAGGTAATATACTGTATATATTAAGTATATACTAATTAACCCAGAATTATTTTCTTGGTTGCCCCAAGAATTTAGATATTGAACCTTGGTATTATGCTTATCCAGTTCGACAATTTGCTCAGATTAATAAAACTTATCTTCAAGTTCTTATAGAACATGGAACAGGCCCAAAAATAGAAGAATATGATTTTATTGCTTAGCTAATATCCCAAAGAAAATAGTGTAGTAAGTATATTTCTAGTTTTATATATTTATATACTAAGTATAGGATTAATCTAGCTTGAGTATATACTCACCATACCGTCAGGCTTTACATTCCAAAGTATAAGGTTAAATTTGACTTGTATATTCTAACATCCTGGCAACAGTTTCCTTTCTTAATTTTAATTTTTAATTAAATTATATTTATTTTCCACCACCTCCAACAATTACCTAAAGATATTGCAGATAAGGTGGTCAAATAATCTCCAGTATAATATCCTTACCTAACTAAGTAAGTATATTTACTTATATATATAGATATACTAAGTATCTACTTATTTAGGATAGTTTATAATCTCTCCACAGTTTACTAATATATATAATTAATTTGTCCCTTAAACTATTATTAATTAAAGTCTTAATATTTAAGATAAGTTAAGCTTTAATCTAAAAACAAAGACTTTAACTTATCCTGAAGGAACTAATATTCTGGTATAATAATAGCTACTCTTTTAGGTATATGCTTAGCTAATACTAGGGGTATTATATAAATATACTTACAATTAAAAAGGACAACCAGCAATGGATATATAATATCTATTTCTTTAATTTATAGTATTTTCTTATTATATGCTGTACATATGCTCAGGCGAAGGTGTTTATTAATATTAAGTATATTAAGATAAACCTCTTATTCAAAATGGTTAATAGCAAGACGAATATCTTCTTAATTTCTGGGTGGAATCTATATATGCAAAGTATGTATCTAGTATATTTTTTAATATTACTTACTAACTTGTAAATTACTAGGAATTAATACTTTTGTATATACTTTTTTTAATCTCGAAACACGCGATGCATATACTGTAATATTCTTAAAGCTATTTAAGATACTTGGAAATATGGCTCGCTTACCTATACAGTTTCCCTATATTCAACATGGTGAGAATAAGATCTGGACTATAACTATTAATATGTGTAAGAAGCAAGCACTAGGTATATAATAAATAAAATATATACCCAGTATTTGCACCCTGTTAAGTATATTAGGTCTTGGAGATTATTTGCATATGCTAGACACATCCCGAGAGTAGTCTAAGCACCTTCCCTATGTGATTATATTCTGCCAAACTTACTTAAAGTGTAATTTTCGCTTAAAGTATAAGGACCACCCTGCAGAGCACCTACTTAACAGCCTTTTAGAAGCACTGTTTAAACCTGATTTACTTAAGTATATAGACTACATATGCAATACATATCCTAAGACTAAATCCTGGCTAGAGGGAAAAAAACGGCCGTGGATCTTAAGTACACTGACCCTGGAATAATTAAAAATACAGATTAAACACTGGACATATGCTCGGAAACATACCGGAATTAGTAAAAATAGTTATTTTCAAGATAATTAAGGTGTTGGCTGGAAGCAGTCACTCCTGGCAGCTGTTTTAAAGTAAAGTATATCCAAGGTAGATACAGAGTATAGTTAATAATATACTAACTATATACTTAGATTACAAAGGTTTATATTTAAGGCCTTTACTTAGAATAAGATACAGATTAAGGAGGGTATTCCACCTTTATAAAAATCCAAACAAACGTTTAAAGGCACACTAAGATTATTTAAAAGCAAAGTATGTTAAACTAAAGGGCTGGAGCCTGTTTAATTTCTCTAGCTAATTACTATATTATCCCTATTACCCTTATTGTCCCTACTATCCCTATTGTCCCTTATTGTCCCTACTATCCCTATTGTCCCTTATTGTCCCTACTATCCCTATTGTCCCTACTGTCCCTATTATCCCTATTGTCCCTATTGCCCCTATGATTTAATATAAACAGTGTATATACTGTTTACATACCAGGCTAATACTATACATAGATCAACAGCAAAAAAAGGCAGCGAACCGCCGGCAGAAGAAGCTATACTTACCATGGAATCCAGGGAATCTATATAATACACCTTTTTAAAATACAGACAGGGTGGCCATACAGGACACTAATTCCCTATTAGTATCTAGCCTTAACACATGCTTGTCTTATACCAGGCATGTACCTGCAAGTTAACGAATATATTTACTTAGCACTGTACAGAGTATTGGTAAAGATAGCGTTATTAAAACCCCTGTTAAATTACCCACTGTGTATATGCCAAACATAGACCCTTTAGAAAAGTGTTTAAAGGAGCTTAAGGGACTTAAGCGACGAAGAGATATGGTTAAGCGAATTAAGGAGCTTAAGAAAGAGGTAGAGGGGGAAAGAAAAAAAAAAAAAAAAAACCCCTGCAAGTACAGAGCATACACCTAGTAGATATATAGTATATTAAAAAAGCTATTTTAATTTTTTAAATAATAGCTAGACTAGTATTTGCTTTACTTATTCCTAGACTCTATAATTTATTTCTAAAAACCAACTGTGTATATGCCTTACATAGTCTTTAGTATTAACTTAGCAGCATCCTTCTTAGCGCGCGCCAGCTGCTTCCGGCTACCAGTGGCTACAAGTTCTTAGTAAATACTTAGTATAAGGGGGATGTGCTATACTTACCCTTGTAACCCTTTTTTAGTGGAGCACGCTTGCGCTTGGGGGCAGACAGTGGGATAGGTGGCTTAAAAAATAGTAGGGGAGATTTGCACTGCATATACTTAGTATATTATAAAAAGCTTAGGTTCCAGGGGCACATACCTTGTAACCAGAGACCTTACCCAGCCTCTAGGAAATATTAGCATACGCAGGGAATATATAAAGTAAATACCCGGATTATATACAGGATAATAGAACTCAGTCCCAAACTGCTAAGCAAAGTTATTATCTTCCTGGCTAGTGGTTTTTAGTTATATACTATGTATATAATATAAATATGCTTTACTCACACCAGCTGCTTAAGGAAGTTATAGTAATCCTAAATAATACTATACATAGGACCCTTACTAGCATATATTAGCCCTACACCCAATATATATATATATATATGCGGAGGGGAGGATATACCTAGGCTTTTTTATATAACAGGCAGTTTTTTATTCTCTGCTAAGGATCCATTACTTTAAAGCGCTGTTAATTATTAGTATATACTTAAGAGAAGCTATGTATCCACTAACTTTTTACCTGTAATATACTTAGCCTGGGGAATATTAGTGCAGAAGGGATTAAAAGCTATAAATCCTTAGCATCTGCTAGACCTATACAAGGAATAGACAACTCACTGGCACCGGGATGGGCGTTCCGGATGTGGCGGTAAAGCTATAGAATAGGTAGTATATACTAACGATATGCTAAAAAACACGACCTATAGTAATTTAAGAACAAACAGGCTGGCTATATATTTGGTTGCCATTGACTGCGATGTCGCATCTGCAAGGTTGTTAGCCCATGCTTAGTATATGCCAGGCATGTTAATTACTTACACCATGCTATTAATACCTAATAGTCTTAAACCAGGAGTTGGGGCATCTGTAAATAATTAGCATATGCTGCACATCTGTGGGGGCCCTATATTCTTATTATCCGCGGTGGTCACAGGTGTGCGGGGGTCCGGGTGTGGGCGCTAAGTGGGGTTTAGGTTCGGGATAGAACCTGCATATGTTAAGCACATGTTGTGAATATATTAAGTAGATACTCACTATAAAAGTAACCGTAGTCGGGGTGGGGGTTCACCGCCCCCGCGACCTCTGGATTGTTAAAGTCTTTACACAAAAGCTGCATTCTCTGCATATTAATAGTATATGCTGAGAACAAGGCCCCTAAACAAGAACTAAAATTATTAGTGTATTCTGACATGCAAAAAAAAAGAAATTAGGTCACAGATTAGTAGTATATGCACTGGGTATACAGAAAAAAAAGGGTTACATAAATAGTTGTAATTATATACTCTGGGCATACAGAAAGGAAAGGGGAGAAGGAAAGGTTTTAAGTCTTCTAGTTAAGATATATACATAGTATATGCCAAGAAGGGACATGTGATACTTACTTAAAAAGGGGAGTTTAAAAAGAGAAGAAGAGAGAAAGAATAAAGAGAAAAAAATTAAGGTCTTCTAGTTCCAAAATAAAATGCAAACGCGGCCAACATTTTTATTACCCAATTTAGGTGTAGGATTATTCACAGTGTATTGCAAAATCTGCCTCTATTATTTAATATAGTAAATAGGTTGATTATATATATTAATAATGCAATGAATAATCGCACGCAGTTTAATGTTTTGAGCATATGCTCAGTATATGCACCGACCGGGGACTGATGCTAGGCCAAAAAGGTCAGCGTGGTCAAGCTATGCTGAAGGGATTTAACATGGTCTAAAAAGTACGGAAAATTTAATTTTAGACCACGCTGAGCCCATGCCAAGAAAAGACTCACCGTGGTCTAAAAAGGCGGTGGCGGAGGTGGCAGAATTTTAGCCCACGCCGAGGTTTTTTTAGACCACGGCGAGCTGGCACCCGCTTAAACGGGACCCAAAAACCTGTATTATATAATATTATTTATTAAATTTCCTAATTTAGCTAGTCTATATTTTTTATTTGTTTACCTTCTCATATATTAAAGCAAGATGTTTTGGTAGTTCAAAGATTTAATTCTATTAAGAATAATAAAAGATAATATATTCTTATTTCCCACCACCCCTATTTAGGACTCCTGATCCTGAAATTATTACAAATATACAAGCAGTAGCTAGTACTATATTAGAAGTTAATTGTATTCTTTACAATTTTCTAGCTGTAAGTTATTTTATTATATATTGCGCATATGCTGAACATATGTTATATTTTAGTAATAGAGATCCAATTCCGAAAGTTCTGTATACCAGGACTGTATTAATAAATATTAATTATTTGATGCTAGTTCTAGTCAGGATAATAAGGAAAATAAGAGTTCTCTAGGTTTTACTTCTGTATTAGATCTTAGCAACATAGATATCTCTGCAAATAGGACTAAAGTTAGTAGTAGTAGTAGAGATATTATAATTACTTACAAAGTCCAAGAATATTTTATACTTCTAGAGTATCCTAATATAAATAATAATAGTGTTCTATATATTATCCATGCCTTAAAAAATCCACTCTAAGATATAGAAAGTAATTTTTATATAATAAATTAAGTATTTACTTAACTTATATTATTTATATATTTTATATATATTTAACATATGCGCTAATATCCCTAGGTTTAATTTTTAACTAAATATTTTAAATCTACAAGGCAAATATATACAAAACTTCTGCAGAAAGATCCCAAAGATAAAGAATTAAGATTATAGTATTAATCTTATTAATATACAGGGATTTAATATTGCTATTAAGTCCACCATAATCTTATTATCTTATTACCAAGGTATAATTAGGTTAAACCAACACTATTTCTTAAGCTTTAGTCCCAGGCTGCGAAACCTGTATATAACACTATTAGCCAATTAATTAAGCAGTAAATAAGAGAGTATATTATTTCCCCCCTTTATTTAATATATAGTTAGCTTATAAATATAGGCTTTACTTTGGATTTTTTTATATATAGGACCTTAATAGGCCATGCTGTTATATAACTGGTAATCAGACATGCAGAGGACAAAAGCCAAGAGTATAGGTTTAGAATAGAGTTAGTATATATACTAATTATATATTAAATATATATTAACTATAATTAGGTTATTTTTATTAGTTACCCTAATAACTCACCTCATCAAACTTGGTATTATGCTTAGCCTGTGTCTAGGAGTTCTGCAAGGGTAGATATTAGATTGTTAAAACTTTTTTATAATAAAAATAAAATACAAGCAACAGGTTATAATACTAGAAATTGCTATTTTATCGAGCATTGCTTAGCTAAGTATTAATATTATAGTATATTAGGCTTTATATATGCTTAGTATATATAAATAATATACTAATAGTATATTAAACTTTATATATACTAATAGTATTGGTAAACTTACTAAAACTAAGTACTCTGTTAAGATTAATCTTTATATCCCTTACTTATAAAATTACTTTTTATTTTTTTTTATTATATTTTAAGGATCTTATTCGCATTTTCCGCCGCCACCAATAAAGCTATTATATAAGATTGGGAAAGAAATTGCTAATATAATTAATATATAGAATATTCTTAGGTTAACTATATATATATATTCTTTTATAAAAAGAAATATTATATTATTAACTATAATTTAGGTAAATTAATAGTTTCACCTATATTTACGAAAATCTTATATTAATATAGTAATTTTATATTATAATATATTTATAAAAGTTTATATATTAAGGATAAAGTAACTACTTTAATTTATAAGCAGAAACTACTATATTATCCACAAGGTATAAGTCTTGCTGGTGTGTGGTGTGAATATTAGTTTAATTTAACTAAGAATAATAATAAATAATAGATCCGCGAAGTCTATTTTTTTAATAAATATTAGGAGTATTATCTAATTATATGCTATATATATAAACAAGCTAAGCTTTTTTAAAATATATAATATCTTGAGATGGATCTTGCTTTTAAAATAGTTTAGGAAAAGACTAAGGTGTTTTTAATTTCTGCATGGAATAAGTATGCAAGAAGTATAGTTTTATCCTATTTTAAAAATATTATTTAAATATATTAAATATATACTAACTATATTAGGATTAAATACCTATATCTATGCTTTTATAAATCTTGAGACCCGTGTTGCCTATTAGATTCTTTTTAAAAAAATATTTAAGATTCTTGGAGATATTAGGCAGAAGCCTGTTTAATAGGTATATTAGCATGGTGGTAATAATTTATATAATAGTATTTATACTATTACTATAGACATATGTAAAAAGCAAGTACCTAGTATATAAATAATAAGCTAAATATATATTAATACTATACTAATAATATTCTTTATTTTTAGGGCTCGGAGACTACCTTGCTAGCCTAGATCCTTACTAGATATAGTCAGAGTATTTATAACATATATTAATTCTATACCAGATATATATTAAATAGGTATTTTAGAAAAGGTTTCCTGACTATAAAGCTACTATATCTATTAATTTAATTTAGAATGTAAATTCAAGGGCAGAAGTAATCTAAATTATAAATAATATTATAAAAAAATAGCCAGAGACCTAAAAGTGGTTTTAAAATAAGAAGGTTAATTAGATACTTGCTGGGATAACCTTTAAGGCTTTAAAAATTCCTATTAAATAGTGGACTAATGCTTTATATTATACTAGAATTAGCAAAAGCAGCTATTTTTAGGATAATAAGGCAGTTGGTTAAAAGCAGGTATTATTAACTATAATTCTTTGGTATATTCTTTAATATATTATATATATACAGCTAATATATACTTTCTAGATATAAAAGATATATTTAAGATATATAAAAAAAGAATAAACTTGTAGTATAAAAGGGTATCTACCCTACTTAGCGGTTTTATAACCCTATTTATTAGATTGCAAAATAATATTAAAAAAAGGGTAAATATTTCTATAAAATATATATTAAACATATGCTAAGTCTATATTAAATAAATATTATTATTATTTTATAAATTATTAAATTTAAAAGCCTTATCTCTCCTGGAATCTAGGCAACCCCTATAATACACTTGACCTAGTAATATAACCACCTAAGCTTCTAAAGACCCCTAATTCTGTTTTAGTGGCTACTTTAGAGGTGACTAATATAAGCTTGGTATATAATTAAACTATACCTAGAGTATAATTTAGTATACCTCGACAGAGAGATAATTTAGTTCTTATTAAATTATCTGGATTAGCGCCACAGGATAGTATATCTTAGCAATTTTATAGTAGTTAGGATCTATTTAATAAAAAAATATAATTATAGCTAGAAATTGCAGAACTTAAGCAAAAACAAAGGATTCAGGCCCTTTAAAAAAAAAAAAAAGAACTACTTCGCAGTATACAGTTTTAAGAGTTAGGAGTTAATTTTACTTAATAGAGACTATTAATATATACTGAATATATTAAATAATTATATTAAAAAATAGGGCAAACATGCTCGCACCTTAGGTAAATAAATAAGGTAAAAAGTAATATAATATGGGTTAAGGGCTAATAGGAATAATAGGGACAATAGGGATAATAGGGACAATAGAGACAACAGGGACAACAGGGATAACAGGGATAATAGGGATAATAGGGATATTAGCCTAAAAGATTAAACAGGCTTTAGCTATTTATATATATCCCTTTTTCGCTTAAGTCCCTCAAGCTTAATTAAATACTTTTTTAAAGGGCCTATGCTTGGCATATGCACAGAAGGTAGTCTGACTGTGTTTTAATTATATTATCCTCACCAACACTCTGTACAGTACTAGGTAGGTGTATATATGGTCTTGCGGGCACATGCCTAGTATAAAAGGAGAATGTGTTGAGGCTAGATACTAATAAAAAATATAAAGAGATAGAGCCTGTTTGGCCTCTCAGGCTAATATCCTTATTATCTTTATTATCCCTGTTATCCCTGTTGTCCCTGTTGTCCCTATTATCCCTATTGTCCCTATTATCCCTATTATTTCTATTGTCCCTATTGTCCCTATTGTCCCTATTGTCCCTTTTAGTCCTATTAGCCCTTAACCCATATCATATTACTTTTTACCTTATTTATTTACTGCTTATTTTCCTTTTCCTTTTTTCCCTTTTTTAACTATTCCTCTTTGGATATAACCTATCCTATAGGTTCTACTGGTTCAGCCCCTGACAATATGGCTAAGCGAATTAAAGAGCTTAAAAAAAAAGTAGAGGCAGAGAAAAAAAAAAAAAAGAACTCTAGTATATACAAAGTATATATCTAGTAGATATATAGTATATTAAAAAAAGCTATTTTAATTCCTTAGCTAAAAAATATTTAAAAATAGCTAAGCCATGTATATACTATACCTATTCCTAGACTTTATTTAAATATTTATAATTTATTCCTAAAACTATCCTGCAGATATAGCCTATACTCTATGTAGTTATAGGTACTAACTTTGCAGCAGACTTTTTGCCGCGTGCTGGCTGCTTTCTGCTACTAATAGCTACTAATTCTTAGTATATTCTTGGTATATTAGGGGAGGTACCAGACTTACCCTTAGGACCCTTCTTAGGGGCAGCATGTTTGCGCTTGGGTGTAGGTGAGGCAGTAAAGTTATTAAAAAATAATAAAGGGATTTTTCGCTGTATATGCTTAGAATATAATAAAAGGTTTAGAGAAATAACTTACCTTAAGACTAAAAACCTTATCCAGCTTCTAGGAAATGTTAGCATATGCAGGAGATATATAGAGTAAATATCTTATATTATATATAAGATAGTAGAACTCAGTTCTAAACTACTTAGCAAAGTTATTATCCTCCTGGCTATTAGTTCTTAGTATATTCTGCATGTATAAAAGATATGTTCTACTCACGCCAGCTGCTTAAGGAAGTTATAGTAATCCTGGATAATACCATGCATAGGACCCTTACTACTATATTTTAGCCCTATACCTAATATATATATATATATATATGCGAAGGACATACCCAGGTTTTTTAATATAACAGGCAGTTCTCCATCCTTTGTTAAGGACCCATTGCTTTAGAGCGCTGTGGATTATTAGAATAGCCTGTGATATACTATATATACACTAACTTTTTACCTGTAATACACTCGGCCTGGGGGATATTAGTGCGCGAAGGGTTAAGAGCTGGTATTATTAGCATATGCTCGACATATGCACGGAATAGATATACTGGCACTAGGATAGGTATTCTAGATATAGCAGCAGAGCTGTGAATTAATTAGCATATGCTAGATATTTGCTGAAAAAGAGAATCTACTATAATCTAAGAACCAAAAGACTGGCCACACATCTGGTTGCTGTTAACTGCAATGTTGCAGCTATAAAATTGTCAAGCCTATTCTAAGCATATACTACACGTGTGAATTACTTATACTATGCTATTAATACTAGACAGTTTCAAACCAGGAATTAAAGTATCTGTAAATCACTTAGTATATGCTGCGCATAAGCTATAAATCCTATATCCTTGTTGTCTGCTGTGGTCACGGGGGTGTGGGGGTCGTGGTGGGGGCGCCAGACAGGGTTAGGGTTTAGAATAGGGCCTGTATATGTTTAGCATATGCTGCCTGTATACTAAGTAGATACTCACTATAAAAGTAACTATAGTCGGGGTGGGGGTTCACCGCCCCAGCTACCTCTGGATTGTCAAAGTTTTTACAGGAAAGCTGGGATCTCTGCATGTTGCAGTATACACTGAGAATAAGGTAGGGATAAAAACTAAAATTATTAGTATATACTAATATTATATAATAAAAAAAGAAATTAAGCCACAGAATAGTTGCATATACTCTAGGCATGCAGAAAAGAATAGGGAAGTAAGAAAAAGATTTTTTAGGTCTTTTAGTCAGGTATATACTTATTATATACCAGAAAGGGGTTTAGAATACTTACTAAAGAAGGGGGCTTTAAAGAGAGAAGAAGAAAAGAGAAAGAAAGAATAAAAAAAATTTTATTTATTAGCTTAAAAATAAATACAAACATGGCCAACATTTTAATTACCTAATTAGGATATAGGATCATTCACAATATATTATAAAATATGTCTCTGTTTAATAATATAGTAAATATATTAATTCACTGAATAATCTTATGCAGGTGGATATTTGGAGCATATGCTTAGTATATGCTCCGACCGGGGAACTGGCGCTAAGCCAAAAACATCAACGTGTTAGGCTGAATGGGACCCAAAATATTTTGGGTCCCATTCAGCTTCAGGTTCTGAGCGGGACTCAGAACGGAATTATAATAGCCCCGAGCCGGCTGGGTCCCGGTGAGCTAATTTTGGGTCTCGCTCAGCTGGAACCCGTTTGCGATTAGTAACCGAGAGGAGCTCCGATTCCCTCTTCTTGTTGTTCGCTGCTTTCATCCCTACCACCTTTCCACCACCACCACTACCACCGACAAGCGCATAATATGGCCATGGTCAAACGCACCGACTCTGTTCATCATGAAGAAATTTTCCAGGGATATGGTCCGAAAGAATGGCAAACCAATCTCCTGCGAACCGTGTCGCGTCTCCAAAATCCGGTGTGACCATAAACAACCGACATGTAGACGATGTGACGTCAGGGGTTTAAGTTCCAAGGTACACACTCTTCTGATTCCGATTCCGATTCACATCTGGATCCGGATGCGAGGTCAGTAAGGCTCGGACTGACAGACAGCCGTACCAGTGTTACTATCATCCGGCCCCCTTGACCCGACCACGGAAGAAGACACAGGCACCTCGCAGCGTGTCTCCTGTCAGCCCATCGGGTGAGGGTGATGAGGTCCTCGACGTCTCTACCAGCCGTGGTGACAGCATCGTGCCAACTGGGCCTCAAATGGGCCTGACGTCTACCTCCCAGCCAACCTACTTAGGATCCACCAGCTTTATATCAGCATTTCAGCATAATCCAGAGTATCTGAGCCTCTCTACACCGAAAATGGCTCATGCATCCACCCTGCGCAAGGCATGGAGTGCCGACTTCACTCACGTTTTTCCCCGACTGGTGCAGCTTCTGCGCCCCCTCAGGCTCTATGAAGATTTAGTGACCGACGAATACCATCGAAGCCCTTTCACGGTCATCCCAGCTCCTCTTGTTCTTACTCCCTTAAGGCTGCTTCGAAGCCACTGGGACAAGGAGAGATGGCCGCAAGAGGGTTTGGGATCCCGGATCACTCAGAGCACGGCCACCCAATTGGTCAAGGTTGAAGCAAACATGACAACAGACCAGTTTTACCATTTGTTCACGGGTGCGAATCTGCGATGGGAGTTTGTCGGCCTCATATTCGCCCTGGCGGGGCTCGGTGCTAGTGTGTCGCCTCGTGGCTCTCCATTGTTCTCTCTGAACGGCAAGGATGAACTAAGCTCAGATGCCTTTGCCATGGAGATGGCGGCAGCAAGTCATGCATGTATTGAAATCTGCAGACACTACGACAATGTGAATGACTTAGTGGTTTGGCTGAACTACACGTACTTCGTATTGGCATCGAATATGATGGGAGAGACAAGTAATGCCGATTCACTCCATAGGGTTGGCCCGCAATGCACAAGGCTGACAGAGAATAGGCCATCAGATTTACGCGCAATTTGGGGACTTGGTCTCCTGCATCCATGCTATGGGTCTGCACCGTCCACATCCTCCTGAGTCCTCCATTCCATTCTTTCTCTCGGAGGCCCGCAAGAGGGTTTTTGCAGCGTCATATCGCACCGACAAGAATCTCGCTACTTTCCTGGGAAGGCCTCCTCGACTTCCCTACCATTATTGCGACGTGGGACTACCCTTGGATATCGATGACGATAGTCTAGTCCTGGATCGTTTTTCCCTCGACAAGGCTATAAGGCAGCTTACGCCAGATGGATGGGGTACTTTCAACGGTGGTCTTCGCCCTGCCACAGTCATCCGGCTGCGATACATGGTAGCGATGTTGCGAGAGCAGGTGATGGAACTGTCCTTGGGGCGGGGCTCGGTTGGCTCCAGACAGAATGAACTCCAGTAGGATGATAAGCGTAGACGACTATTCTCTCAGTATGGTGAAAGCTAATATGCTTGTAGGATTACCTATCAAGAGTGTAAGCGTTTATGGGACAGAGTCCCCAGTGAGTTTCATTACAGCAAGCACTCCTGGGAGGTTCTAGGCCCGCACCTGTCCATAATAAGTCTGGTCATCCATCTAGAATACCTCCACACGGTGTTTCAGGTCGAGCGCATCCGTTGCAGTGAGAGCGCCGATGCCATGACCGATCTTCTGGACTCTGCCATGCAGATTGTCTCGGCAGTCACGGACTTCGCGAAGCACCGCGATCGGGAAGGCAGCATCCGGGAGCAGTACACGTGGATTGTAAGCAACTATAACCTGTCTCCATGTCTGTCTTCCATTCTCTAACCTGTCGGACCAACTAGTTTCTCTTTTATGCTCTCCCGGCAGCAGGTGTTGTTGCAACCGAACTCCATCGCTGTACGGCGTCCAGGGTGCCATTACCATGTTCCATCCCTCGGTCCAGAATTATCCGTGATCTAAGCCTGCTTGTCTCCTGGTTCGAAAGTGCTAACCCACCGACTAGTGACACACATCAGGCGTGCGTGGAGGTCACCAAGGTTATGATCAGGCTCTTAGATGATACGTTGGATTATCCGCTGGGCGGGCAGATGGTAGATGGTCCACAACACGGTACAGGCAATCGCCCTGCACCGAACAGCGGTGATCGAGCCCGGGATAGTTCCCATTCGATCGGGGTGTCATTAAATGCCTACGAACAGAGTGAGACAACACTGAACGTGGATGCGCTTGAAACGAGTGAGGATTTCCTAAACTGGCTAGACGAGTTGGGGTTGGACACAAGCGTCCCTGAGTTTTTTCGGTGCCAGTAGCATGCATTGACCATCACCGAGTTCCATTTGGGCTCTCGCTCTCTACGACAAGATATGTCGGCACATGAATTGAATTTGTTTTGCCTACTTTTATTTGAGCACAGTAGATCTCGACGAGGCACACACTTGGCTTTGGCCCTTGCTTCTCATCCCTCGTCATGTTGTAGTGCAAGTCCAGTGTTCCATTCTCCTCCACATATTTCATGACTGAGTACCTGACACGCGCTTCAACGTGGAAGACCCCGCTTCGGAATCCCATATGGAGAATGCGACCCAGTAGCGCCTGGCGCAGGAGATCCTGCTCGCTGGAGGTTAGCCGCGATGGATGGGCGAACGCAGTCTCTTGAAATGTATCAGCGATCGTGGCTCCTGGGCTGTCTGCATCGCTTGGGAAGTCATCGGACACCTCGCAGAACAGGATCTCCCCGTCCTAAAGGACAAAGTTCAGGTCAACTTCCGGTCCGTCAATGTAGGGTTCAGTAAGAACGTCAGAAGCGACAGGAACCGTTCCTTCATGCCGGATAATGCGGCGTCCTACCTTTTCCACCGCTTTAAATTCTGCGTCTCTGTGGATACCTTGGACAGGTAGTGGCTTCTGTCGCCCTCGCATGGTTTCACTACTAGCGGATACTGGAGGCGAATCGGCTCGTTCCCATTAGATGGGTGCAGCTTCTCTTGGAGATCTGAGGGCCCCGAAACGCATAGGCCGCGCTCAATCTCTGATAGTCGCGTGGCATACTTATTCGTGGCCGTTTCGAATGCCGCCGCGGGTGACGTTGGGAACCCAAACGCCTCCGCCACCACGGCTACAGCCCTGACCAACCTGTCGTTTCTGGTGACGATACCATCGACACGAAGCGCTTCTAGTGCTTGGGTCAGTCGACCAAAGTGGGCGTCTACGTTGGTATCAAATGGGACGAAGGATTCCTGTAAGTGGGCCTAGGGCCCATCATCGGGTTCCAGCCAGTGGCCTGGCTGTTCGAGGACAATGAGCTGGATCCCAAGACTATAAACTGCTTCAATGGACTTGTGATGCCGTCGAACCTCCACCATGGCAAGACGACAGGATTGCACCGGGTCCAGCAGGAGCCAGCGGAAACTCAACCGGTTGGCAATGGCCGTCCTCACCTGGTTCAGCGCCTCCGTTACGATCACACCCGGTATGTTTCTCGACTGGATGATCCCAATTGCCCCGCCAGTACCTTATCTAAACAATTTTGTCTCCTCTATTAGTCGATTGTGTCCAAGGCAACACTTTCTGCTGGGGTTGCATGAGACCGGCAGCAGCAGCTACCCAGTCGCAACCCTGCATACGAAGCTCGATGATGTCTGACCACATAACCAATGGACACTGGCAGGAGCAAGTGGAACCCGATGGGAACACCACTCCTGACACGGCTGATCGCTTGCAGCAGGAACCTTTCCACTGCAGGGTTGTTCATAATGATCGACCGGGGAAATGATCGCTGGTGTATGGGCATGGATGGACTGCGCAGGACCATTTCGACAGTTGTGAAACCGAACGTTTTGAGTACTGGATCAGTAGTGCAGACATCCCATCGGCAGAGGACTGGGGGAGGCTGAATAGGCGCTTCTAACGGTCTAGCATTTAGCGTTGTTGAACCATGAGCAGTTCAAAACGAGAGACGCACCATTCTGTGTCTCCAACATGGAACGGAACTCCAATACGTCTCTTGATAAGCCATGACGTAGATGGTGGTGCCCTTGCTTGTAGAACTGACTGTGGATGGATGAGTACAAGTCTGCATGCGATGATCAGTTCTGAGGAAGCGACACGATCCCTGACCTCCAGACGGGACTCGCTGAGAACGAAAGGTGTTAGTGTCTGTTATTATGTTACATTTGGGTTACATCATAGGCTGTGACTGTGTGATAGTTAGTTACTTATATGGTACGAGTAATCTATGCACAGTCATCGCAGCAGGGATTCTTAGTCGTAGGGCAACTTCTAACAAAAACATGGAAGGCAGGCCGGCCTAGGTGGCAGGTGTCGATTAAGCATCGCCCTATTTATATTAGGTGGCTTTTATTACCAGCTATTCTACTGCCCATCCTCAGAGGAAATATAGTAACCATAGACCAGTTCTGTTTTTATATCGCTATACTAAAGATATAATTATTTTTCCATTGCTTTACTAAAGATAAATCCTATAGTTAGTTAGGCCCTAAGCCCTAAGCCCTGTGATATAAATTACTGTATTAGGAAATTGGTGGTGTGGATGGATCCTGGAGGGTGTGGCATGGACGAAGGTGTGGCTATATCGCCCTTGTTGTTTATATCTCTTTCGCCTTCAATATGCTGAGGACGTGTTCAACATCATGAATCTACTTTTACCGCGACCTATCTCCTAATTAAGACCAAGTGTATATATTCATACTCAGGAATTCCAAGGTCAGGGAGTGATTACAGCTTAGCCATGTAGGTGATAGTAAACCGTCGGTTGTGCTATGCTTTACTGAACGCCTACAGAAGTGGCATGTCAACCGAAAACAACATTTTCAACTGTATAATATGTCCGGATACAAAATAGACCTTAATTTTAAAATAGTAAAGTCCAATCTCCAACGTATGTATGCACTTGATCATACTGTATGTTTAATAATCTAAATCATAAAAGCTGCCGTCGGTTACGGACACGACATAGGCTAAGTTGGACGTTCCTCTCATTCATGTTTATTTTCTCAATACTTATGATATGATGAGTGTCAGTGTTCAACATAATAAACTAATGTCAACAGTGACTGAACCTTTCTACGTACTAGAAGAAGACATATCCATGCTCATATGTACAGCAATTAATAATGACTATCTGTAGGTCCTTTTCACAGAGACAAATATTGCATTCCTTTATGTACAAACCTTGATGTATAAGCTGGTGCTAACCAGCTTTCAGTTTGAAAGGAGCTGTTCGGTCATAAAAATAGCACTTTCAATAAGTGTGCGCACATAAAGTTCAAAAGATCCAATCATGTCACGATATGAGCATATATTGTCAGGGGCTAAACCCGTAGAACCTATAAGATAGATTATGTACATAAAGGAATCGTTGAAGGGAATAAAGAGGAAAATGACATGGATCGAGGGCCAAAAGGGCCAGTAGGGACAACAGGGACAACAGGGACAACAGGGACAATAGGGACATTGGCCCAAGAGGTCAAACGGGGTCCAGCCGTTTACATATATAGTAGCGTGGTGTTTGATCGTCGACCAAGCATTGTGCCTTTTTGGCCCGTTGGCGTAATGGTTGAAATCAAGCACTACCGTTTCACTACAAATCATCACAATAAGTACAACAAGAATCTCAAAGTCATTCAAATGACTGTAGAGTACGCTGAACTCACGCAGGTAAATATGTAACATATGGATAAACTTTACATTCAATACATACTGTTTTGTGGTAATGTAAGCACCTGATTTTCTTATCTTCCGACCAAAAATATGTGCCAATATTTTCCAAGCTCTGCCAAGGTCTCATCTGTCCGTCTATGTCTGTGATGAAAATCTCTGGAATCGATTTCTTCAGATGCTCTTTCGCATTTTCTTGGTAATCATGCGAAATTGATTTTCTAGCTTCGTTCCCATCTTTAGCGTATTTGTGTCTTTTTGAAGGCAACTTGCCTTCGCAAGGTTTTTTCCATTTCTTTAATGTCCCAGGTTGGACAATGAGACGTGATTTATTTGAGCTTATTTCATTCCTTGACAAAACTCTTCCCTTGAATCGAGGTGAAATAACACACTTCTCTTAAAAAGCTTTTAGCTTTCTACTTGTCATCTCCGTAGTTTAAAGACGCTATAGACTACCAGAGAGCAATTTCAATACATCCTTTTATCTATTTTATTGTCTCATTTAACTTGAATATTAATGGGAATACCCTGAGGGAAGAAAAGCAAGGGGCAAGAAAAAATTGTTGGACATGAGATTTCTCATATTGTACATAAATTGCGGACCTGTTGACCTCCCGTACTTGTAGCGAAACGAGAGGGCTGGGTTTCAACCGTTACACTAACTGGTCAAAAAGGCACAGTGTTTGGTCAGCGACCAAACTCCCAGCTACTATATATACTCATATCGCGACAGCACTACAGTTGGTGAATCAGTGGCTGCTGTGATCACCACTAGTTGGAACGGTCCTTCTATAGATGTAGAAGCTAGTTAAGCCCCGTGGGGAGTGGTATGCAATACCAGTACTCCCTCTATTTTTCGTATGCTGATGAGTGTTCAGCATGAAACAACCAAAATCCTTTAACTACAGAACGTACCAATGGTACGTATTTATAGCAACAGCATCTTTTTATTACAGTACAGAACGCGAAGCAAATGTTTATTTCTCCAATGCTGCCACAAGACCCTGTTGAAGAAGTGGTACAATTCGGACCGATTCCTTCCTAGCGTCTTGGCTACGCACAACGGTGTCAACCCCCGAATCCTCTATCCCAGTTAATAAGAGAAGAATAGTGTGGCATCTAGATGAGACGTTGGATATATATCTAGTTGAATATATACGCTCCTTAGTAGGCTACGTGCGTGTAGCTGGTATAGCTTCTCCTGCCCTATTACCCAATTCCCCTGTGCACAGTGGACCCTGTCAAGGTTTTCACAACAGACCCTAATAACGCCATCGTTGCAAATATAAGAAATTTGAATAATCAAAAATTGGGCCTGAATAGATACCTACCCTCTTGTACACTATATATATTTTTGGGACCAAATGCCTCATCATCCAAAAGACACAACATTCCTCAACTTACCGTTTTGCTCAAGTAATACCTACCTGATGGGGGATGATGCATTCTTGAAGTTTATATTTGAACCTCTTGAGGTGCACGACGAGACCTCATCATACGCCAAACCCAAAGTCCGATTACCACACGACAATCGAATTTCTTGAAACTGGGGCGTGCTTAATGTTTTGTTGCATAATGTCCATTCCCATATTAGCTGCAACAAACAACTGTGCAACGTGAACATATACTACTACGCCGACACGACTGACTTAAACTCAGGGGCTTTGCTCCTTTTAACTGCTCATCAAGTCAAAGATGGGTTATTACAGGCAGATATATCTTCTGCCGAGAGTTCCTTGATAGCCACCGCATTTGCACTATCTACCATGCAGTCAACCACCGACAGTCGCGACAGATCCTTAGGATCGCCGATAGTGTCCTCCAAACAATTCAGAGTCGGCAGGACTTGTTGGGGCCTCCATATTCCTACTCTTTGACAGATCTAAATGTCTTCTTATTTTGCCGACGAAGCGGTTAAACAGGCGGCGACGAAATGAGCTCGACCCGCGTATAGGGAGCTCTCGCTGGCATACACGCGACGGATATGTACGGAAGCAGCGAAACGGACTAGACAGAGATGGCTGAGGCGCTCGCCAAACGATCTACTGCACAGCAAAGGACATACCGGACGCGGTCCGGATAGCAGTTAGATCCGGCCGCTGCAAAGCCTTCCAAGGTAGACGTCTTGGAAGTTCAAGTATATTCTTTATGTATCCAAGCACAAGAAATTGTCAGGTAATTAAGTGCAATTAAGAAACACGTTTAAACAAAGCTAAACCAGACTGAAATAGCCGGATAATAACTGAAGAAAGCATTAAAAGACAAATGCAAAAGTCGTCCTCAACCTAGCAACGATCAGCAGGATGGGACTGGGAGTCTAGTGCCGCTGTCACTCTGTTAGTCTGGTCCAGCCTAAGTTTCCAAAAGGCAGAATTTCACCGGACCGATTCAGTCCAATATCAGTTCTGGTCAAGCTAACTTCTTAACACTTAGTTGATATTTGTTAGCCTGAAATAACCTCAATTACAGATTATGTTGCCGAACTGCAGGCATCAAATCAATAAAGTCAACCCTTGCACATCCCTGGAGACTCAGGCAAGGACCACCAAGGCCCCTAAAGGCATAAATAGCACTCTTTTACTTCTAGATAGAAAATCGGACCTTTTTGTTCCCAATTATCTCGACACGTATGTTTGACAGTATTGGAAAATTCGACAATATGTATAGCTTTTCATACCAGTCACTTGGCCCAGCCTTTATATGTCACTTGCAATTATTATCAATACATTGCTGACACAGCTCGGCAATTTGGCTCCTGCAAGCGCCACTGCTTAATGTATGCCGATGTTTAAATAGCTGGGCTGATTAAAGTGTCCAGATGTTCCTGCGGAAGCATTCGTTTCCAACTCTCCAACACTTTTATCACTGGCTGTTCTGCCTCCTTCAATCGTCCTTGGTCGATGCATGTGACTGCAAGCGAAGGACTCTATTTCTCGAGAACCTCGGATTGACGGGTAGCCCAGTATTTTCTGTGATTGCGCCATTTCCGATCAACTGGAATAGGGCAGTCATACGTTGCCTGGTTCCTGTAGAAGTATTCTACCCATGCTGAGTAAAGATGGCTGATTCGAATGCTTGCTATCATTATCGGTCCCTTTTCGCTCCGAAATTCGTCGCACTGTTCGTCGATCCAAAACCGAGGCGCGTCAACCGTCGGAAATGTGTTGGGACTGATCAGATATTGGCTATCAGGACACTGTGTGCGGGATGATTGCCATGGAGGTGAATCGGCCTGATAGTGCTGAGTTGAGCTTACACCTTTCCAAGTACCCCAAGTCCACATCGTGTATCCATATTCGGGTTGTGGGATATGAAAGTAAACCAAAAGCCTTAACCAGCTCTCTTCAATCGAGGAATTTTCGAGACTTTTGGCAATATGGTGTACATTGTCGCTAAGGTCTGAAATGAATTCTCTTTCCTCATCAATGATCTCAAGGAATTCATTCTCTGGGATTGGACCGGGAGCGTTTGCCCTCCTTTGGCAGCAAACATGAGTCATCCCAGCCTTCTCAAATTCTTCAGCGCGTATGAATTCTAACAAAGCTTCTCGTGCAGTGGCTTCTCCTCGGCATTCCTTTAAGATTAGAAGCCACTCCAGAACCCATATATAGCCCGATGAAACTTCAAACTTCCACGGTAGGAGGAGTTTGGTAGATGGAGAGCAACCATTGGGTGAGCAAGGGCAACGGCAATTGTCATGGCTCAATGGATCTGCGCCAGAAAATAAAAGTTTGACTATCAGAATAATGCCTCTCGAGATATCCTGGAGTATGAAAGATGATTCTTTCAAAAGTTTAGATCTTGCTCTATTTATCCTTTGGCACGCTAAGTGCAAAGCTGAGAGCCCGCGACTGTCCCGATGGTTGACATCGCACCCGCGAGCTAAGATATTGTGATAGAACGAGAAATTGTAGCGGGATATTGAGGACATCAAGGCGGTTCGACCTTCTAAATTCGGACGGTCGATATACTGGTATCCGGCGTCAAACAAAATGTCTACCTGCTCGTCATCCCAGAGACGATGAAGCAGTGTATCCCCATTCTCGAATATCAGGTGAGGATTGGCACCCAGATCAATCAATATTCTGAAATCCTCCGGTCGTGACTGCCATGAGGATGCAAGATAAGCTGTCATTAGCTGATGTAATTGGTCTTTCAGAAGCTCTTCCGAAAATTGTCCAGTTGCCCGAAGGAATGCCAATGTTTTCGTTATCACGTCCCAATGACGCCAAGCTCTTGCTGCATCGAGAAACTTCAAGTGCTGGCTACTTATTAGATGCATTCCGACCCTAAGGAGCGCTATTGTTGACTCAACGCACCCGTATGATGCAGCATAATCCAGCGGGCCTCGACCGGCGTTGTCTTGGATGTCGAAGCAAGGCCACAATTTCAAGAGCTCCACAAGAATTCCAGGGCGTAAAACAGCACAGTGAATTGGCGTCATTCCAAAAATATTTTTGTCTTGGAAAAATTGTCGAGATTGAAGGATCCTCGCGGTGCCGACGGTGGAGCCCGTCAGAATAGCATCCATAAGTGGCGTTTGTCCCCAAACACCTGATGAAAGTTAGAACAAGCTTTTAGGTCAAACTATAAACAATAGTATTTACCATAGGCGTTTTTGGAGCATTCTTCAAAAAACTTCAGCAAAAAGGGGTCAGGCATATCAGTGTATGCTCCGGGGAAGCCAAAAAGCGGTTCAGTAAATGGCAATTCAGTGAACATGAAAGGACTGCTATATTCGTCTGCCGACAGATCATAGCCCAGAGAGATTAATTCTTTGAGCAAATTTAAATGTGGGCCCAAGCCGCTCCAACCGGCACAAAGTGAAAGAAGCCTAAGAATATTAGCTTTTCTATAGGACGATCTTGCCCTCGGTATTTTGCAGGAGCATTGTTGACTTACGATGTTTTAGTGTTCATCGGCGCACCCCATTGAACAAGCATTTTCATGAAAGCAATACGCATATCGGCATTTCCAAAAGTCGGATACAGAATTCTCTGCAATTTTATCAACATATTACCTTCTCATCATATAAAGACAGGTCTAAACTACCTCAAGCCAACTCTTCCCACTCGGATCCATGTCTTTGGGAGAGGCCTTTCCAACGCTGAATAATTCGAAAAGGGCCATGTATGCTGAATGAATGTCTAGACGGTTTGTCTCGCACTTCCAGAAAACTTCAAACCCCGGGGAAGTATACTTGACCAGTTGCTGCATCTGTAGATTTGGGGTGACAGAAAAACCAGAATTTCCCCATGAAAGATCCAGATTTGCTTGAATTGCCCAGAGCAGGCCAAAGCGGCCGAGCCCCAAAAACGTCGAGAGTCGGTATTTCTTTTTGTCCTTACAGTAATTCGTGAGAGACTTTGACGAAATTCGAGGCATAGCTTCTGATATCTGTATACTTTGGCTGTTGATGATGCGCCCGTTCGTTAGTGTGCTGGCCGGGGAGGCCCCTAGAGAAATGGGATCATCCACTTGATGCATAATTGATTTCATCAAGACCATATTCTGGGACGAAATAGCTGTGCTTTGGAACAACAGTAAATTTTCGACATATCCGGAGAGGGTTGAATAAATTTTTTTTAAAGGCTTGTCCTGATTCAGGCTGCAAATTGCCTTGCGACCTTTCCTCATCCTCGAATCTTCCTGATCTGGTGTCACTTTATTGAGGATATCTTTTAGCATACAAATTTGAGAGCTGCTTTCATCAATAATCGATTTTAAGGCGGCTGCAGTCGGTGGATTGTAGTGGCCGTGTTCTATATGAAACTGCGTGCGTTGCAAAGCCTCTATGAAAAGAGGTAAATGCAGTCTGATCCCTCGAAGCGATTCGGGTACCTCCTCAACGGAATTTATGTAGTCATTGAGACGGTCAAAAACCTTGGATGAGAACTCGACCAATTGAACAGTGGAAGCGACAGCACCCACCACAGTGAGAGCTTCTACCATGTTGATGATTTCAATACCGACTGGACGCAGATGCTCCTTGGTCCTGACTTTGGGCGCAGTTAAGTGAGTGCCAAGGACGTGTAAAAAAGGGGTCCTTTCTGATTTTTCTAGCGGGCCATAGAACATAGAAGCAATGGTTCACTAGGAAATGCACGTAGTACATATAGCCAGGACGTTGTCGAACCCAAGCGATTAGGTCAACGTGGCGAGGCTGAAACGAGGGCTCTCCTGACTGCATGGCCAATTAGCCGTGAGATCTTAGCGCTGTAAAGACTCAAGAGGGATCCCAGTTCCTCTTTTACCGCCCAAATAATAAGCAGAGGCCAATTTTCCCAGCCACTTAAGTGGAAATACTTCTTTACAAAACATTCTTTTCCTTTCACTGCTCTTGAAAGTGGCTAATTCTATGGTGGTACATTATTTGAACTTAATGATTAAAGCTGGGAACCTGCTTAGTTGATTTACTCGCAACGTGGCTCAGCATCATCGTTGTCCTTTTGTTCGGATGCGCTCCAGCAGCCTTGCGAGTTGCCGTCTACCAACCAAGAGCCAAATTAGCCGCTCAAGAGTAGAGGACATAACAGGGAAGGTGCAGCTGCTCTTCAAACTAATGACAATTCACTAGATCACGACCTGACCAAACTAGATGTTTAATTTTGGAAGAGACAGAAAATAACACCAAAGAGATGTATCTTCCTCGGAGGTCTACAGCTCAAGGTTTTCTTTATCCGGCAAGATGGGTATAGTTTGACTAGAGTGAGAATCAAGGCTTGAGGCTATTAACATGAAATAGAGATTCGGACGTCATCAGGGGGTGACGCAGGGAAGGGATGGGAATAAGAAGGGGCTGACAGGAGTGAGGGGAGTTATACGTTATTGGAATAGTAATTGCAATATCTCCAGTTTCGAGAGCTTACTTTATCCTCTTATATCTTCAATCAAGTGATCCTGATACCTGTGCTGTGTCTCTTTCTTTTTCCAGTTTCATGCCAGGAAATTCAACTAGTGACGTGTTTATTCTCCTGAGGAGGGAGATCGTCAGGTAGCTGATCTACGCTAAATTAGCCAAACTCTCTCACATCCAACAAATTGTAGGCACAAGAGCTGCGTCTCTAACTCAATGCTGATTAAATACATGCTGGAAAGTATGGTCCAAGTTGTAAATGAGAGGGTGCGACATTTTCGCTATTAGAAGTTAAAATGCAGAGGTAAATAACACCCAAATTAACATGAAATGGTTGGATAGAACGGTGAGAAAGATGTCCACAGGTGTCCGGGCTAGGTTGACTTTGCTGTGGGGAATGGATGCCATCCCAGGCACTCAAGTGGTTGCAAGGCTGTCATGGTCGTTTCACGTTAAAACAACGTTAAATATCGTCGGAGGATGGTCAAGAGAAAACCAGGAGCCGACTGCTTCCATAATTATCAAGACAAATCCACCAGCGAGGCTATAATAGGTAAGATAGAGCTAACGAGTCAGCTGTAAATTTCCAGGATCGGGGTCAGGCAACACATTAGCGACTTGGTAAGTCAGTGGTGATAATGGGAGGGCTAGCGCGATTGCCTTTTGGAAAAGGGAAACCGTCGGATAGTGTGACATCCTTTGCGGGGCGCAGTACACCGGACGGGTTGGATGGATGGGGGAAAGAGAGAAGAGTGAGTGCGTCTTCCTTGGAGAGAATAAGGCCGTGGTTATATAGTTTAGTCTGGGAGTTGGACCGGCACGGAGCAAATAAGCGGCGCAAGAGGGCCGCTATCTTCAGTATCCTCATTTATATCAACCACATATCGTCGAACCCGGGGACGGGGGCCATGGGTTTGGCAGAATGGAAAATCATCCAGTGACATATCACTAAATGTATGTAGCTTATGCAACGCATCAAATGCTGCCAGAAGGTATGAGCGGTTATGCTTAGATAGGCTCTCGCTCTTGCCCTTGTACTTAAAATCATATAGCTCATTTAAGCGAGTGCGAAGCATGAGCTGGATGGTTACATCTGTAGAACAATAAGCTTATTTATTATTAATCAAGTTAGAGAGATTTTACTTACATCGTAACCATCGCTTTCCAAGTTCCGTACACTCCTGGTACGAAATAACTTGATGGGCAAAGGTGAAAATCTCTGCTGACCACGAGGGGACGTAGTTGTTGCTTATAATTTTTCGCAGAGCCTTTTGATCCTCGCAATCGAAAACACCTTCATTTCCAGGGAGCTGGCCCCATCGACGGAACGTAAGAACTGCATTATCTAATGTTTTGTTCTTCCATGACTTGTATAGATCCCGGACCCTCTTCTCAAACTCCTGGTAAATTTTATTGCTGGGAGACATTCCAGGCAGTGTTGCCTTTACTGGTTGAACATACCATCTATTGCACAGGCCACATATAAACTGCCTACGCGCATGACGGACAAGAGATATTAATGCCTGTTCAGTTTGTTTCATTGAATCATCCGCCTTGTCTTGGTGTGGCGCGTCTCCATATGTAAATAAACCAGGAGAGCAAGGAGTGGGTGGTCTGGGCAGTCGATTGTTTAATAACTCCCTAGTTATCGGAGCCGTCAAGTGGCGGGGCAAGCCTGGATCTGAGACAGATGGATAATCCAGTGATGCAAAGGTTTGATCAAATAATAATAAACCTATATCATCCTCTTCGATACTATGGCCTATATTTGAAGGCTGGGAGAAAGAGCTTGCAGAGACAGCCGTGGTGTGTGACTCTTCAATACTTTGATTTGTAGATATAGCTGAAAGAGTCGATGCATTACCGGTATTCTGAGATGGATGTCCCGGGTCTGTATGTTGCGCCTGCTGGACAGTAATAGGGGGACTTGCTGCAGCGGCTGGCGAGACTTGAGGAGCTTGCGCGGCTTGTAGTTGACTATTTCGGGTGGTAGGTATAGGCATACGTTGTTGCTGCTTTCGACGTTGTATATTTAGGGGCGGACGCTTCCGCTTTGTTGGCCCCTAAATTTAATATTAGCAGAAGCTACAACAAACCCTTTAAGAATAAATCACCTTTCTAGGCTGCTCATTATAATCACCATCCTTATACAACGTATCCTTTGCTCCATCATCAGGCTGTGAAGAATCTGGAAGGCTGATGTAGGAGTCCTGTGACCCAGCTAAATAACCTGGTTGACTGTGAACCCCAGATGGCCGACGGTTATCTGGACAACGGCTGGTTATACTAGTCGACAGTTGCTGAGTATTATGCCTTCTACCAGAGACTGAAGAGGTAGTTTGAAGGGCCATCATGTAGCAGTTAAACAGAGATAAACGTAAAAGTCTCTATGTGTGAGGAAACAAGAGAAAAAAATATTTTCGTCTGATACAAGGCAAATAAGCCACTGTTACACAGTGGTCCTGCAGATGGTCTGGGGTAAAGCAAACAACGGCCAACACATCGCACAAACAAAGATATTCTCCATTGATACAGGGTAGAGAGAACGGAGAACCCTGCTTGAATGCTAAAAATCCGTTTCCGGCTAGTACCTATATAGGTTGTAAGTCCTGAAATCCTATAATATTAGCAAGTTTGGACTAACTGGTATTAAACACTGTCACACTCATCTCCAAGCAATAGACCCCATTAAGCGAGCCTTCCATTTTCACTCCCTCTTTAATTCCACCTGAGTATAATTACTTAACAGTCTTCTTGGCTTCGAATTCTCCCTCCGTTGCGGCGCTTCCTAAACTCCTTATATTACTTTGGAATATGCCTGCGGGAGCTGCAGAAATGGGGACTAAGCGGCTGGGAGAGCGCTTGTTACTCCATCTCTGTACGGGCTCCAGTGCTGCCCCAGCTGCTCTAAATAATTCTTCGAATTACTGGGCCTGTTCCTGGTATAAATTAGATTCCTGCTAGCCTTCCGAAGGAAAGACTACCTTAACCTTGAGAATAAATCTTAAGAGCAGTTTAACTAAAAGGTAAACATCCATTAATTTACTATTGCACTAAAAACCAAATAACAGTATAAACATCCTACAGGCACCAAAATGAATATTACATTTTTTTTCCCTACCCAGTTCGAGAACCATAAAACAACAGAAGGAAGCCAACCATAGATTATCTGAAAAATCCTTTTTCAGCTTGCCTCTGCATACACCTCCTCACCCTCCAGAGAATCAATAATTGCAGCTCTAAGCGCCTTCGGATCCTGGTTATCAGTGTCAAGAACTTCATCTTCTCCTTCCATGTAGTGAATTTTTTTGTCACGTATAACCCAGCGACTAAGATCTACTGCAGTTGTTTTATCTTCCTCAAGCTCTAGAGCTGCCATTTCAGAAATCAGCCCGGGCATTGCTTTGTTCCGCCTCCGGTTTAACAGATAGGTATTAAATGACTTCGTTACCCGGTACTCATAGACAAGTACAACACGGGTCTGGCCGATTCGACAGACACGGCCCACAGCCTGGTCATTAACCGACCTACCTGTGGTAGGCGAGAATAGATGAACATTCCGACACAGATGTTGGAGATTTAGGCCAGCTAAATTGATGGAATAAGTGCAGATTAACACCATGCATTTTGCCGGTTCTCTGGTGAAGGAGTGGATAATTCGTGACCTCTCCGAAGTGTCAAGGGCCCCATGGAACACGACAGCATCAATGTTAAGCTCTCGCAACACAGCTGCTATGTAAACTTGCTCTGCTGGCCATATAGCCTAGATAATTGACTTCTCCCCGTATAGTATGACCTGGTCCTGGATAATGGGTAGAAGGGCCCTCATTTTAGGGGATCCTCGCAAAAGAAATTCCAGTTTTGCTGTTCGGTGTACGTGTGTCATAGTGTGTGCTGGGCTATAGAAAGCCCGAACACTATCTGCGCCTTCTTTAGTCTCTTTTCCCTCTACCCCTTGCATCCACATGTCCACTAACCTGCCCTCCTTCAGGCACTGGAGAGCAGGGGCCACATTCGTTGCACGCACTGTCTCGCTCTGGAAAATAAAGCCGAGCTAACTGGACAAAAGAACTAATTTTCGCAGTTTCCCGTTGTGGAAATGGAACTTCCCGGCTGTGTTCTCATCTTCGACAAACAGGCCCCGAATATGTTTTTTTCAGCAGCTTTGTAGGTCGCCCTTTCATAGTCATCAAAGCTGGCACTCACAATCTGTTTCTGTGCGCCCGGAATATCGCTGCCTATTCTATGTCCAGAGTTAAAAGGAATCTCGGACGTCAGGGTTCGCCTAATCATAAGCAGCTCGAGGATCCATCGCATTCGCTGTCCTGCTACTTCGCTTCCCACCTCCGGGTGCAATATCCATTGCTCAACAACTTCTTCGGATGTCAGCATTGCTTCAAACTCATGGCCAGCTGGAAGCTGGAAAATTTTTTCATTCCCGTAGCCTGCAGTTGCTGCATCTTCTGCATTATACTGCCCAGCCCGAAAAATTAGAGGCATGTATCCCCTAAAGTCCAAAATAGAGTTATTAAACAGTGTAGCTGGCAGCAGCAGGTTGAACTCGGCCCGCACCCACTTGGAAACATGAATGTGACGAGGTTGGGTTGCGAAGGGTATGGGTTTCGTCAAATACGGCAAGATTAAAAAGACCAGCAAGGGAATACTTCCAGTTGTCTGGCATCTGTGGCCTATCCGGGTTATAGTGCCTGTCGTGTTTTTCACACCATACCTGTCAAATAATTGTCAGAATAAAGCTAGTCCATATTGGGACATCATGTGAATATATATACCCAATACTCCTCATAGAGGGGTTGGGCAGAACATCCTTCTGAATTCATTCAATTCTCACCTCCATACCAATATCCCATATAATCGGACAATAATATGGCTTTTGGTGGACCAGAATCATGTGACTAGATAGGGTAAAACCTCCGCGTAGCACACGACCAAAACAAGAGAATAATCAACATAATCAAGAAGAGCCCAACCAGCTCAATTCATTCAATTAAGACCTTTTTACCAATCGTACTCTATTTCCTCTTCGGGATTAGCCGTATATCTAACAATACCTTAACTGCTGGTGGGCCGCGCCTTGCATTTAAGGTTTGATAGGAAGTTAATATAACTGCCCTAGCATTCCGACCACGACCATCAAAGAGAGGATGATATCTTGTCAAACGCTCACCAATTGAGAATGTTCCATACTCCTTTTGTGATCTGAAGTCTCCATAGTACACATAGGTGTGAAAGAGACTGCTCATTAACGCGATTTCCGATGCCCACTGGGCAATCAAATTTGGGGGACCACAATTAGGAAAGGACGAGCCACCGGAGGGGCCTCCTTGTGTTTTACTGCTGTCTCATATGCAGTATTATAGTCAGACCAGCACTGATATAGTTAGTCTAGAAAATGGTTTCTCGGGCTCCCTAGATACACATACCTTGAGCATAAATGCAATAGTTTCCCAGGTCTTGCCCAGACCAACTGCATCGGCAAGAATTGCTCCACGGATATTCGCATTGGCTCGAAACTGGGCCAGCCCCCAGACAGCGACTGGTTGCCAGAACTCTAATACCGCACTTCGGACCATTCCTCGCATGCGAGGAATCTCTGCGCTTTTAATTCCCAGCTCTCAACATGCTTCTTCATGGTTCTCTCGTTGGTATAACTTATTATCAAACCAAACCCGTTGAGCTTCCAGCATTTGAAGTCCGGCTTCTGTGGCCTGCATAATCATAGATGGCTGGGTACTAGCATCAACTTCATGTAACAAAGCATACTGCACATTCTCTCGTTCTTCATAGAGAGTTGGATCAAAAATGTCTGTATCGGATGCACTTGCCAGCTGCACCGCTGGGCCATCTTTTTGTCCTTTTCGCTTTGAACGCTTTTTCTTAGATCAGCTACTCTCATTCCGGGGGGATGGGATCTCATGGCCGTGCTGGACTCTAAGCTCCGGGTGCGTGGTGTCTGCCCGTTGAGAGTCGACGATGCGTCAGTCTATCCAAGGATTCCAGGGACGTTTACCGCGCTTTCGACGTATCTTGTGGCGGAGTAGGCGCTGACGATATTCCGTCGGAGATAGTTTCTGCTGTAAAAATCGGACGATACGGGGGAAAGAAACTTGATATAAAAGATTTATACAAAAGGTTATAAATGTATTAGTAGGCCCAATGATACGGGAGTTGCTTGAAAAGTGGTTTTGCACGTTCTTGCTTTTTGACGAGGAATTGATATTCACCATTATTGAGTGTAAATCTTATATAGATAAACCCTACTTTAAATTATAGCTATCCTAACCTAATGCAGTGTATTCCAACACCTGTGATATAGTTTTTGATCGGTACTTCTCTTATTCCTATAGACATCTGCTTGCTAGCATTCTGGCCATACTTTGACAATTCGAACATTTACGCAAAAATCAAGCCAAATGTGACAGCATTGAGCATCCCTTTCCCAGTCGAATTCTGGGTTCGACAGTTCAAGATCGAACTTGTAAAGTATCTTTGCTGTTGTTAATCGTAAGAGGCGCATACTCATACTTTTGCCGGGGCATGAATGGGTTCCCACGGAGAATACAGAGTATGCGCTGATATCTGACTTTGTTTCCTTTGTATTCCAACGGTCTGGGTAGAACCTATCCGGGAATTCCCAGTACTCTGGGGATCTTTGCAATGAGAATCTATCAACAGAGACTCTTGTCTGTAATAACCATTCGTCAGTCTTACTAGTCTGCCCGAAAAAAGGTCTAGTACTCACCCCTTTTGGTACGTATAGCCCATCAATCACCATTCCATCTGATACTCGCCCACTAACATTGTTTAATGGTGGCAGGAGTCTAAGGCTTTCATTAATACAAGCATTCAGAAAAAACATGGAAAACAGTCTCTCATCAGTGATCTCCTGGTAGCTCCTAAATGTAGTTCGCAGTTCATGTTGAAGCCTCGTCAGGTATTCTGGGTGTCGTAGAAGGTAATAAAATGCTGCGGAAACCGCGGAGCTGGTGGGATCATAACCACCAATGCTAATAGACACAGATGAGCTTCCACGGAAAGCTATTATTGTTGTAAACACTTACTGTAGCAGACTTATCTGATCCAATGCACGTCTGGTTTGAACACTTTCATTCGATTCTTTGCCAATTGCGAGCTTCCGCGCGACTGCTGCCTCCCTGAACTCACTCTGCGTGGTGAGTCTGCACGATGGGGTCAACTCGACTCACTTCATATAAAGTATGGAGGTTTGCTTACTGTAGTATCTGAGTGAAAGCATTATGGGGCAGCTTTGGAATTATGGCGAAGCGTTTGAGCAACTTCAATAGTAGGGTGCCAAACGTCGAAGCTCCAGGGAAACGACTGACGTAAGGAATAACGTCCATAAAGATTGAGTACGGCTTATCCAATCGAAGAAACACCTCGAAGCTCTCTATAGGTCTATGGTTAGCAAAGGCCTGCCGGTAATATAATATAAAATAAGCGATCCATATCACCTTTCGTGCTCATCGGTATAGGATGTCCCAGGAAAAAGTGTCCCATGCAGCGCCAGACCAGATGATCTAGTCTCTTTGCCAGATTGTAGGATTCCCCAGTTTGGGATAAGACGGTCAACGCCTCCATCAACCTTTGCAGGTAGGATTCATGGATATTTTCTTGTTCTTGTATTGAGAATGTGGACACGATGCTTTGAACCTGTGATCGTACATCCTTATGCTGTGTTTTATGAACCGCTGTTTGCGCAGTTGTATTCCTAACTAATAAATCGATCGCTACCCTGGTCTTGTCTGCAGAGAGAGAAATCCTTTTATTGTACTCATCTGTATAGATCGTGTCTCGCGCACTTACGGTGGCAAAGGAAAGCTCTGTTGGAGAAATACGAACTACCGGGCCTTGGACGATCAATATGTGCCCTGTATCTCTTAGATAACTTTCTTACCATATTTCTTATGTAACGCACGCGTCTTTAGTAAAATTCCGCCGGTGTAGTGTGCATACATAGTCCAAAACTATGGTGGTTATTAGTGAAGTTTTAACTTAACATTTATATTCTCACGGGAGAGACAGCCGCTATTCCGGGGCCTGGAACAGTTGATAATCTATGGAAGTAGCGGTCGTAGATAACTATTGCGGCAGTTGACACTATTGCCTACAAGACGTAAGTAAGAAATATCATTTCGTGATTCAGACTGACCAAAATCGCGATTGCGAACGCGGACATTGTGGTCTAGGAATATTAAAAAAATACGCAGTTAAAAATACTAGATAAACAGACTGCCTTGAAAACTATATATTGACCTGAGAATGCCCAAATCCATCAGAAACTTGCGGTCCTCGGCTGGGTTTCTCCTTTAAATATGATTCCATAATAGCTCTGGTGTCTGCACCCCGGTACACTTGGCGGCAGCGTCCTGTATATTACACTTTGGACTTGTCCATTATGTGGAATTAATCAGACCTCAAAGCAGACATACCTAGTGACCCACAACCTCAGTGCCCTAAAAACACTAGTATTCCCCATGAAATCGATAGAGAAAAAGGCGCCATTGTGGCGGGAAAGTGGACAGTAGAATTATGGTGGGTGATGTTCGGGAGATTCAAGGTATTTAGAAAACAACTGGTAATTTTTGGGCTGGCTGAGGTTGTGGGTCACATAACCCAAACTGCGCTAGCGGGGCTGATATTCTTTTCTACCGGGGCTGCCTGACCTGTGTTTGCCCTAGGTGGGATGCGTGATACACACCATCGGCGAGCTGCACGACGAACAAATATTTAATAGGCCATTGATGTGACTCAGAGGGGGGGAAGAAGGCAGTAAGTTCATCGAACAGCTGCACGCAACTAGTTGCCTAATATGGGAAACGATACTTGCTTGGATGGTTGACTCGCGCGCACCTCTCTAGAATACAGGAAAAGTGGTTAAGTACTCAGGGCTGTGAACCCTGCACGTTAGGTAATCATCTAAGATGCAGACCATTACTTTATCAGCCGTCAAATCTCCAGTTCTTCATACACCGTACAGAGTACAGGGTTGGAAGTAGGTGAATATCCACTACCTAGTACACATGTACCTTAAACAACGGCGATGAGGCACTGTTCAATGTCCGTAGAGACAGGAACAGTCAAAACATGCAAGATATAATGGATAGTCAGACACTTGCACCTTTACCCCCACGAACAAACTTTTTAGGTAGAATTGCATCATCAATTTACAGCTGCCCAGATCAAATTACAGGGGTATCTGTCTTCTCGGAGGCCGAAACCTGCACCATTGACCCCCCTCTACAGAGTAGGGTTGTATTTACTGGTTGGCCGCGACGATGACCACATCATACAACTAAAATGGTCTAATACCCATAAGTAACTATTATATGCGCCTGCGGAAGTTTGCTAGGTCAGGTCCTTGATCCACTTTTGCTCATACGCTGTCAAATTGACATTTCCTTACAGTATGCAAAAATTAAACCTGAGTCCATCCTTGTTAATCTGATTGATGGTTTACACCATGAGACCAGTTTTCAATTGGATGCGCTGATACTCCGATTTTGACCCCTTCCGTTGAATACATTTTTTAGCTATGCACCTTAAGGTACCCTTTCTGGAGATAACGCCCACTCTCGTGCCCTTGCGCTATCAATTCGACAGTCCCTAGGCCAGCATTCAGTGTGTAGGAAGTTATAGAAAACCAAGGAGGACTACGACATATACCCGCAATAATGAAGCCTGCCTAATTAAATCCTGTGCCTAGGGATAATACAGCTATATTCCTCGGTGCGTAACACACCAGCCAAGCCAATCGACTGGACCTCGTTTCCTTTCTTTTTCCAATATTGTCATTACTTTTTTTTCTTTCTTGTTTTCAGGTTGGGGGAGGGTACAGAATGACGCCAGCTCCTTCCTCGCTGCCCCGCAAATAAAGGAGATTAAGTACACCGTATCTGTTAATCTATTCCTTCTCCGTAATACTCTCATGTTTTACTATCGAGAATATTTCTGACAGAGCATTTGGTTCACCACAATTGCATTCATTATCGTGAGTTGTGTTGTTGCGAATACAAACAAGGTAAAGGAACGAGTATGAGTACCAACGAAGCAACCATCTCCGGGGCTCGCTCTGCTCTCGAAAGAGCAACAAAGTATTCATTACAGCACGCAAATGAAGACGGTCACTGGTGTGGTGAACTTCGCTCAAACGCGACCATAACAGCCGAATATATATTTCTCCGGCAAGCGCTTAGTCTAGACCAGTCAAACGATTCCGAGGCACTGTGCCTATGGTTGCTGTCTGAGCAGCATCCGGATGGTTCATGGGGGATTGCCCCCGACTACTCTGGCGATGTCTCCACATCAGTTGAAGCATACCTTGCTTTGAAATTGTTGAATGTTCCGCCAGAACATCCAGCAATGGGTCGAGCTTGCAACTACATCCTAAGCGTCGGGGGTGTGGCCAAAGTTCGCATATTCACTCGAATATACCTGGCCATGTTTGGTCTTTTCCCATGGGATGCAGTGCCTTGTTTACCAGCGGAGCTTATCCTGATGCCTTCCTGGGCCCCAATCAACATATACAAATTCTCGTCGTGGGCACGAAGCACCATAGTACCCCTTGCGATCGTGTGTCACCATCGACCTATATACGATTTACCAAATGGAGCACTTGTTGATAATCCTTACCTCGACGAATTGTGGCAGGATCCTAGCATTAAAATGGTTCCCTATTGCCCCGGGGAGCTCTGGAAAAGTGATAAGCTTGCTTTCACTTTTTCAATAGTCGACAGCATGCTACACTACCTAGGTGGTCTGAGGTCTTTCCCTCTTAGAGGTTACAGTCGGCGTTTGTGTCTTGATTGGATCTTAGAGCATCAAGAGGATAAAGGAGACTGGGCTGGAATCTTCCCGCCCATGCATTTAGGATTGTTGGCACTGACGCTAGAAGGGTTTGGGCTCACAGATCCACCTGTCTGCAAAGGACTGGAGGCAGTGGAGAGATTCTCATTGAACGATAGCTACGGAAAAAGGGTTCAAGCCTGTGTCTCCCCAGTGTGGGATACGATCCTTATGTCCATAGCATTATGCGATTCTTCCATACCAGGAGACAATGACGGACTGAAAAAAGCTATCAAGTGGATTCAACATCGCCAACTTCTGGTACCTCGTGGCGACTGGCGTGTCTACAATCGTAAATTAGCATCTGGCGGCTTCAGCTTTGAATACTTCAACAGCTGGTACCCAGATGTTGATGACACTGCAGCGGCTATAATTGCATTTGTCAAGTACGAATCTGAGTGGACAGTCCAGAGTATAGTTCTCGCGGTTTCGTGGATCCTTGGAATGCAGAATCGCGATGGAGGATGGGCGGCCTTTGATACGAACAACGATGCGCTCTTTTTGAACAAAATTCCATTCAGCGATATGGACAGTCTCTGCGATCCTTCTTCGGCTGATGTTACCGGACGCGTGTTAGAAGCGTTCGGCTTACTGATTCAGAGTCCATATAAAAAGCAACTATGCTCCAGTTTAATTGGTCGCATACTCCTATCATCCGGTCGAGCTATCCATTATCTTTTATCCACCCAGGAATTGACAGGGAGATGGTACGGTCGCTGGGGCTGCAATTACCTATATGGCACCAGCAATGTTCTGTGCGGGTTAGCTTACTTTGTTGGGCATACAAGTCAAGTAGAGAATGCTATAGCAGCGGGAGTGGAGTGGCTGATATCTGTCCAGAACGCAGATGGGGGATGGGGAGAGGGGCTTGATAGCTATTTATCCGCTGGTATCACAGCAAACAGTGACTCAGTAGCATCGCAGACAGCATGGGCAGTTATGGCCTTACTCTCCTACCTACCTCCAACAGCACGGGCTATTGAAAGAGGAATAGATTTCCTCGTCCAGTCACAGGGGGAAGCAAAAGAACACGGTGCAACTTGGTCGGAGACCAAATACACAGGAACAGGTTTCCCTAGGTTCTTCTACCTTGGGTATTCTCTATATCCTCATTATTTTCCCATGATGGCCCTGGGGAGGTACTTGCAACAGACAAGGACTAATGGATCCTCTCAGCTAGGGAATTGGTTGAAAGAGAAGTTGGAGAGGTTGAATACCTAACAAGTTTTGCTCCATCATTCGGCTGTCTCAGGTACTCCCCTCCGCCGGCAGAATGATACTCCCTATTTGGAAACAATATAGCAGATGGTGGCCACAGAAATACTTCGATGTTTAAAAGTACTTTATTAAAATTATAGTAAAGAACCCTGACTGCTTAATAACAGTGTCCTATACTTAAGACCAAATAAGTAGATCCATGCACACGGCTCCAGTAGAATCACACTAAGGATCAATCCTGAATCCGCTCCGCCACAGTCCTGCTTAAAATTTCTATGTATTCTTCGCGACTAGTAGACGGAGGGTTATAGCACACCTGGATCCCGTGAGGCTGAAATTCCCGCCCAAGAGCATCCATCCGGTCCCCCTGGGTCCCTAACGTCAAACAGGTATGTATATTTGGGCGTGAATGTAATCTCGATCCTACGGAGTGGATATGCCTGTGCCACGGCTGTATGCGCAAGCGCACGCAGCCAATTTTCTTCTTCCTGTTGAAAGTCCTGCAAGCCATCAGCACACTGTTGGTCCTCGAGTGTTGGGTCTCAGTGGAAGACACGAAGCTGTGGAGCAAGCAGGTTTGGGACTAGGTGAATATCTGCGGCACTGGTTCGGTAATCAGAGCTTGTCGATGAGGATGACAGGCTTAATTTTACCAGGTTCTCAAACTCGCGCAGATCAAACCCGACCAGGCCTCCCTGGTTTATACAGCTAATCTTGATGGAGCGTAGGGTAGTCTTGTGAATAACCAGGATAGGATATAACGTGGCCAGGCTCCATTTCTATAAGCCTAATACACTGTGGCATGGTCCAAATGTGTATTCAAGAGTAAAATCCTCCAGGTTAACAGGCCACCTTATGAGATCCCTAAGAACATCCGGCGTCTGAAGAAAGCTCCGTAATTTTAGTGCAGTGAATGAGGCAGTCCCTGCTTTTCTCTATACCGGCGGTTAGTTAAAGTATTAAGGAAGCTTTGTATTTCACTACAGTTCCATAATTATCGAAATTAATCGCTAGATAATACTTAATCTGGATCGCGGCTAACAGCTTACCTGCAGATTTATCCAGGTCAGAGCGTCCCCACAAACAGGCACGCCTTCAAGTTCAAGGGTTTGGATACCCTGAGGCTCGAAGCGGGATAATGTCTCCACTACCCGGGGGAGGCTCAAGTTGTACGTGTAATCGCTCCGGAGAGATAGCAAAGTCAAGCCCGTGATGTGCTCAAGTGCCAATCGAAGGAGTATCCATGCTCTCTCATCTATCCCCAATCTAAAAGTTTCAAAGATTTGGCAGCGGTAAACCAGGTAATAAAATCCATCGCAACATAGAGGTACGGGTTCGTCCGATGCCCCAGACCCACGATATTTTCGTCTGCGTAGTGGATTATCAGGCGCCGGTATAGGGGCCAAAGGGACGGGTTCTCTCTACAGCTACGGTGCATGAGCCTCGAAAGCTGCTTAGGCTGCAAATGCGTGGGTTTGCAGTGGATGATAAGGTCTGCATAGAGGTACTGCATGGCAAGGCGATTAATGCGTCGGCAAACTAGACAGAGTGCAACTGGCGTCTCAAGAAGTTTGCCATGTTTGTAGCCATAACAACGCATAGGCGTATTTATGTAAATAGAGGATGCTGCGCAGATAATGCTGTCCAGAAACTCATCGGGTAGTCGAAGGATAAAGGCCCGGTCGAGAAGATCTTATTCTCTAATATTCATCACAACCGAGCCCTTTCTTGTGGCAACGTTATGGTATCAGGCATTTGATGGACGGATTATTGAAGTGAAGTTCAGCGTGGTAAGATTTATACTACCCTGTCCTCACAGCTTTCATTGACATGGTCCATGACCCAGCGTAACGTGCCGCGTTATTATCTGTCAACTTATGGCTATACGTGGCCAGGATTATGTGACTAAGGAAGGGTCAAAAAGGCCCTCAAAGAGCGAAAGAAAATAATAAGCACAACCATCATAATCATCAATATAATTAAGGAAAGCCCAACCAGCTCAAAACCATCCAGCTAAGGCCTTTCCAAAATCTGTATCTTTTCCCCTATTTAGTGCTAGCCGAATATCGGACATTATCTGTCTTGCGGCCACCCTGATTAATCATTTTGATTTTTACTTATATTTTTTATTATGTTAAAGAAATGTTATTTAATAAGCTTATAATACATATCTCTTTTAATAAAAGCTAGTTTACTATTATTAAATACACTGATTATCGAGTAAATTTAACCCAATATAAAGAATGTCGAGTACTCCTGCGTATCGCCGAGCTGGTCCTTCTGGTCAGCCTTCCGGTATCTCTCAATAAATTCGTGGTCGGAATCTCTGGGAGCCAGTGGAGTTTCCTGATGTATGAAGCGCTGGCCTCTTGTTATATCACGGAAGCGGAATTTACAACAAATAATTTGGCCGGTGAGCGGCACCTTATATTTTATTAAACAGTGGTGCAGTCGTTCACTTTTGCCAGGTCATCAAGGGTACCAGGTTCCTGCGCAATCAGGTAAGGGTCCTTGCCACGCCGACGCCGCGGGATATCCTACTTGCTGAGGATGGAGGGTGCGGTTCAGTATGAAAAGTTTCCTTTCTTCTCGGAATATAGATTCAAACTCCAACCAGCTAGGATCGAGAAAAGCCTTGAGATCAGGAGCTCGGAGACAGCGCGCATTCGGTGAAGCTGACGACACAGTTCGCACTGGCGTCCATCGTGGAGAGGTTAATTACTATATTCATGTAATCTTCCGGTCTCAGCTTCAGACTAATTATAATCTAATTATGCGCATTATTTCGATAACTAGGTGCACTACAGTGGCAGCCGAAATATATGAAATCACCGAGCTGCAACATATGTCCTGATAATATCATAAAATACAGTACTTATATCAGTCTACGTCCAGTTCTGCGAGATGGTATTTCTGAAATACCATAGATAGCAATACATCACCTTAGTCATACAGCATCCACAGATGAGTAGTTTAGCCACGACATCCGGTCATTGTATCCGAAATCTTCTCTGCCAGCATATCTGCACACGGTCACCATCACCTTCAGATGAAGGGGGACATAACTTACACACGGTGGACTGTGGATGTCCTGGAGGGAGCAGGGGAAAGGCACTGGCGTCCACCACGCGCAAACCATGCACCCCAAAGACACGAGCTTGACTGTCGACTACCGCCATTGGATCATCGTGCGTGCCCATTTTGCAGGTACAGGAGGCATGCCAGATAGGCATGACATGGTTCTGGATATATTCCAGGATTTCCGCATCGGTGCTCACGCCGTCTCCCGGGTCGCACTCGGGGCCGATGATGACCGGCGACATGGCCGTACTATGGAGGGCTTGCCGAACCCGTTTCATCATGGCAATGGCTACCTCCTGATCCGTCTTGGTAGCGAGCCAGTTGGGGTTGATAATGGGCAGCTGAGCAGTGTCCGCCGACTGCAACGTCACATTCCCCCGAGATGTTGGAGCAACCAATACCCCCAGTATGGCAGCATACTGATATCCATCTTTGGGCTGGTTGAAGTACGGGTCCAAGAAGGCGCCGATGTATCCCGGAGCAGAGATATACTGCCATCAGATGGTTAATGATATCCAAGGGAGAAAGCGTCAACGTCAGCTACCTTACCTCGGCTTCCGGCCAGTCATGGGGAAACCGGGCCAGGTCGGCTCTGGTTGCGTTGGAGAACCGGGATCGCAAGCCACTGGGGATCTTCTCCCACGCCACATAGTCTGACAGGTTGCTCGTAAACATACCCCGGCGCCTGATTGCCCACTCGAGGAAGAATTGGACCATGGACCAGGGACGGAGCGTGAAGTTCGTAAAGGTCAACACCCGGACCCGGTACGAGGGGCCAAAGAATACATGATCCCACATATTCTGTCCCACTCCCGGTCGATCCGCAATCACCTCGATGCCATGGTCGTGGAGGATATTCGCTGGGCCAACCCCCGACACCATCAACAGCTGCGGTGATTGGAAGGCACCGGCTGAGACCACTACCTCGCGCCGGGCATACAGACGGAAAAGCTCCCCAAAGTGGTTCGCGACGAGCACACCCGTGGCGCGTTTTTGGTCATCAAATGTGATCTTCTTGGCCAGAGTGTAGGGATACACCGTCAATGATGCGGGTTGGTTAGTCTCCAGGAACGAGGTTTGCGAGCTACTGCGAGTCTGATCGCGCGGCCGGATGGTAGCAGCCGAGTACTGGGCCCCCATCACTGACCCGCCGTTGAAGTCTCGGATGTCATCAATCCCAATGGCATTTATACCGCGTTTCATCCAGGTGGAAAATGCCATGGCATAGTTTGGATATGACACCTCGAGCGGGCCCCCGTGCGGATCGTACACGCTGGGATCAAAGCCGGCCGTGGCATTAGGGAAACGAGCGGATGCATTCGGGGGAGTAAAATGCACACTGCGCTGGAAATACGGCAAGACCTGGTCCCAAGTGTAACTGCTATCGTTGACGGCTCCTGCCCATTTGGCCATAGAATCGCGAGTTGGTCTTTCGAGTCAATCTGTTAGAAATAGCCGGGTTATTCCTAGTGGTAGGGGTATACCTTTGATAGATCATAAAGTTCATGGCAGATCTACAGACTAATCAACTCCCATCCCTCCAGCGATATGGATGACCTACGATCCCCCCAGGCATTTCCCTCGTGCGTAGTGGATGAGCCGCTTGTTGACCCCGGGCTGATGCTGGACCACAAATCCCCAGTCGATCAAAGATTTCAGGTGTGGTTGCGAGCCGGCTCGAAGGGGACCTGTGGCTGGGATGGCAGCAAACGACTTGGATTGGTACCTCCCACCAGCCTCAACCAGAGCGACGGTGAATTCCCTCTGGGCCAGTCGCGTCGCCAGCACGATACCGGCAGTTCCACCGCCGACTACGACGTAGTCATACGATGCTGGGGAGAACGCCGTCACGGGGAGGATGAGGAAGACAAGGAAGATCGGGCGAATCATCTGCATTGTGAATGTATGCTGACCTTTTCTGGCATTGTTTGGAGTTCTGTGAGTTCCAAAATATGGCTGACGGGAAAGCATTGCCTTGTTAGTCTCGTTCTCATCATGAGGAAACTATCACCCGTCGTGCCTGCCTACTAGGCCACCAGCAGTTCTACCATGCCTTGTTAGTCTGATACAGGGTATAATGCTGCCTCACGTCCTAGTCAACATTCCCCTGTGGAATCCGGCAAATCCCGACTCGTGTTAGATGTCATCTCATTGCGTTCAGCTGAGTGAGAGTCAGGGATAGAAACATGTGAAGTCCCAACAAAAGGCATCAGAAGAATCACTCCGCCAACGACAGGGCTTCCCCAGACATAAGAAGCGGCTGATCCAACTCATTCATCACAGTCTGTGAGGCCATCGCAACCATTGCCCTTTTTGGGCCAAGTGGGGTTGGGATCCCCTCCAAATTGCCCGAAGCGGAAATGCTCATTGGTCGACGATGGCAAAAACCCAAATATTAGTCGCGCCCCAAAGAATCAGGAACCATTGAAACTCCCACTGTCTGGTCGACGATCAGGAGTGAAAATGAAATTCATCGCCTGCGTTGGGGAAGAGGGAGTTCATATGCCTTCCGAGGCCCACGGAACTGTTTGGATTTCTCATCACCTTGGATCGACCACTTCTATGCTGCAGATCACTATACCCCAGACAGATTCCTATGGTTTTGATCCTCTATTTCACATGCTGACTTTCGTCTCTACCGTCCGACTGGGGCGGCTATAAAAACCACATCCCCTGTCCACCCCCACGGGGTAAAACGACCAGCCCCAAACTCCCACGATTCTTGACTCGCGCCCACGATGACTTTCCAGCCGAATCCCAAGGACTCGATGAAATCCACATGGCGTCTGCTCGACCGCAGTGAGTGGACCATTTTCCACTGGTTCTATGAATTGCTAGGCATCCATCCCACTTCGCTAGATAAGGATGTTCCTGTCCACCCCAAGGACGATAAGGTGCCATGGGTGCCCGAATGGCATCTGCACCGTTGGGTGTTGGTGCACGCCTTCATTCCCCTGGCCATCCACCATGTATACACTTCTTATACTGGCTATAATCTCAGTCCCCTAGCCGCCTTTTTCTTCTATAGTGCCGCCTTCAAAGTCATTGCCATCCACGAGATACACATCCTGCGTCGCATGGGCCATATACTCGGCTTCCTCGACGGCGACCAGCATGAGCGTGATGGTGTGCCCGACGTGGGCGTGCGAAAGGTGGTGCACTCACTGATCTCTACCTCTACCTTCCGTCCCATCTTTACTGTGTTTCTCAGTTATCGCAGCAGCCAGGCACCTGCCTCGATGAACTGGTGGTGGCTGCCACTGGAGGCTGGCTTGTACGGCATTATTTTGGATTTCTGGTTCTACTGGTATCACCGACTTATGCACGAGATTAATGGTCTCTGGAAATACCACCGCACCCACCACCTAACGAAGCATCCCAATCCGCTGTTGACGCTGTACGCCGACTCCGAGCAGGAGTTCTTTGATATTGCCGGCATTCCCTTAATGACCTACTTCACCATGAAGCTGATGGGTATGCCCATGGGGTTCTACGAGTGGTGGATCTGCCATCAGTACGTAGTCTTCGCTGAACTGGCCGGCCACAGTGGACTACGTTTGGTGGCGACGCCGCCCAACACGCTGTCGTGGCTATTGCGAATCTTCAACGCCGAGCTAATCATCGAGGACCACGATATGCACCACCGTCGTGGCTGGAAGAAGAGTGCCAATTACGGCAAGCAGACGCGTCTCTGGGATCGGGTCTTTGGTACCTGTGGGCCGCGTATCGAATGCTATGTTGAAAATATTGACCATGACAACCAGGTGTCGATGCCACTACTGTGAGACGAGCACGAAATATGCAAATATGGAGTGTCGCCTACGCCATGTGATGATTTTCTCCGTATGTGTTATGCTGCAATTCCTTTAAGTGAAGGATGTACTTAGATGATGAAATCACGACCTCATACCAATAGAGCCTCTCAATGTTATTTTCCATACTGTAGTACGGTTTCTACGTCTTGAGTTCCAGTGTCTTTGCGGAATAATTTCTGCTTAGTGATCTTCATCTGCTGCATGACGATGCAAATCCTGCATGCTGCCGGAAGCAGCCACACTCTACAGACACCCGAAGTTTCAGTGGGTTGGACTTGGCGTCAGGTTCCTAGGCCTAATGAGGCAATATCACGTGCTTTCACTAGCTGACGGGAGTTTTCTCCAGCTGTTGCGACCTCTTCTTCTCTTTCAATACATTACGATTCACTGGAACTCTCCCTCCTGTTTCTGTTTCTTAGAGGCTTAGCCCACTTAACAGGAATATAAGATATAAAGTCTAGGATTAGTTACCGACTGGTCCGTGGCTAGTTTACTACTAATAGAATATTATTTACCTTATTAACATGGAATATCTCTTGATCGCTTTCATCATCCAGAAATTCATGCTCGGAGAATTGGACTTGGTTGATAAGGGGGCAAGAGCTGGTATTGTAACTAATTAGTTAGAAACTACTTGAATACTAGTTAGGAAATGATATTCAATTGAGGATAATACAAGATAATTAATTCATTATTAGTGTGTATTTAAAGCCCAATCGGACTTGACCTGCTATCTGAACATGACATCCCAAATAGTCCTAGGCACCTGACGCGGTCCGACCCACCTAATCGCGACCAGTAACACGTACGGAGTAGTCAGAAAATTTATATTTAATTCAAGATAACAAAGCAGATATGTCCTCTATATAGCCATATTCGTCTGCATATCCATAGAGTGCCAATAATACAGTTCCTCAGACTTATCACATTCGTAAAGAATCAATCAAACATACAGCTTATTGGTAGACCAGATAACCGTCTAATTCCCCCCCAATATAACACTCTTAACATTATTCCCCTCCAACGAAATCACCCCCTTATACTGAGCCACATCCACCGTCAGCGTCAACTTCTCCTTTGGATAGAGCGAAACGTAATTATCCGACCAGTACACGGGAGAAATCTCCTGCTTCGTATCCGGATCGATGACAGACAGATGCAAGAATACAGCAGGGACATCGGACTGGTTCTCCAGTGTCACTTCCATATGACGCATTCCATGCTTCCCTGCTGTGGTCGGCTTTATGCTCGCCTTGACAGACGCAGGAGTGACACTGCTGACAGCTGAGAGGTCTGCATATTTGGTAACCGGGGTAGTATACCAGTTTGACTGTTTCCAGTCGAGAACGTCATTCTTAGCTGAAAGCCAGTAGACATTCCGACTGAGGATATTCCCTGACTGAGCGTCCTTGAGAACGAGTCTGAGGAATCCAACCTGCTGGATCTTATCCCTTCCAGCAAGCTTAGCGACCAACTTCGATGCATTGGGCGCCGTATCGACGGTGACTTCATCATGGGAGATGGATTTCCCCTTGCTATCGATGAGGTCCACAGATACGATACGCTTTCCTGTCCCCTGGACGGCATGGCTGATCAGATAGACTGTATCCTCGCTATAATCGAACGCGACATGTTCGAGACGCGCACCAACTTTAGTACCGAAATAAGACCCCGCAGGACGGAGATAGTAGTCAAAAAGCTGCCAGTGGAGGTTCGGCCACGCGCTGTTCAACATCCAGTACACGACGCCGGTCGCCGGACGCGAAGCATTCTGACGGGTAGCGAAGCCCTCAAATTCGGCACGGGTAGCCTCGTAGTCCATCATCTGCGCTTTGCGCACGTAGTCTTCCAATCCGGTGGGTTTGCCGTATCGACCGAATAGCGCCTTGTTGTAGAGCTTCCGGTTATAGAAACTGGAGTCATACCGGGACATATGGTACTGATTCTGATTTGGTTTCTTCCAGAGACTTTCCAGGTCCTGAGGAGACATGAACTGTCTCATACTCGATAACTCCGGAGTACCGACACCGGCACCCTCTTCGGACCCAAAGCCGAACGCGGCGCCTTGTTCATCGTGGTACCAGTAATTCGGTGGCACCCAATCATACGGACCGTCCATTTTCATCCCCGATGGGCCCAGCTGTTTCGGGTATCCGCGTTTACTGGCGGAGGCGATCACGGGGTTCGGCCAGTCCATACGATTCAGCGCGTCGACGTAGATGGCAGTGGCTCGATCGTTCGGCCAGAAATCAGACCCGACGAGGAATGCAAGCATGGATGGATGCGCCTGCATCATTTCTGCCTCGTGGAGCATGGCCGCGCGAGCGATGGGATAATCCTTCTCGGTCCATTTCTCGCCAGCGGCTTCGTCGTTGTACTGCAAAGGTCAGCAGAGAACACATTAAATAGATTTCCATGATGTGGGAAACTCACTTCCCATCCCTCCCACTTATCGCAGCATTCCCATCCAGCAATCACCATCAACCCGACACGATCGGCGAGTTCATACAGCTCAGGGTGTTCCTGCTTCCCCTCCAGACGGACAGTGTTCAGTCCCATGTCCAACATGTACTGGAAGATAGTCTTGACGCGCTCGATATCAAAACGCAGGAACATGTCTGGTCCGTATCCGCCGCCTCGAACTTGGAACGCGTGACCGTTGACGGTGAACGCGGTGTCATTGTGTGCGTTCACTTTAGATGTTACCTTACGGATGCCGAAACGCGTCGGGGCCGCGGAATCGGACACCTGTCCATCGCTGAGAGACAAGTTGAGACTGACGGTATACAGGGGCTGCTGTCCCCATGCAGCAGGCCACCAGATCTGGGGGTTGGACACGGGGACCGCGATGGAGACGGTGGTGTTTTGATCCGGACCCAGTTGGAATTTTTGAGACAGTTGAATTGACTGCGATCCATCAGGGGACTGAATTACCCCATGAACGAGACCAGTAGCAGCTGCACCCTCGTGGTTCTCAATATCCGCTTTGATGGTGATCGTGGCTTCCTTGGCATCTGTGTCCTTGAAATCCGTCACGACGCGCGGCGCGGACAGCGACACGGGTCCGGTCTGTTTCAGCTCGACATTACGCCAGACACCCGTGCCATTGTCGGGCGGGTAGGGGTTCCAGTCCACGAAACCCTGAGCAAAGTCCCGCAGATAGTTGGTGGGATAGGCCTGAATGAGCAGAGCATTTGCACCTGAGTGCAGATGCGAGGTGATGTCGTAGCGATGGCCGCCGTAGGACCCTTGCTGGAACTTGTTGGAAGCCACCTGGACGCCGTTGAAGAAGATATCGGCCTTGGATCCAATACCGTGGGTGACGAGGAAGACATGTTGGCCCTTTGGGGGGGATTGAATGGTCATCTCTTCGCGGTACAGCCAAGGAGAACGGAAGATGGTCTGGTCGACCGACTCCATGTTGTTGGAGTACCAGAGATGGGAATCATTGTGGACGCTGTTCTCCAGGAGTCCCGCAAAGACGGTGGCTCGGGAACCGATGCGATACCACTTGCTGACATCGGCATTGGGGAGGGACAGCTGCGACAGATTGTTGGGGGCATGTAGGCTGGATTGGAGATGCCATCCTGGAATGACGGCGGTGTCACCGGGAGAGCCAACGAGTGCCAAGGTCCCGGGAAGCAGAGCCAGGGAGGCCAGAGGAGCCCACATGGCAGTATTGAGATACTGAACTCTGTGTGCAGTGGGTAAGTGAGACGTGAGGTCGATGAGATGGTTAAATAATGCAGACAATAACGTTTTCTAGTCGCGGTACAATGCATGGTTACATTGTCGATCCTCATTCCTTATGCGCCATTCCGACAACGGACTTGATTTATCCTCCGTCGGCGATCTGGGGAATATTACTCCCTCTAAGAGTACGGAAAAATGAAATACAGTATATTATGTCTCAGATAGGATACTCTATTCCCAGATATACTAGTTGATCCATCGAGTGGTATAGGTAGACTGGATATTATCCCTAGAAAACATTCACCACGCAACAATAAAACCACCGGAAATCATCCCGACCAACACAAAATATTAATAATGGAACCGTAGTAACAACAGTACAATATGGACCCGACCCAGCGGAAATTGATTCATCATTGCAGGAAGTCAAGCCCCATACGAACCGCGCAGACACTAATTGTTGACTAAACAGTAGTCTCCGCCGGTGTTTTCGGGAAAGACCCGCTGTTGACCGTTCTGGCAGGAATTTCTTTCAGGAATTGCTCTGGTTGAGGGCGATTCCCCAGAATGGCAATTCCATATCTCCGCACATTTCCCCGGTGAAATTAATTAGATGGAATTCGATAACTAATGCAATCCTACAGAGCTAGCATTTGGCGGTTCGGCGGCCCTGTTCAGGTCCACCGCGTATGTCTCAATTCTTGGGGTATTCCCAGCCCACTCACCTTATTCATCCATCGAGAATGCCAGTTTCTATTAAGATGATAGAGCTTAATCTTCATATAATTGTACAGCTGGCGGACTCGACATTTATGACCTCAAGACCAAGTGAAATATCTGTATCAAGCCCTGCCGTCAATGTCTGACCGTATCGACGATCCGCAAGTCTAGACCAGTTGGCGGTATATATATAGGCAAACAGTGAAGTGTAAGAACAAAGCACAGTCAACACTAGTACAAACTTAAGAAATATACAAATCTTTCTACGAAGCATTTAGATATGTCCAGTCTTAAGTATCCTTTCTGACACGACAGTGACAAAGACCTGCCGAGGATAATACTCTCGGTAGAATGCCTTGCTGGGGTACGTCCAAGCCTTGACGTATACAGTGGATGACGTCGCAATGTCGATTACGTGCAAATATTCCAAACACTTAATAACTGTCCCAGGCAAGGATGGTTGGACCGCGGAACAGTGGGCCGATGCGCTTCTTGAACAACTCTTTCTTGGTGACAGGAGACTCCATATGACTATCATCTCAGAGGTAGAAATTCATCAGCACTCTCTAGCGCCGCATTCATATCTACACACTCGTGGAGCTATAGGAGGGCCACTGACCCTTTAAATGGCTGTCGGTCGCCCAACTTTACCTCCTTAAAGAAACTTTATAATCTCGGAGCAAGATCTTAGAAACAACGTGAAGTCTGGAGGAAACAGGGATTCATGAGATACCTTGTTCTATTCAGTTACATTGTTTACTATCGTTTGATTGGTGGAAGAGACTTCTACAGTGCCCCTACTATGCTTGCAGTGAGACTTTCCTCTCAGACCTGTTAGATATTAATTATCCTCCTGCCAACTCTATACATTCTACAGGTCAAAGATATTGATGCGTCTCGGGTAGTGAACTTCCAGTTTGAAACTACCTTAAAATGGAAGTCAGCATGGAGAAGTTGACTACACACCTTGTAAGTTGCCCCTAGCAAGTAGCTACGAAGCTTATATTCTTGTGGTGCATAATTGGCTACCATAAGGAGATAGCAAAAAGGTGTATATGTTTGGTCATAAACAAAGTGGGAGACCAGCCTGGCACCTAGAGGGGTTCGATTCAAGTGCGAGACATACACCACACTTGCTGGGAAAGAGGTCAATGTGCCCATGGTATAAATACATAATAAAGTATATTAGTAACCTGCATATCCTCTATTCTGTAAAATTAATAATACCCAAGTCATACGCTTCTTTCAAAACAAAAAAGAAAAAATAAGACAAATCTTTATTATACCAGGCTTCATTTCATATATAATCGAGGGCCCGTCTCAACAGGCCGCAAAATTCCCTTCTTCCCTAAGCCCGCTACTAGATCCGCCAGAACATGATCACATCCACGTGCCATTTGCAGCGCCACAGTCACAGGCAAATACTCCGTCTGCAGCGAGATAGTACTTTTATATGGTGACTCCCCCACTGGCACAACGACTTCCGGGGAACCTGCAAACACAGCAATGCGTCCTGTAGAGAACCCGAGGGGAGGTGCATCAGGGGGATCAAAGTACTGGTTGCGGTAATTCGTAGATCCCGTTGAGTAAACACTGACAAACAGGCCCTTGGAGCATGAGGACTCATCCAATGCTCCGTAGCCGGCAGTCTCCCACCAATTCCGAAATTTGGTCATGTTGCGTAGAGCTACCTCGTACGATGCGTTGCCTCCGTTGGTTTGACCCCATTGCCAACGGGCTAGGGGACCGGGGTTGATAAAAGGGCGACGACCGTAGTTCGCAGCTGCATAGTCGGCAAACAGAGGTACAGCCAAATGATTGAACTGGTCCACAGACGTGAGTGTTGCGTACGTGAGGTTGAGAGTCTCTTCAAGACTGGGGGCGGTATCGGGATGTGTGTCCTTCCATCTCTGGGACACATTTACGGTTGTCTGATTGGTCCGGAGAAACTTCTCCAGGTGCTGCACAAAGGTGTTGAGCAGGCCATGGGCCTCCGGAGTGATGCCCGCACCGTCCCATTCATTTCCCCCGAGATAGATCTGGCGAGGGAAGGATGTGTAGTTTCGGCGGAAGTGCGGATACCATGCATTGGTGACTTGAGCCCATAGCTCGGCATTCCGCGCAAATACACCTGCCGTATCGATTGCTGGGGACAAAGGAAGCACATGCTCCAGGGAAATGGCTCCCGTAGACGGCCGATTGCCATAAACACCCTGGCTAGCTGCGGGAGAGCGCATGGAGCCACCAGTATCGCTTCCAACTGCAAGGTCCAACCAGGAATATGATCCAATAGCAGCTCCAGAGCCCGAAGAAGAGCCACCAGGAGCTTGGTATCCATCTCCGCGGGGGTTGAAAGGGCAGTGGAAATCTACCCAGTCAGCAGTCGGTCGATCCCCGTTGGCAAACTGGACTGTGCCAGTCTTTCCCACAAGAATGGCACCGAGATCTAATAGTCTCTGAACTGATGGAGCAGTGTGATTTTGCGTTCCATATAAGTAGTAATAAGAACGGCTTCCACCGCTAGTCTTGAGGCCCCTAACGTGGAAAATGTCCTTGACGCCTACTCGTAGACCAGCCAGAGGATACTTTGATGTGGGCGTGTAGTACAGGCGAGAAGGAACTGCCACATCTTTGGTCATGGCGTTTTCTGTGACTGCAGGCATTGGCAGGAATCCTGTTTTCTCGTCACTGATGGCAGCTTGAATGAAGGCGAGATTGTCGTCAGGGTATAGTCGGTATGCGCGGAACACCTGGCCCGTTGATGCCGAGACGAAATATGGGCCACTTGGAAGGTCTTTACTCAACTGCGCAGGAACAGTTCCCGTAGAAGAGCTGCTGGGAAGGCCTTGTCCTGTCATGAGCAGTTTGTTTCCAGTCGATTTGAGCACTGAAACATGGTCACTGATAGAAATATTTTTCCCTCCTGTTCTTTGACTATTTAGAGTTAGAAGAACCGTCCGTAGAAATGCAGACTGAAAGACATCATCGCGCTGAGTGTAGTCAGACAGCAGGGAGTCTATACGAGTCGTAGGCGTAATGGGGATGACGGAAAACGGAATGATATCTATCCCCTCGACCAGAGACATATCAAATAGGGAGGAATTATGCCCCTGGATAGTAGACACAGGAATCCCACTGATGTAGTACGGAATACCATTGAGAGAGATCGTTTGGCCGTTAGGGACGGCAGCCCCAGCGGCAGCTGTGACCAGAGACAAGAGAGCGCCGATATACATGAGAAGGAGTTGTTGCCATTATTTGGAGGACAGGGTTGAATCTTTTATAGGTGAAGCTGTGGACCTCGCGGTACACAGATATAACACCTTCTCTCTGGAGCCGGGTTCCACAAGTTGGAGACAGGTAGATACTTCACCACCTTGGCCGATAGCAGAAGGTACTCATAACTGATCGTGATAATTATCCAATTGGTTGATAAGTTCTCCGTTGTCTGTCTCTCTATTTACATAATTAGATCGATTATTTAACGGAATCTCTTGCATGAGTTTGGAGCATTACCCATGTGCGACGGAGACACCGGATAGCTTGACATAAAGATCGGCAATCGATGTCGTATCCAGTAATCTATGAATACGACTATGCACAGGATAGACAGATAAGCACGCAAGAGATAAGCGAGTTGCTGCCTTATCTCGGTGGCGATGACAAGATGCCAAGGCAATAATGCGGTCTTGGCTGTGGATATCTTCGTCCGCCAAGGTACCTGCACGACTCTGATTGGAGTCAACTGTATGCGGAGCAGCGAGCAGTGGCTTCTTTATTGCTCTCTTGACTCAGAGATCCTCTGATACCTGTAGAAAACGAATTGGCTCTGTAGATTGATGGGTGCCTTGGTCTGATAGCCTTATTGGCAATCTTGCTGGTACGAGCTGACCTTTCGTACATATAATGTCTAGGAGACCCCCCCCCCCAACCCCCAAAAACCATTCAACCATGCGAGCTTCATATTTCCCAGGATAGGAAATGCCATCCGAAAGTAGAACACACTCTTCGATATCCTCAATGATTTGTGAGGTCGGCAGTCGATGAAGCTTTTGGCTGTCTAGTTGACGCGAATATGTGGGTAATTTCTCGTATTGCCAATTTCGCCATACTTTCTTAAGAAATGACGCAGTTCCGACAAAGCGACAGAAAGGGTCGTCCAGCCATCAATGGAAAGAAAGAAATCTAGAACGGACCACGAGTAAAGGTAGTGTTATGGTTCTATTGTATAGGCAGGAAAACATACATAAAGGAGTGAATGAACGCACCTAGTAATCATACAGGAATTCGTCTGTGGGAGGGCCCAGTACCAAGAACTTTTCATTGAAATTCAGTTTCCAATTATAATCAAAAACAACTTAATTAACTATAGTTAATTCATAACCACCTACTAAGTGCTTAACTACTGTATTCTACATCATGAACTCCGAACTTGACAATATTACCTTGAATGAGTCTGAAGTTGATCCTACCGAGGTAACTATGTTATCTTGTTTACTTGAGTGTTCAGCAAGTAACTAGTTATTTGATAAGTGCTTATTAAGTGCTCAGCAACTGCTTTGGAAACATTTAAGAGTCACTTATCAGTGCCTTTGCGCAGTCAGGAACACGGCAGAATCGTTGACCATAATAAATTTTGATCACATTATTCTCCAAATTAAATGATTAACAAGCAGTTAACAAGTACTTAGAGGGTTAAAAGGTAAGGTAAAACTATGACTTACCTCTGTGTAGGGGGGAAGGGAAAGCCGACCAGAGGATACGTCTTTCAAGTACCATTGGTACCACTCTAAATTACTACTTAGATTAACTGATTAATAACCTTATTATAAGCAGACTTTTGCTGGTTTATACTTATATTTTTGCCAAAGCAGAACTTCCTAACTGTGCTGGTGGTGGGGATGTATGGTACAGTAAAACCCGGCTAAATTCACCTCCTTAATTGCAATATTCCACTAAATGCAAGCAATTATAGCGGCCAATTTGATTTCCCATATAAAATTGCAAGGTAAAAACCCACCCCGAATACGTGGACCCAATTAATTGACCAATTATATTAGTTAAATACAATACATTATATGTATGTTACATAAATTACAGTATTATATATAATAAGCAGAATATCGGTCAACTAACTATCCCCATATAGTCTGACAAATGCAATGCTCCTCTAAATGCATCTAAAGAGGTAGCTCAAAATGATTGCATTTAACCGGATTATACTGTAGGCGTAATACGGGTTTCGGCAACCAAAAAATTCTGGTCAGGCGACTGTCATGTGACTGCCAAGCGAGTTTTTAGACGGCCGACCGATTCCGAATACCTATCGGACCTGCAGGTTAGAGGCATAAATAATAAGCAAACTAACTGATCCTTCGGATAATCCACGGGCCGATATCTTTCTACATGAAGACGAGGTGACATACGCCGTGATTGGACGCGTCAAACTCTAGTGCCTGCGACACTGACGCTAAAAAGTGACGCTTCCCCATGATCAGCCACATTCTTTTGTCCTGCATAGGGGCTTGTAGCTCGGCGTGGTCTAAAAAAACCTCGGCGTGGGCTAAAATTCTGCCCCGAGACTCACCGCTCTTTTTAGACCACGCTGAGCTTATGCCAAGAATAAACTCATCATGGCCTAAATGATTAGTCAGTATTCTTAGGCCACGATGAGATTTTCAAAAGATTTTTAGACCACGCTGAGCATATGCACTAGGGCTTAATTACTATAATTGGTAAGGTGTAGCCCTAAGAATATTTTATACTACACAATACAGGGTATCCACTCTGCATATACTCTGTATAGGTTGACCAAACCACAACAATGGCTGGTACCGAAGTTCGGGAAAGAGTGGTAGAATGGATCAACAATATCCCAATCCAGGTATGTGTATATATATTTATTATATACTGGGTATATACAAACCCTATACTAATATACCCAATTATCAGAACGAGGTGCAGGAATCTCATAGAGATGATTCTAGTAGTATAATCAGTACTAGGTCTACTCCGTCAGATCCGGAGATAATATACAGGAACAAGAATCTTTTACACTAATAGTAATAGGCCTACAGCGGGTTAGTGTATATCTAATATATGTATAATATATACTAAGTCTATGTTAGGAAGCAGCTACTTTAGATGGTGTTGTCGTTGCGCGAAATACTAGTTATAAGATTAAGGTTAAAAGATTAAGAAATTTTTAATACCTAAATATCCAGCAACAGCAGCAGAAGGTATTCTTTATTTTATTTATAACTACAATCCATTTCCATCCTCAAGGAATCCAAATGATTTCTCTGAGAAAGAAATAAATAATATTTTTACACGGCTTATGTTTAGACTTCATCAGAGCCCACAAATGGGCCTGAATCTCGGGCCCACGGCCCAACCCACTGTGGGCTGATGGCCCGGATTTCAGGCCCAAGCCCAACCATCAGGCCCACGATGGGCCCCCAATGGGCCCCCGCAAAAGCCCATTTTTGCATAAAATTTTGGTCTTGGCATTCATAAAGCTGCTAAATAATCAAAATAAAATACTGTTTTTTACACCTGTTCCAGTTCATCAACTGAGCTTCGTTGTAACCTCGCCTAAAATAGTAAGAAATTCTAGGAAATCTTCTTGGAATTAAAGAAAGTAAGGCTTGTTTTAAGTTAATTACTTATAAAAATCCCATATTCTGATTGTTATGGTGGTGTTTTGATGGCTTATGGATAAATTCACTGCAAACTTGTTTAGATATATATTTTATATATACGAGAGTGTGCGCATCTTTTTAATAAGAGACAGAAGTAAAAATTAACCACTTCTGCCTGCTCTGATTTATTCATTCTTTACATGAAATAAAAGCTTATCTTCTCTACTTTGGAATTCTAATCCTAAACGATAGTATAAAGAAGTGAATTTAAAGGAATTCAGCTCTTTCTACCAGTATTCTGTCTCTGTATCTGACCAGGTGAAAATTTTTTGAGGGTATCTAAGGTCGAGTTGGGCTGGGAATGGGCTATTAATGGGCTCTCATGGGCTATTCGTGGGCTTTATGGGCTATTCGTGGGCTCTTGTGGGCTTTTCATGGGCTTTGTTGGGCTATTCATGGGCCCTTATGGGCTTTGTTGGGCCTCGTTGGGCCAAACACACTTCACTTGTGATATCTATCCAATTAGCAACTAGCTGAATATTTTCTTTTGATATGTAGACTTGTTTGTTTGACTCACAGTCCATAGCTAAGTAAATCAGAAATCCTTCTCCTAGTAATGTATCCATCTCCTTTTTTTACCCTTCTCTTATTTTTATCCATGTGTTGTATACTTACTTCATTATATCCCAAAGCCAGCAATCTGACTTTGCATCATCTCTTTATGATGCAGAGATAGATAATCTAACATTTCTAACTTCTTCAAATCACCCAGCCACTCCATCTGGCAGCCAGCATACATTTGATGCCCTTGACACTTCGGTCCCTTTATTTATTCGACCAGCTATTCCTCTTACAATTCCATCCTCTCTTGAACGTGTCGGGCCCGATAGAAGAAAGGCATATGTGCTTTATAACGAAATGACTCATAGTGAATAGGTAGACTGGTGGTTACATACTGATTATGGGTCCCAAAGTAAGATACATTGGGACTCAAACCACCTTTCAGATATTTGGAAGCACTATGATCAGGTCGCATCTAGTATAGACGGCGCACCAAAGGTCATGTGTAAACGCTAGCCAGATCCTTGAACATCCTTACTCTACAAAAAAGGATGCTAAAGGGAAGGAAGGGCGTCATGGTTTATCAACAATGACAAGGCACCTAAAGACTGCTGCGTGCCAACGGTTTGAGAACAGACAGAAGGATGAAATCACTAAATTCCTCCAAAAACAGTATATCTAATGTTCTATTACTATGTTTATTAACTAATTAATAATTATTTTACTAGAAATCTGCTCCGACTGATGTTCCTTTCTCACAACCAGCCTGGGAGGAGAAGATCTTATTATTTCTCTCAATTAATCGGCTTCCTTTTTACCTAATCGAGCATCCAACATTTATAAGCTTAATTCAGATGGCCCATAATGCACCAACTGCTCCACAAATCCCATCTGCAATGACGATACGTCGTCGGCTAGAAGTGCTTGTCAAAGATCGGCAACAAAGTGTTCTTAGGATGCTTCCTTAGGTTCGAAGATATCAATTGCGCTTGACAGTTGGACATCTCCGTTTTCCCAGGCATTTCTAGCTATAA